ATTTACGGTCGCGTGGTATGTTTGATGCCCCTTGCTGACATCTGGCATGTTGTCACCTCCCAATCTGTTTACAGCCGCTGACCCTGTTGTTAATATGTTCTAGCCTTTATTGCACACGATCATTTTCCTCATCGAAATGGCAGTAGCAGCACGTCTTGCTGCCAAGTTTAATACCTACTATGCCGAAAGACCAGGTATGCCTCTTCCCGCCAGTTCCCGCGGGATCCCAGACTGACATCACTGCTATAAATAGTGCTCACGACGATGGTCACCAACGCTGTAAGCGCCTGTGATATGGATCAAAGTGAACCGTCAGTTGACAATATGGATGTTATAGGTGCTTGGTGGTGTTGCCGATACCGTCGCGCAGCTGATTACGGCATTCCGGACCCGCCGGCCTCAGACAGGCGGCGACGACTTCCTCTCGATAGAGATCCCGGACTTTGACAAGAACAAGCCCCTTGCTGTAGGGGAACTAGGATATATCCGAACAACCTCGCCGCAGTTCGATTTTGAGCGTCTAACGAGATTCATGGCCTATGGCTTCCTCATGGCGCCGCTGCAGTTCCAGTGGTTCGGATTCTTGTCCAGAGCATTCCCGCTCACCAAGAAGAATCCAACGGCTCCAGCTTTCAAGCGTGTCGCTTTTGACCAACTTATCTTTGCGCCATTTGGTACGCTCTGCCCGTAGCTGCCCTGGGATGTTTTTGGACTGGACTGATTTATTTAGGTCTGGCGTGCTTCTTCACCTACATGACGATTGCCGAGGGTGGTGGTAAAAGGGCTTTAACACACAAGTTCCGAGATGTCTACCTGCCGACCCTCAAGGCCAACTTCGTGCTCTGGCCGGCAGTGCAGATCCTAAACTTCCGTGTCATTCCGATCCAGTTTCAGATCGTGAGTCTCGCAGGCTCTCCTTACTGAGATGTGACCCATACTGACTTCCTACAGCCATTTGTCTCAACCGTTGGTATTGCGTGGACCGCATACCTTTCTCTGACTAACTCCTCCGATGAGTCCTAATTGAACGCTATTTAACGCGAACATCATGATAATGATACGGGCTATAAAGGCGATAAATTGCACTCTTTCTGCTGCTAAATTCTTCGGGCGTTCCGGTTGATCAATCTGGCTTTTATGTACAAGGTTATGGTATTTACCCATGGATAGGGGTTGCATTTCGAAAGATCGGATTTTGCACATTTAGGAATACGAACTCAGGGTTTTGCTGTTAACTATATTTTGTGATTTGATTTGGATGCTTCTGGAAAATCCCACTTTTCAGCTGTTTAGCTTTTTTAGCCCCCCTTGGAGCTTCACATGATTTGGACTCGGAAAACATCCAAGCATGTAGCGGCTATGGACATTTCCATCAGTACAACATAGACGCAATCTCCCCAGAATTGCCCGACTCCGAGGCTAAAGAGGACCTTTATGGCCCGGCCTTCCCCGTATCAACAGCAACTCTGACATCAGTCCCGCGTCAGCCCGATCAGCTCTCCGGGGATGGTATGGTACGGGGAACTGGGGTACCTATTTTCTAGAGATACCTGTGAAATAGTGGAGTGTTGCATATTTAATTCAAGTACATCATGAGATCGAGTACATCATCAGAAGGTACCCTGGTTGCTACGGGTTGCTACCTCTTCACCGGCCAGCTTGCCCCACCAAAACTGACCCCTCCACTCTTTACTGATCGCGACTCACCGTGGCCTGATTAGTTCTTTCTCCTACTTCTATCCCCTTTCTTGCTTCTTTTACCATTGTTCTACCATTAACCACCTACAATGTCTCTCTCCAACAAGCTCCCCGTTACTGATGTCGACCTCAAGGGCAAGCGTGTCTTGATCCGGGTAAGCTCCAAGCCCATTGAGCTCAATTAATCCCAGCCTCTAACCGTTGATTGAAATAGGTTGACTTCAATGTCCCCCTCGATGAGAACAAGAACGTTACCAACCCCCAGCGTATCGTCGGTGCCCTGCCCACCATCAAGTATGCCATCGAGAACGGTGCCAAGGCCGTTGTGCTCATGTCCCACCTGGGTCGCCCCGATGGCAAGGTCAACCCCAAGTACAGCTTGAAGCCCGTTGTTCCTGTGCTTGAGAAGCTTCTCGGCAAGAGCGTCACCTTCACTGAGGACTGCGTTGGTCCCCAGACTGAGGAGACCGTGAACAAGGCTTCCGATGGTCAGGTCATTCTGCTTGAGAACCTGCGTTTCCACGCTGAGGAGGAAGGCAGCTCCAAGGATGCTGAGGGCAAGAAGGTCAAGGCCGACAAGGCCGACGTTGAGGCCTTCCGTAAGGGTCTCACTGCCCTCGGTGACGTGTACGTCAGTATGTAACCCCACGATAATGTTCCGATCTCTTATTGTGCTTTTATTTCTAACATCAATCCAGACGATGCTTTCGGTACCGCACACCGCGCTCACAGCTCCATGGTCGGCGTGGATCTCCCCCAGAAGGCCGCCGGTTTCCTCGTGAAGAAGGAGCTGGAGTACTTCGCCAAGGCTCTTGAGAGCCCTGCGCGCCCCTTCCTCGCCATCCTCGGTGGTGCCAAGGTCTCTGACAAGATCCAGCTGATCGACAACCTCCTGCCCAAGGTTAACAGCCTCATCATCACCGGTGGAATGGCCTTCACCTTCAAGAAGACTCTTGAGAACGTCAAGATCGGCAACAGTCTCTTCGACGAGGCCGGCAGCAAGATTGTTGGCGAGATCGTCGAGAAGGCCAAGAAGTACAACGTCGAGATCGTCCTCCCCGTTGACTACGTCACCGCCGATAAGTTCTCCGCTGATGCCACCGTTGGTGCCGCTACCGACGCCACCGGTATCCCCGACGGCTTCATGGGTCTGGATGTTGGCCCCGAGAGTGTCAAGCTCTACCAGAAGACCATTGCTGAGGCCAAGACCATCCTCTGGAACGGTCCCCCTGGTGTCTTCGAGCTCAAGCCCTTCGCCGCCGCCACCGAGGCTACCCTCGATGCCGCTGTCAAGGCTGCCGAGTCTGGCTCCATTGTCATCATCGGCGGTGGTGATACCGCTACCGTGGCCGCCAAGTACAAGGTCGAGGACAAGATCTCCCACGTCTCGACCGGTGGCGGTGCTTCGCTCGAGCTTCTCGAGGGCAAGGAGCTGCCCGGTGTTGCTGCTCTGTCCAGTAAGTAAATGATGAAGATTAGGCGGCAAGGGGAGGGTTTACATCGGCTTTCCTTTTATCCCGCATGTTTATGAACTGTAATGTACACAGCCAATGAATTTCCTTTAATTACAAACACAAAATTTTCCAAAAAAAACCTCCATTGTGCTCTTAGATCGGATAACTAAGTGTTGTGCCTAGGTACGAAACCGAAGCTTTAGGCGCGATATTCAGAGATATACCGTTGTCAATTGTCATGTATATAGAGGAGATGGAATTCATAGGGTGAAGAAATCGGACAGCAACACCTCAGTGGCATGTAGATCGAATTGAAGCATGCCAATCCCATTCACAACTCCAACTGATACTTCCGTCCCTCCTCCTACAGAATACCGTATCTAGGCTTGCACAGAATCAGAAGTTTTGAGATTGATGGAATATCAAAGAAAACATCATGATAATAATCCCGAAAGCAAGATCTGCGCTCCGAGTAATGAATCGTAAAAAAGTCAAAAGGACCGTATCTCATTTCCTCCCCGACAAGCTCCCGACAAATGCATGAGGCAATTATGGTTCTGAATCCTCCCATTGGTTCCAAAGACAGGGGGGTATAGTGTGCGAGATGAAATGGCCAGCCAACTCGATAATGAACCCATCCCGAAACCCGACGCGGGGGTTATCTCTTTTTGGTGCGCTTGTCCGGTTTCGTCTAGATTCAAGCCGATGCTTCGACTTTCTTCAATTCTTCCCTGGATGAGGTGATCGATGTTAGTGGGTGCGGTAAAGAGGGGAAGCTGACAGTTGTGACGGAAAGTGGGATGGGGGGTGCGAGCGTCGGTGGCGGTGTAGATTTGGAGATGAAAGGGAACTTGAACACAAGGAACATAGCGTGAAGTATTTGAAGTGTAGGGAATGAATGATAGGGAAAGGCGAACTCACTGGAGCTGCTTTGAGAAGTCCTCCGCCGCATCATCGTCATCCCAACTCTCTTCCCACAGGTGCTCGCTACCGTCATTTGCTGTCGAGCCATTGGCCTGCTCGGCTTCTTCTTGGGGCCAGTCTGGGTGTCGTAGAGTTAGCTTCGTTGCTCCAGGGAAGCGCTTCAGTGCTTGGTCGATACCTTCAACGGGGAAATCCTCGAACTCGTCATCTTCCTCCAGGACTTGGGGCTTCGCTTGTGGCGGGGCCTGCTCTGTGGCATCGGCCTTCTGGGTAGTTGGGTTTGACATTGTGGTAGGTGTGATAGACCGGGAGAATCAAAGGTAGATAGGTGGGGATGTGGACGTGGATGTGGCAGCTTTGAGGTCGGAGGTCGGAGGTTTGACTTAGTAAGACCGCGATAAGGCGATAACGATGATGTAGTTGGGAGCCAAACTTTGGAAAACAGTACAGCGTTGGGATTTAAATGAAAGGAATGATAAAATGTATAGTGATATTAGAGAAGAGAAAAGAATAGAAGAGATTAGTATGAAATAAAATAATCTTTAATAAGTAGATCAAGGTGAAATTAGCTATCAAAGAGAAAAAGAGTTGCCCACACTCGGAGCTACCGGCGAAAAGAATCCATGGAGAGCCTCAGCCTAGACGTGTTGTTATATTACTTCTTCCCCTCCCCCCTCGACCTTCCTTCCCCTTCTTCTCCACTTCTTTCTTTCTGTTTTCTCTTTTCTCTTTGTGATCATCTCACATGAGTGATGGTCTCGTCCATCGTGTTTCCGTTATCGCACAGTTGACATATCGACATTCTTCCCGATCCGGCGCTCTCTCTCTTTTCGGCTTGATCGGATTGCCCAGGCTTGATACCATCGTGGATTGCGTCCCAATTGAAAAATCCACACTTCATACTCACTAGTAGCGGTCTTCACCATGTTGCGAGTCGGGTCCTGGTTGTACGGCAAGAAGCCGGCGCAGTCTGTAGACTCGCTGGTTGAGTTAAAGGACTGTGAGTGGCGATATATACTCCAGGAAACCCCATAGTGGTCGTTTGATTGCATGCTGACCACGATGTTTTTTGAGCTAGTACACGAGGCGATGACAGGTATGTTCTATGGGAAATATTCTGATCTTTAAGCACCGACTAATCCCATGCCTAACTAGCGGCAACGTTGATTCTCAACGATGATGTTGACGGTGCGGAGAGCGGTCTCTCCACGGGCACTTCGTCTTTTCACAACGTGGGTGATCGGCACTATGAGCTATGACGTAGTACATACCTTGAGGAAAGATGCTAATATACTCTACATCGAGTAGTTGGGTAAAGGCGTGGTCGCATTCGTCCGGGCAACATTAGGTTTCGAGCAGGAGATTATGCGACAAGGTCCATGCTCCTTTTATCTTCTGAATACACTGTTGCTAATAATTTCGCAGCATCCGAGCGCCTTTATGAAGCAGAAACCAGCGCAGCCAACGATCAAACCCGGTCCCAGCAAAACGCCCAAGCACCCAATGCCTTTCACTCCGATATCTATGCTGCAGGTACCGAATATGCGCTGTGCCAAGCAATCGCCCAATTGATGAGTGCGGTTGTCGGGGTACTGAATGAAAGCCTAACAGAAAGCATCAAAGCATTCTATCGGCTAAGAAAGGCTTACATCGCATTGGATGCTATCCTGAAAATGGAAGAGAAGTTTATGGAGCAGAGGGATCTACGCAAAACTCTATTGCCTACTGCGAGTGACCTCTCAATCTCAAGCGCTGCATGCCCAGACACGAAGTCGGAATCGTCTAGTCTTGCATCGAAAAAGGGCGAGAAGGTGGCTACCGTCGAGCAAACCGAGCTCAGTTCGTCAATGAATGGATTGGCGGTCTCTCCCCGAGCGGTGTCCCCTAACGCCGTAACGGGCACTTCCACACCTGTGAAGCATATTCACCACGATCCCGACTCGGATATCTTCAAAAACGAAATCGATGTTTTCATTCACTCTGGCGCCAACTTCTGCTTTGGTATTATTCTTCTACTAATCTCCATGGTCCCACCGGCCTTCAGCAAGCTTCTCTCCATTATTGGCTTCCACGGCGACAAGCAACGAGGACTGAGAATGCTCTGGCAAGCTAGCAAGTTCCACAACTTTATCGGTGCCATGGCTGCTTTGGCACTGCTAGGTTATTACAATGGTTTTGTCCGCTATTGCGATATCATGCCCGACCCAACTCCTGGCGAAACCGACGTCGAGGGATACCCACAGGAGAGGCTGTCTGCGTTGCTGGCGGAGATGCGGTCTCGGTTCCCCAACAGTCAACTTTGGTTGATCGAAGAATCCCGGATGCTAGGCGCGAATAAGGACTTGGGCAAGGCCCTGGACCTGTTGTCCACGGACAAGAAGAGCCCGCTCAAACAGGTCGAGGCGCTGTGCGTGTTCGAAAAGAGCTTGAACGCACTGTTCCTCCACAGATACGATGTCTGCGCTGAGGCATTCATCGAGGTAAGACTTGCTTATACGGACTCTTGAACCATCAAGCTAATTCTTCCAGTGTGTGGACCTTAACTCATGGTCTCGTTCATTATATTACTACATCGCCGGATCTTGCCATGTCGCCCTGTACCGGCAATCACTCAACGACCCAAAGCTTGCAGAGCAACACGCCAAAAAAGCCACCCTCTACATGCGGAAAGCACCCGAATTCGCCGGGAAAAAGAAGTTCATGGCCCGACAACTGCCGTTCGATATCTTTGTGACTCGGAGAATTGCTAAATGGGAGGCGCGCGCCAAAGAATGGAATGTGTCTCTGGTGGATGCGATTGGAGTTGATCCCATCGAAGAAATGATCTTCTTCTGGAATGGACACAGTCGCATGACCAACGAGCAGTTAGAAGAGTCCCTGGCCCGGCTGAAATGGTGCGAAAGCGAAAACAACAAAACGTGGTCTCGCGAGGGGATAGAAGAAAAGGCGATCCTGGAGCTTCTCCGGGCTGCCATTTTGCGATCACTGCACAGACACGACGAGGCGAGGAAGATCCTGCTGACTCGAGTTTTGAATCATGACAAGTCTCTGTTCAAGGGCCACCTAAAGGATGACTGGGTTCACCCAGTCGCGCATTTCGAGATGGCCGCCAACTTCTGGATGGAGCGTCCCACATACCAAGCCCTGCATGGGATTACTGCTTCCCCGAAGGCGTCGGCGGGATCTGGGGAGATGAGCACAGTGACCGAGAGGAAGCAGGTATCTGAGTGCAAGGGATACCTTGATCATGCTGCTCGCTGGGAGAGCTACGAGCTGGACGCTCGTGTTGGAATCAAGGTTACTGCGGGGATGGAAGCTGTCCATAAATGGGAGACCATGCACCCCACAGTCTAATGGCCATTATTGTGTCTCAATCCTTAGGCACGTTTCTGTCCATAGCTGCCCTGGATACCTTGTGTAGCATACACGTATAGTTAAAGTACAAGTACTTGTTAGGGTTAGATATTTTACGGAGTTCTTTTAGGTCTTTCTTTACATTCTTCTTTGTATTTCATATCCATCTTTTTGATCCTTTCACATCCGTACAAATATTTGATGTGATATACAAAGCGAGGATAACTGGACAGCTCAACCTCAACCCTCATTAGTTATATCTACAATCTACAATCTAGTCCCGATCGACAAGGCATTAAACGTCAATTCTCGGACTTGAATTTCATTGGCTCCGACAGACCCAGATGGATCCGTTCTAGTCAATGGCGGTCGGCACTTCGGCGCTATAGCCACGAAGGCCGAGCTCTTACGTCCCTGTACATGGACCAGAATGGTAAGCCTCGGTGCTTCAATGGTGATACCGAGAGAGACATCCATTGAGCTATCGCAAAAGAATTTATTAGGCACCGAGATCGGCAACCTGACAGATTCCGCACGAACCACACGGTCTCGGATAACACGGCTTTTGCCATCGGACGTCCGACAAAAAATCTTGAAAACGAATAAAACGAGTTCAGATTCCCAGATATCTTTCAGCCTTGCTTTGTACAGTTTTAAACATATCTCCGCCTGAGACCTCTTCCGTCATATCCACTTCTTATCTCCGAGATATTTTTTTTTTCTACTTTTCCACCGTAACATAGTCGGATTCATACATTCTGTCCCCCATATTCCACCTCTAGCACCGGTGCTGTGACATTTTAGCCAATGACCCATGCGTGATAATGGTCGAACGGACAGAACATGACTATCCCACTAGCAAATCTAGTGAAGAGATCGAACCATGTCGGAGCGATGACGGAGCGGATGAAATCGCGACGTTAGAAAAGCAAAGCACCGCGGCATCGGGTTATTCAGCCTTCGAACAACGCACGCAGTCAATGGTCTCGCGCATTCGGAGTCGAGAGCCCGGTCAAACTGCGAAATTCAGTCATCCACTCACCCATACCAAAACAAGTCCCGATGTCATCGTCGATTTTGAAGGACCGGATGATCCTTACAGACCGCTGAACTGGAGTTTCAGGAAGAAGGCTATCACGACTGTGTTGTATGGGTTAACTACTATGGGTATGTCCGTGGGCGATATCTGGGAAACCGTGAATTGTGGGGAATAACGCTAATCGCCGTTATCAATTGTAGGTTCGACGTGGGCGAGTTCAATGTAAGTACATTTCTGTTTATTTCACAGTTTATAGATCGTGAAACTAACTACAATGGTAGCTACTCGACGGGTCAGGCAGAGATTAGTAAGGAATTCGGCGTCTCGAGTGAGGTCGCTACACTCGGCACTTCATTACTCTTGTTCGGCTTGGGATTGGGCCCGTTGATCTGGGCGCCTCTCTCTGAGCTGTATGGACGCAAAACGGCGGTTTTACCGCCATACTTTCTCGCGGCTATCTTTTCATTCGCGACAGCCACCGCGAAGGACGTACAGACTATCATGATCACTAGATTCTTTACGGGCTTTTTCGGCTCCGCCCCGGTTACCAACACCGGCGGAGTTCTGAGTGATATCTGGACCCCCGAACAGCGCGGAGCTGCCATTGTCGGCTATGCCATGGCCGTGGTGGGCGGGCCTGTCATTGGGCCTATCGCGGGTGGTGCTATCGTACAGAGCAATCTGGGATGGCGCTGGACTGAATACGTGAGTCTTCTTCCATGCCGGGCAGCTGAAGTTGAAACCAAGCTAATATTTACTAGATCACCGGTATCATGATGCTTTTCTTCCTGGCCATGGACCTCCTCTTCGTCGACGAGAGCTACCCACCAGTTCTGCTAGTTTACAAGGCGCAACGCCTACGCTTCGAAAGCGGAAACTGGGCTCTCCATGCACGCCACGAAGAGTGGGATGTGACGCTTAAAGAAATCGGCAATAAGTACCTCATCCGTCCCTTCCAACTCCTCGCAACCCCAATCTGCTTCCTCGTCGCCCTTTATGCATCATTCGTCTACGGCATCCTCTATCTCAGTCTGGCGGCCTTCCCAATCGTCTTCCAGGAAATACGCGGCTGGAATCAAGTCGTCGGCGCCCTCCCCTTCCTCGCCTACCTAGTCGGCATTTTAATGGGCGGAGGAATAAACCTTGCCAACCAGAAATTCTACATCAAGCGCTTCAAAGCGAACAACAACCGCCCCGTACCAGAAGCCCGTCTCCCACCCATGATGCTCGGCTCTGTACTCTTCGCCGGCGGCATGTTCGTCTTCGGTTGGACAAGTCCGAAGGATATCCACTGGATCTGCCCCAACATCGGTGCGGTCATGATGGGCTTTGGCTTTTTCACGATCTTCCAGGCCGCTCTGAACTACCTCATTGATACATTCCAAAAATACTCCGCCAGCGCTATCGCTGCAAACACTTTCCTGCGCTCGATGTTCGCCGGCTGTTTCCCGCTCTTCACAACCGCCATGTTCCATAATCTTGGTGTTCCTTGGGCTGCTAGCTTGTTGGGCTTCATTTCCGTTGCTCTCATCCCCATTCCATATCTTTTCTACAAGTTCGGGAAGCGGATCCGAGCACGCGGGACGTGGTCACGAGACTCTGTTTAAAAAGTTCTACGAAATAATCGTTCCATATGGTTTTATTGTCCATATTTTGCTGCTTAATGTTGGTTGGGGTGTGTGCGGACAATTGATCGCGACCTGGTTTCTGGCTGTGGCATGTCCATCCCTTGCATTTGATACCCTCCGAGTTTCAGCCATTTCAGATTGATTCCTGTTGTTTTCTACAAGACTATTAATATCAGCATGTGGTCTACTAGTTCTACTTTGCTACTTTTCTACAAAATGGAGAATATTCAATAGATAAGTTTCCGCGTATTAGAATATAACAAAGAAGCAATAAGCACAAAAACAACAGAGTAAATAAGAATGAAAATGTAAAGAGAGAATGTAGTGCGTAGCGACGATTGAATGCCATATGTACTCAATCCAGAAGCCAAAAGACCAAAGCCATAATGAAGACATCCAGAATACAAAACGTGCAACATGAACAAAGAGACGCAAGAAATGAGCATCGAAACAGATTTTTTTGGAATATTTTCTTTTTCTTTTTTCCCACATGAGATTAGCACCTTTTTTTGGTTTTCTTTTTTGCTGGTCTCTGTTTTTCTTCGCGGATTCGATATCAAGCACGAGTAGTGACTGTGTTTCGGCCAGTCAACTTTCGCGCAATAGTCATGGCCTTCGACCACGTCTTCTTCTTTTCAATGCGAGCGACAGGATCAGGCGATGCAGCACCAGTAGCTAGAAGCTCTGTTGGAATATCGTCCTGGTGCTTGGCGTTATGCAGCGCCAGCACGGCCATTTGGCCAAGGAAAGAGGGGTGTTCAATAAGGTCCTCGAGACGGACCTTAAGACCCTCTTGCTCAAGAAGCCAGGTAAGCTGGGCTAGGTTGAAGACATCACCACCGAGATCAAAGAAGGACGAGTCCAACTGGAAGTTGGGTTGGTGGGCTGGCTTGTCATCAGCATCTGGGTCGACAGGGGCCGTGGGGGTACGGCTCGGCAGGACCTGGTGCCATGAACGAGACAAAATGTCCGAGTGTACAAGCAACTCTGCGATGGAGCGCGACTTGAGGTGTGCGCTGAGGAAGTGCTCGTCTGATGGTCGAGAGGGGTCGTCGATTGTCTGGGGAGGTAGAGAGCGCAGCATGCTCGCGGAGGGCAGTGAGGCGGTTGGATTGGCAACGAGTGACTGAGCAATCTCGCAGGCCATGTCTAGAACCTTTGATGCGAAGGATGGCATCACAGGGCCCTTTTCGGAGTAGCCAAGAGTGACATCGAGGCCACGTTCACCGGAGGGGCGCGACACCATGGTGAGATCGGCTAGGTTGTCATTAACGCCGACACCACCCATGCGGTACTTGTTGTTGTCGAGTTCGATGGTTCCTTCGTAGTCCACATTCTGGTGGAAGACCGAGGTAGTAAAGTAGGTCCAGTCAGGCCAGTCGGTACACTGCTTGATAATCTCGCGGAAGCCCAGAGACTCGAAAGGCATGTTGGAGATCTGCTGGTCCTGGAGGTAGCGGAAGAAATCGACAGCGGTCCATTTCTCATCGAGCTTCACGCGCACCGGGATAACATTGACGCAGGGGCCAACAGTGCTCTCAATGCCGGGAACTGTAGCGTTACGACCGCTGATGGTCAGACCAAAGACAACATCGGACTGAGCGGACAGCTTGGCAAGGGTCAGGGCCCAGGCAGCCTGCATGACCGTTGCGATAGTGACATTTCCAAGGGCCGTGGGCGAGATTTCAATTTTTCTGTGAATCTCGGTGAATGCTCCAACATTCTGGAACATGCTGGTACCCTTTCTGTGCACAACTTGGGTCATTTGAGAGCCCTTGAGGAGATCGGACCAATGGCGGTAATGGTCTGGGGTGATTGTTCCGGGCAACTGTCGCAGGTAGCCAGCGAAGGGAGTAACCGGCGGCAGCGGGGTGCCTTCGTATCCGTGCTTAATGGCAGACATGATCCTCGGCAAGCACACTCCATCGTATTGAGTGTGAGAGAGACGGATCAAAATACGGTGCTGGTCGCTGCCCTTTTTCTTGACAACGTAGAACTGCACGTACTGCTCGCCTTCGCGAGGTCCGTATTCGCGATCTCTCTGCTGAAGGGTCATGGTGAATTCATCAAGAGCACGGTCGGTCTCATATACAAAGATGCTGGGACGGATCTTGCGCAGCACGACCTGGAAGAACTGGTCGTGGAAGCACACAAACACTGTGCGCAGAATATCGAAGGCATCGACAACCTTCAAGCAACTCTCGCGGAGGCGTCTGAGGTCCAGGGGACCATTGCCCTCAAGATAGAAGTAGTTGAGCATCCATCGGGACTTGAAGAGAGTTGCCGTCAGAGACATCGCCTGGAAGTCAGTGACAGGGAGAACATCGGCAATGCCACCCTTGAAGACACCAATCTTAGGACAGATACCACTCTGTACAGCGGCATCGTCGACGCACGATGGCCTGAGATACTCGAGGCTCTCAGTTGAGGGGCTGGGCCCCAGTGTTGTCGGCGTGATATTGAGCAAGTCGCTATCAGCCTCCCTGTGACCGCCAGACTTGAGATCGACGTTCAACATCTGCTGAGTGACATTCGCAGCTCGCACTGTTGTCAACATGTCCTCAAAGACAGGATTGTTGAAGACATCTGCAACAGTAAGGACCAGGCCCTCTTCGCGAGCGGCACTGACCATTTTCATGGCGGTGATGCTGTCACCGCCCAACTTGAAGAAGCTGTCCTGGTGTCTCACCACGTTGGGTGAGAGGCCAAGAGCTGTGCTCCAAAGATTCCACAATTTCCTTTCCACATCGGCCGACATCCCATCCTCACTGGAACGGGAGGTCGCCGAACAAACACCTGAATCATCTGCTCCTTGGATACCTAACTGGTACGGTGAGTGTGGTATGGCGTCGATGTGATCACCATAGCTTGACAACCCTTCGGTGCGAATGGGTGGCACCGTCAGTTTTCCTTCTCTTAACATCTGAGCAATAATCTCATGAACACGTTCATCAATAATTTTCTGAATAGCACTGCCATCAATGGCCTCTCCAGTCGACTTTGCCTTGTCAGCCAGTGTGGTTTGGGAGCGATCCCAGTCCAGTGACTCAGGCTCAGCCTCGGAAGTGAATGTGGACTGCGACAGGGTCGCAGCCGGGGATTCAATGAATCCAGTGAACACTTTGGCGATGGTGTCAGCCAGAGCCTGTGCTTCTTCATCAGACACAACATCGTTCCAGTATCTCAAAAGAATACCCTCCTGGCCTCTGGCAATCTCCACGTTCACAGTGACCGCATACTGAATCCGGTTAGTAATTGAAACAAATTATAGAAAGGACTGGAGCTCACCTCGCTCGGGTCATGTGCGTGCTGAAGATCGAAGGACAATCCCTTGTCCTTGGCACCACCCGCAACGGAGTGGTTTTGGATTGACAGCGTAGTATTGAAGAGGGACTGTCCTTGCCAACCGAGCTCATGCTGGATGCTCGCCAGAGAGCAGCTTTGGTGGGGAATGCATCGAACATAATCATCTTGAACATTTTTGGACACATCGGTCAGGGTCTGCTGGTCAGTGAACTGGACTCGGCAGCAAAGCATGTTAATAAAGATTCCAACCATGTCCTGAATGCCATCGACAGGGGCGTCGCGACCTGCAGAAAGATATCCGAAGCAAACGTCATCGGAGGCAGTGAACTGCCGCAGGACGATGGCCCAGGCAGACAAAGTCAAGTTGGCAAGAGTGACAGAGCTGCGCTCGCAGAACTTGAGCAGCTCAGGGAATCGTTGGAAGTTCATCATGACGCCCTTGAGTTCTCTTTTGGCTTCGAAAACAGCCGATGGAGCGAGGTGACATGGGTGAACTCCACCGAGGTATTGGTTCCAGTGACTGAGAGCGTCACTCTGGCTCTGAGTTCTGATGAACTTGATGTAATCGCTGAAGCGAGGTCCTGAGCCCTCAGAAATCTTTCGCTCGTAGGCGAGAGTCAGGTCACGGAGGAGTACATCCACCGAGCCACCGTCAATAATGGCATGATTAATCTCCAGCTTCAGTATCACGCGTCCGGTGTTTGTTTTGCAAACAGTTAGTTGGTGAGAAAGCTTTGATTGGCGCATCGCGTTCCTGTCACGAAGAGAGATGGCAGCCAACTTCTCCTCGACTTGTGAGTCTTGACATTCCACGCGGAGGATATTATCAGAAAGGTTCTTGAGTACCAGTTGATCGAAGGATCCACCAGTATAGTTGCTGTCGATGAAAATAGTTCGGAGCACTGGGTGACGGTCGACGAGGGCTTGCCAGGCACGAGCAACTCCTTCGGCATTGACTTTGCCAGATTTGGCATCCTTGATCTCAAACACAGTATGGAACATGTAGGCATTGGGGTCGCGTAGCTGGCTGAGCAAGAGGCCCTCTTGCATGGGAGAGCAGGGATATATGTCCTCGACGTCATCCTTGTTCCGAATGCCTGCCTTGCGGAAGGTGCTAGCGGTGAGCATCTGGAGGCCGTGGTAGTTGATTGGCAGGAGGGGGTAGTCGCTGAGAGTTGGCTCAGGAGTAGCCGTTTTGAGAGCGAGGATATCCTTCTCAAGAGTCTGCTTGCACTGGAGAATCCAGCGGCGAATTGAGCTTTCATGTTGCATTTTGTTGTTGTAAGTGAAAGCAACATTGAGGCGGTCTTTGATGACAATGGCAGATACTTCGAAGAGGGCGAATCGAGCAGTCTGAGGGCCCATGTCACCTGCAACAGCAAAGTCCGAGCTGTCGAAGACGCTACCATGGTGATGGAACAACGAATCGGCTCGCTCAAGTTGCTGCATTTTACCCAGGTAGTTGAAAAGGATTTCTAACGGGACAGGGAAATCTGCAGCCTGATCGTGAAGCAGGCTTTTGGCGAAGTAAGGACGCCCATTGTCTGCGATCTTGCGTCTAGTGTCCTTGACACGCTTGATAATGTCGTTGAGGGCACCTTTCTGTGTCAGCTTTCTATCGGCAACATGTGGTATGGTAAACTTACGAGCGTCCGAATCCACCGACAAAGGCGCCATAGTGGTAAACCAGCCCACTGTTCTTGAAAGATCAATGTCGGCTTCCCAAGGCTCTCTGCCATGTCCTTCGTTGTAGATAGTTGGCACCTTGCGATCAGTGAAAGTGCGGCCGAAGGAATGGATAATGGCAGACAGCAAAATGTCGACGGTGTCAGTCCGGAAGACATTGTGGCAGCCGTCCAAGATAAACTGGGTTGTATCCTCACTCAACGTGAATGATTCCATCTTGATGTCTCCATACACATTGGGCGAGTCTTGCATGCCCCAGTATAGCAAGTTCGGCTTCTCCGGGGTGAAAGGCAGAGCAATAGTCGAATCGTTTGTGTTTGTTCTCTCGGTTTGCATGGCACACCAGCTTTGGAAGGACAATGCTTTTTCAAGTGAAAGAGATCCAGAGACAACGAGCTCTTCGAGTTCCTGGAGCACGATGCGCCATGATACCATATCAATGCAGAGATGGTGAGCGACGAGGAACAAGACCTGGCCACCAGTGCGAAGGTTAAAGAGATCGGCTGCCAGAATAGGTCCATTGAGAGGATCCAGGCAAGTTTGACTGTCAGCGATCTTCGGAACCATCGCCCGGGTATCGCCCACAGAGTGAACGCGGAATCGGAAAGATTCATCGACCTCCTGTGAGATTGAGTTAGAACATGTGTGATAGGATTTTTGTAAGGAGCTTACCGATCCAGTTTTCTGTTGCCAAGTGCCGTCACTGGATTTACTGAAGCGTGTGCGGAACATGGCATGCTGGCTAATGACGGCCTTGAGAGCGCGCTTGAGGACTTCGCCCTCACAACGGCGAGCGATCCGAACAGTTATGCTCTGGTTGAAACGGGCAGCGCCCTTGAAAGAGTCCGAGCTCTGGAAATAGAGTCTCTGAACAGGCGAAAGTGCAAAGCCCTCACCGGACTTCTCTTCCCGCCTAGCGACAGGTGCCTTGGAGCTGGCAGTTTGAGCAAGTTCCTTAACCGATCTGCTTTGCAAAATGTCGTGCAGTGTCAGAACAAGTCCCTGCTTGCGAGCACGAGAAATGACAGCCATTCCAGTAATGCTGTCGCCGCCTGTGAGAACTGGTTAGTATGTTCAAGAATGCTAGATGATAGGATACTTACCCAAGCTGACGAAGGAGCGGTCGACATTGACCTTCTGTAGGGAGATATTCAACACCTGTGCAAAGATGTCGCGGACGATTTCGAGCGATGCATTCTTTTCTTCCTTTTCCTGCGGCTTCTCTTCGGTCTTTCCACGCTTGATCCGATCGTAATCCGCCATGATACGGTCATAGGACACATCATCAATATCCTCGACCCAAGCGGTGATCTTTTTGCGGTCGAGCTTTCCAGAAACAAGCATGGGAAGTTTCTTGATTAGAGCCCAAGTCTGCGGGACCATATAAATGGGCAGCTGATTCTCAAGGCTCCTCTGGACTTCGACCAGCTCATTGTAAGCATGACGCTCAAGCTCATCCTCATCAACAAGCTCGCAAGGCTTGTCGGAAATTAGTTTGGTATCGGCTGCGACACTGTTCAAAGACATGACGGTGACCAGGCGCTGCTTGAGCGGGCCATTCTTAGGGAGAACAACGACAGCGTGGCGAGTAAGGGTATCCTCAGAAAGGCGATGCTCAATCTCACCAAGCTCCATCCGCTGACCATGCAATTTGACCTGGTGATCCTTCCGGCTGATGTACTGTACAGAGCCGTCAGGGTTGTAGTAACAGAGATCTCCAGTCTTATAGATTCGGCGAGGACCTGGAACCGCGGGGGTGAAGTCCTTGATCCAGGCAGGGTCCGTGGTGAATGCTTCTGCGTTTTTCTCGGGGTTTTTGAGGTACTCTCTGGCCAGAGGAGCGCCTTCAAGTGCAAGCTCGCCGACTGCACCCAGGGGAGTAAGTCGATCATGGTTGTCTGGATCAACAATCCAGGTGAGCGTGCTGGGAATACCGTAACCGATACGACCAGGATCACGATTGGTAGCCACTGCATTATCAATCACAGCGAAGACACAGGTCTCAGTCGGTCCGTACCCGTTCATGAGATGAACAGAATTGGCCCACTTCGTGATGACTTCATTCGACATCTTCTCACCGCCGCAAACGAGGTGCTTCAAGGAAGGCACTGAAGTTGGCTCAATTATGCTGGCAATTGAGGGAGTGAGGAAAGTCCAAGTGACATTAAGGCGACGGATTGCGCCGGCAACGTCGTTTAGACGGTCATCCTCGCTGGGCACACAGATGGTACCTCCGAGCATGAGGATTGCAAGAGTCTCCATAACAGCAGCATCAAAAGTGAGTGATGCAAATTGGAACACTCTCGAGGTCTCATCCATGCGCACCCACGGTGCGAATGCCATGATACTGCTGACCACGTTGCGGTGCTCGACAATAATACCCTTGGCGCGACCAGTGCTGCCAGAGGTGAATAGAGCATAGGCCATGTTGGAGGGTTTGACTTGAGTGTTACGACGGATAGATGACTTGAGGGAGCCATAGGCCTTGATGGTCTCCTTGCTGATGGGGATAACAGTCTTCACAACTCGGCTGTAGCGGTTTGTATAGTTGGGGGTGCACAATATCATGTTGGCACCGACATCGGCAAGAATTTCCTCGTGTCGCGAGGTAGGATGAGAGGGGTCCAATGGCACGTAACCACCACCAGCGATGAGAACACTGATGAGAGTGACCATTGCCCAAGCTGACTTGTCCAAACAGACTGGTACGAATACCTCTGGGCCAACACCGCGGGAGACCAGGTAGTTGGCGAAACCAGATGCGAGGTCCCAGAATTCTCGGTAGGTAAGGTCACCATCCCAGGCACAGACAGCCTGAGCGTTCGGAGTCTCGTCACACTTCTCACGAATGAAATCTTGAACGGTCCGTTCCACTGTGAGTGGGATACGTTGGTTCCATGTGCCTATTTCTGCCTTGTCTTCAGGGCTGATGACCTCCAAGTCTCCGAGGTTGCTCGTGCTGTTCTTGGGCAAAGCAATCAATTGCTGCAGAACATGGGCAAATTGTTCGGTGATGCGCTTAGTCTGCCATCCGTTGATGACAAGCTCATCGTGGTGAACAGTGAATGAGATGCTGGTCTTAGTAACACCACATTCCACAACAAGGGGGTGGGTGAAGAAGTCTTCGCTGGTTTCGCGTTTCTCGTCGATCCAGATCTTGTTGTCTAACTCGCCATCGCCTGGCTGGATAACAAGCAGGTTCTTAAACTCGCAGCCGGTGGCTGTATCCTTGTTCAGCTGACGGATACGTTGAAGACCATGGTGCAAGTGGGGGATCATCTCGGTGGTCGACTGGTGGATCTTCTGCAGGTACTCCATAGTTAACATGGCATTGTCAACCTGGACACGCGTGGGGACGGTGGTGAGAACTGGGCCAGCGATATCTGCAACACCAGGAAGATTGATATTTCTGCCTGACAAAGTCTCGCCGAAGCAGACATCACCAGACGCAGTGTGGGTCGCAATGACAATCGCCCATGCGGCGCGCATAAGGACAGGGATCGTAAAGTCGACACTGTTGGCGCTGCGGGAGATCGTGATGCTGTGGTGCTGGGTGTTGCCAGCGCGCATGGCATCAGCCACTGCATTCTTGTTATGAGGGAAAGGAGTGCTCGACAGGTCCGTCAGATAGGACTTCCAGAAAGCATCAGACTCCTCCATATCCTTCTTCATCAGGTAATCAATGAAGAGACTGTAAGGCGTTCCCCCTCGCGTAGTCTGCGAGGCAAAGTAGTTCTGTTCAACCTTGCGGAATACCAAAGGAATACTCCAGCCGTCGTAAAGAGCGTGGTGAACAGACCACACAAAGTAGCTATCAGAGGAGCCGCGGGGCTGCACCATGGCATAACCAGTGAGAGGTGCACCATTTTGCTTGGGTAGGTGAAGGATGTCGTTGGGCAGAGCATCGAACGACTCGGCTTCGACCCAGGAGATAGGGCCATCCTTCAGGACAACTTGGGCAAAGTTCATGGCCTCGGTGTGGACAATGCGAGTGCGAAGGATTTCTAAGTCCGCCACAGTTTGTTGCCAGGCCTGTTTGAATTTACCGACGTCAATGCCAGGAGCAAGACGGAATGAGGGTTGAGCAACATAAGCACCGTGGTGCTTGATAGAGAGCGTCAAAAGACCCTCCTGCACAGCGCTGCATGGGTAGATATCGGAAATGAGGTCCTTAGACACTTCACAATTATCGGTAACTTCATCAATCAGGCTTTCAAGGGAGACTCCAGATGGTAACAAGGAGAACGTCTTGATATTTTCTTTCTTAACCTCAGCAGCCCCATCAGACATGACGCAGGTCTTGGCCATGTCGATCAAGATTGGGGAGTTGAAGATGCTTGAGACGGTAAGTGCAATACCCTCTGCTTGAGCAGCGCCAACGAGGTTCATGGCAGACAAAGAATCACCGCCCAGACCGAAGAAGCTGTCATCGGCGGTCACAGAGCCAGCTTCAAGTTCGAGGGTCTTTTCCACAAGGGCCACAAGCTTAGTCTCAAGGGCGGTGGCTGAGGAGACATCCCTTTTGTCGGAGTTGTCGAAGGTAATGTAAGACTTGAGGGTCTCCTTGGACAAGCTTTGGACCATCGCCCGCAGTCTTCGGCGATCAATCTTCCCAGAGGAAGTGAAGGGCAAGTTATGGATGGGGAAGAACAGCCGGGGCATCATGCTCTGAGGCAGAAGACCGGGTAAAGAGCTTTTCAACTTCTGAATGGCATCCATGTTAGAAACAGAGATCGGCAATAGCAATGGATCGGCTCCAGGAATCGTGGGGGCGAATTGATCGCTGCTGCCTCCGTTGGATTCGGGGTCATGCACGGTGAAGAATGCAGCGAGGCCCTTGGCAATGGTTCGTTCCTCGGGAACAACGACATCAACAGCGACCTGAGAGTCCTCGGGTAGGCAGCTTAGACATTGTTGCTCGATCTCCTCGAGTTCAATGCGCTGGCCATTGAACTTAATCTGAGTATCTTTACGGGAGATGAAGGCCAGGCTGCCGTCGCTGTTGTAGCGAACTAGATCACCAGTGCGGTACATGCGATCATTGCGTTTGAACACGCCCTGAAAACCAGCGTGACGGTTCCAAGCAGGCTTCTCGAAGAAAGCCGCCTTAGTCTTTTCCTCGTTCGCAAGGTATCCTCGAGCAATGTTGCTTCCTTCGAGGATCAGTTCACCGACAGCGCCAACGGGAAGCAAACGATTGAAGTTATTCGGATCCACGATCCAGGCTCTGCAGTTGGAAGATGTGCCAATAGACGTGGGATCATCGTTGACACGATTCCCATCCCAATCAACCTTGACACCGACTGTGGCAACGACAGTCGCCTCGGAGGGGCCATAGGCATTGATGACGCACCGGTCGGCCCAGCGGTCGATATGGTTGGCAGGCATCTTCTCGCCTCCTGTGATAATTATCTTCAGGCTGGGTACGTTTTTCGGCTCAAGAGTATTCACAATCGCGGGAGTTGCTGAGATGTAGGTGACTTCCATACGGCGGATAGCACCACCCAAGTTGTTCATACGTTCCTCCTCGCTGGGGATACAGACACAGCCACCAGTCATGAGAATCATCATAATCTCCATAATGCTTACATCGAAAGTGTAGTTAGAGAACTGTAACGCACGGGTCGTGGAGTTCATGTGCAGAAGATCGATCATGGCAATCGCGGTGGTGCTAAGGGCAGTATGCTCGACAACAGTCGCCTTCGGCTTTCCGGTAGTACCGGAGGTAAAGATAGCATATGCAGCATTTTCCGGGGTAGAACGGACACCAGGCAAAGCCAAGGGCGAGTCAGAAAGTTGGGAGATTGAAGTTTGGCAGACCGCGAACGATTTCTCGCAGAGTTTCGAAACTTTGGTGTGGAGTGAAGATGAGCACAATACAAGGTCAGTGCCAATTTCATCGATGAGCATCTTCAGGCGAGAATCGGGGTGGGATGGGTCAATCGAGACAAAAGCTCCGCCCGCCTTGAGAACAGCCAGCTGGGCAACTACAGCCCAAGCTGACTTCTCGAAGCACAACACCACGAAGGTTTCAGGCTTGATTCCAAGGCTGGACAGATGGCGGGCCAACCGACTGGAGACAATCTCGAGCTGCCCATAAGTGAAGTTCTTGTCCCAAGAACAAACGGCTTCGGCACGAGGGTGAAGGAGTGCTTGCTGCTGGATGAGCTCATCGGCGCACTTCTCCACTCTGGGAGGGGATGCGGCATTCCAATCGCGGATTTGGCGAACTGAGCGCTCTGGGAATACATTGATGTCTCCGACCGTGCGGTTTTGGAGGTTGTGGGCAATCAGGTCGTCCAAAACTTGGTCAAACATGTCCATAACATGATTGACCTGGAAGGAGGAAAGAGTTTCTGGGGTGTAGTTAAAGTGAATCTGGGCATGTGAATGGGAGACTTCGGCTTCAACCAAGATCTGGTAAGGACTAGAGCTGGTTGGTTCGCGGGAACTTCCTTTAGGAAGATTGGAAGCCGTGCGATAAATCAGGGAAGTGTTAAAGAGTCTTATATCATCAAGTCCAAGCTGGTGTTTGACTGCATCCAAGGATGCGACATTCAACGCGCTGGTCTCGGAGTCCTTCTTTGCTTTTTCGAGAGTTTCTTGCAGCTTTTGCTCGTTCTGCACGACGAAGCGGCAGGTGGTAATACCTTCGGTCGCCAGTTTTGTCTCCGACGATGGGGCAGAATAACCAAAGCACACATCGTCTGAGCCAGTGTACCACCGGAGGACAACGGCCCAGGCGAACTGGAAGAGAGTTTCCACAGGAAGGCCAGACAATTTGCTGAAGGCGTGGATTTTGGCTGTCTGCTTATTTAGGGTACGGGTGGAGCGCCCATTGTCGCTTGCCTCGTGGGAGAGCGCCGGGAAAACGCAGGGCTCAACATCCGCGAGGTACTCCTTCCAGAAAGCGATGTTGGCCTCTGAGAGACTAGCATGTCGTGAAACGCGGTGTCCAGCCTTAGATCCGTTCCAACGCTTGATGTCAAACGCGTCGAGAGCACTGCTAGAAAGCGCTTGTGTTTCAATTTTAAGGGCCTGGCGGTTTAGTTTTCCAGATGCGGTCAATGGGAGGGAGGAAACGGGGATGTAGAAACTCGGAACCTTGCTACCAGGAAGACTGCTACTCAGATTGCCGTGTAGGCTACAGATGGCCTCTTTCAGTTGAGGAGTCGAGGACTGGATAACGCGATCACCAAACGTGACCTGGTTGGTGTCTGAAGAAACCACGAAAGCAACGAGAGCGTTGGTCTTCACACCAGCACTTTGCAGCTGGATTTTCTCCACAACGCACATCCTCTTGTGGTCCAGGAATGAATCGACGCGTGCCTGGGTCTGGATAAGCTCACTAGCCAAGGCGGATTCGTTCTTGTCGTTCTTTCGGCCGACGAAAACAAGTGAGCCATCGGAATTGTACCGAACAAGATCTCCAGACTTGAACAGGCGGTGCTTAGCACCTTCACTTTGTCCAGAAATCCAAGAAGCGTTGTTGAAGAATTTGTCACTCTCTGCGGACTGGTTGTCGAGGTAGCCGCGGGCAAGAATAGGCCCTTCGAGCACCAGTTCTCCAACACTGCCGATCGGGACTAGACAATTGTGGTTGGAAGGGTCAACAACCCACGAAACACAAGATGTGCTCTTTCCAATGAGGGCAGCCTCGTTTTCGTCCTGAGAGCAGAACACGTGGAAGGAGGTAGCCGAGCTCTCACATGTTCCATACAAAACCTGCAATTGGAGATCATCGGTCTGCCAATGGTCGAGAACGCTCTGAGAAACAACTTCACCACCCAGGGCAATCGATCGCAGTCCCGGTACATCCTTGGGGGAGAAAAAGCTTGCGGCTGTGGGTGTGATGCTAGCAACATTGACATGGAATACATTAATAGAGGTGGCCAAGTTAACGGGGTCGATATCAGCGGGGATGCAAATGCAACCGCCCCACATGAATGTACCGAAAGCCTCGACGATAAATGCATCGGATGTGTGAGGAGCAAACTGCAGAGTCCTAGAGACATCTGCAATTGCCATGGTAGTAGCGAACGCCTCAGCTCGGGTCATTACGGTTGTGTGGTCAAGAACAACGCTCTTGGCGGGGCCAGAGGTGCCAGCAGTCAGAGCAATGTATGCGATGTCGGATGGTTGTGCCACGGGTTTGAGAACTTCGTCGGCGAGGTACTCGAGGAGAGACTCACTTACAGGAATGACGTACGGTACGGCATCCTCGAGGATCTGGGCCTTCTCCGGGGAAGCCAGGGCGACTTGCACGACGTTGTCGGCAATCCACTTCTCAACAAGAGCCAGGCTCTCAGGTGTGTCAACTGGAATACAGCCACCACCGGCTTTCATGATTGCCAATGTGGAGACGATGTTCCACACAGACTTCTCGAAACAGACGGGGATTAGGGTGCCAGGACCAACACCGAAGGTGATGAGATAGCTTGCCAAGCGAGAGGAGAATTGATCCAACTTGGAGTAAGTTAAGTTCCCATCCCAAGCAGTGACAGCCAACGCATCGGGGCGCTTTTTGGCCATCTCCTGAACAACGTGATGAGCGCACTTCTCAAAGGGCTTGGGAGTCTTGCTGTTCCACGCGAGGATCTGAGCTCGATTTTCCTCGCTCAAGGTGTCTAGCTGGCGAATTTCACCGTCAATGTTCGAGACAATGTTTTCGAGACAACGAAGATAGGTATTGGCAACATTGGTAGCTTGTGCATCGGAGAGGTTGGTAGTCCAGTAGTTGAGGTCAATACGGGCGGTAGTGTCCATGGCCTCAATGTTGATGAAAACTGGGAATTCAGCGGGATCGTGGATTGTGCCAACCTCAACACATTCGATGTCACTGCTGACAGCATCCTTAGCACTGGGAAGCCGGCGGTAAGAGACACCAGAATTGAACAAATTGGTGTCGGACAGCTTCAAAGCATGCTGGATGTCAATGAGTGATGTGTGACGGTAAGGAAGGCTCTCCAAGTAGTCGTTCTGGATTTGATGCAGCACATCACTGAGCTTTGCGTCATCAGCGACCTTCATTCGGCAGACCAGGAGGTTAATGACTGGTCCAATAACCCATTGGACGCCCTCAGCAGCCACATCACGCAGGGATGCCATGTAGCTGAAGGAAACGTCGTCGGATCCACAAAAGGCGCGCAGAGTGAGGCCCCACGCGGCATTGAAGACATTTGCGAGAGTAATACCGCGCTTCTCGCAGACATTTTGGAGTTCATTGAGGGCTCCAAAGTTGACCGGAATGGATCGAAGTGCCTTGGCCGATTGTTGGCCGTCAGTGAGAGCGGGGAAGTGGCACGGCTTAGCCTGATCCAAGTACGAGCGCCAGTAGTTGATGCTAGCTTCCTTTGGTGCATCCTGAAGGTACTCCATATAATCCTTAAACAAAGGCTGGGGGCTTTCCTCGAGTCTACCAGCGTATGCGAGCTGCAAGTCACGGAGGATGATTGAGATCGAGTTGCCATCCATCGCAGCATGACTCATTTCAATGCGAGCAAACAGTCTGCCACTTGGTGTCTGGCAAATAGTGAAGCGATACGCCGGTGCAGACTCGCTGTAATCCTTGGGGTCTTCCTTATCAAATGTGGCCAGCACATCGCTTTCCCCTGGGGACTGCAAGAAGACTGGAGTGGCGTCATAACTCTTCAGCACGACTTGGCAGAAGGGGTCACGAGGAGTGAGGTTCTCAACAAAGATGGTTCGGAACATCGCATGACGAGAAACAACCTGCTGCCATGCGTTGACAAGGCGATCAAGGTTTGGCTCGCTAGATCCGGTGGCCTTAATCTCAAAGGTGTCGTGCACAGCATAGTAGGAGCTATCACGCTTGCGACCAAGGAGGATACCCTGCTGCATTCGAGAACAAGGGTAGATATCCTCAACAAGGTCCGGGGACTCAATGCCGATAGCAGGCAACTTGTCATTGAGCAATTTGTCCAAGATGGGGTAGGTCAACGACAGCATGGGGAAAGAGCTGAGAGTCAACCGCGGTGCGAGGGTAGGAAGCTGCTCAGCGAGAGTTACAAGCAGCTCCTGGCATTCGGAAACCCATCGGTGAATGCGATTTTGGTGCTGCATGAACTTGTTAAAGGAGAAGTTGAATCGAACTTTTCCAGCCACGACCATCGCAGAGATCTCAAACAGACCGAACCGGGGAGTATCGGTTCCAAAGTCAGCTGCACCCCCTCCTTGGCCAGCTTCTCCGGCCATCTGATCAACAAGCTGGAAGAGACCATCCTGCCTCTGCAGATCTCGATGTTGACCGACGTAGTTGAACGACATCTCGAAGGGGTGGGGGTGCTCAGACTCTTGATTGTCCTGACCTGGCAGAACGCGGCTGGTGAAATCTGCACGGCCATTGTCCGAGACACGACGGCGGAGATCCTTCACCTGGATGAGGGTATCAATGGGGTTGTCTGACTTGTATGCAGAAACGAAAACTGGGTGCAAAATGGTAAACCAGCCGACGGTGTGCGAGATATCGATGGACGGGTCCCAGACTTCTCGTCCGTGGCCTTCATTGTAAATGGTTGGAAGAGAACGATCGGGGAAAGCGCGGCCAAATGAGTGTAGCATTGCTGCCAAGAATAGGTCAATTGGCTCGGTACCAAGAGCTTTGTGACATTCAAGCAGAATGGCATTAGTGTGGCCTTGGTCGATCTCAAACGAGGCACAATCCACATCACCATATGTGGTTTGAGTGTCCTTGAGCCCCCAGTAACCAAAGTCCGTTGCAGCGAGAGCGTCAGTTGCAACTTTGTGCTCAACCCTGAGGGTCTTGCAGTGCTCATTCTGCAGGCGGCACCAGGTCTGGAAAGGCAAGGATCCATCACTAGTTCCAGTCTTCTCTGGGTTCAAGATGATATCTTCCAAATCTTCCAGAATAATTCTCCATGACACAATGTCGACAACCAAGTGGTGAGCTGTCATTGACAGTACGTTAGGCTGGCCCTTCACCAGGAAATAGTCGACGGCAAGCAACGGCCCAGAGAAGCAATTGATAGAAGATTGGCTATCGGCGACATGAGACTTGACCTCGTCCATGCTACCAAGAGTGTGCATCCGCCATCTGTAAGACCCTTTGATATCACGGGTGATGTGTTGGCTCGATGCTGTTGCAAATCCTGTGTCGGTGAATCGTGCACGGAGCATTGAGTGCCGAGATACCAGAGTTTCGACGGCCTTGCGGAGGGTTCGTTCATCGACAGGTTTGTTCAAGCGAGTGAGAATTCCTTGGTTGAAGTGGCCTTGGCCCTCCTTTCGTACACCGAAGTGAAGGATCTGAATGGGTGACAGGTTAAATGTTTCATCAACAGCTTCTTCATAAGTCGTAAGGTGATCGATTGTCTTTGCGCGGGTTGCGAGGTCGCGGATTGATTTGCTGCGAAGCAGCTCCTGTACAGAGAGGGAGAATCCTCGCTTCTTGCAGAGACCGATACATGTCATAGCTGCGATTGAATCACCACCGAGGGCAAGGAAACCCTCGTTCAAATCGAGCTGGTTTAGGGGAATGTTGAGGACACGGCTATATACAGCAGCTAATGCTTCCTCTCTGTCGTTGGCGGGCTGGGAGGCTTCTGTGCTGACGATTGCAACAGAGGCATTGTTCTGAAGATCTGGATCGTTCTCCATTCCTGCGACCCAAGTGGAAATGCCCTTGCGGTCTAGTTTCCCTGATGGCAGAAGTGGCAGAGCTTCAACACACAACCAAACTGCGGGGACCATATAAGTGGGGAGACGAGCTGATAGACGCTCTCGGATGCCTGGGACCAGCTCAGCCTTTTTCGAGGCAGAGACGAGTCGCAGAGGCTCCAAGTCCGAATCGGACTGTTCGGCGAGCAAGCCAGTGGAAGAGACAACTGCCGCCAGCCGCCCCTTGGAGAAACCTGTCTTGGGGAAAAATACTGAGCAATGAGTGACGTTCAAATCTTTGCTAAGCTGATTCTCAATTTCACCGAGCTCGATGCGTTGTCCGTGAACCTTGACCTGCGTATCCTTGCGACCGATGTAATTCAGGGCACCAGTGTCAGAGTTGTACCTGACAAGATCACCTGTCTTGTAGAATCTACGGTTAGAGCCACTTTCAGGGTCCCATGTAGTCCAAGCAGGGTCGAAGATAAACGATTCGTTTGTCTTTTGTGGGTTATTCACGTAGCACCGGGCCAGGGGTGGGCCTTCCAAAAGTAATTCTCCAGGGCAGCCCACGGGGACCAGTTCATCGTGGTTATCAGGGTTCACAAGCCAGGTCCTCACACCAATGGGCAGGCCGATATCTTTACAATCGGTGTCAGGTGTAACATTGGAATTCAGCACGGATGCCACACTGGCCTCGGTAGGCCCATAACCATTGACCAATTTGATTTTGGACCAAGTGGCCAGCTGTGACTGCGACATTGCCTCCCCGGCCAGGACTAAACTCTCCAGTCCTGGGACGCTCTCGATTTCAATAAAGCCGATGAATGAAGGTGTGAAGCAGGCCTGAGTGACTCGCATCTCGTTGATGGTGGTCACAATATCGTTAAGCCGAGCTTCTTCACTCGGAATGCACACACATGCACCGTGAATGAGCGGCGTCAACGACTCGGCCAAACTGGCATCGAATGTGTGGGCGGCGAATTGAAGGCATCGTGACTCGCGATAAATGCGCAGACCGGGCCCATGCACCATTGCCCCGGACAGGAACGCGCGGTGCTCCAACAGTGTTCCCTGCGAAACCTGAGTCAGCTATTCCTGCAGCAAATTTTGTTTTAAAATATTCAAAAAAGACTAACCTTGGGTTCTCCTGTAGATCCAGAGGTAAACAGAACGTAAGCCGCATTTTGACTTGTGACACCCGATGCAAGATTCACACTCTCCGTGGGGTCAGACAGAGGATCTAGAGTATCGTCACAGATGGGTATTGAAGTCTTCGCGATCGGGCGAAGTTTATCGGAAAGATGCTGAGAGCACAACACAACCGGTGCCTGAACCGATTGGATGAGAGCTTGCAGTCGGGAAGTTGGGTGAGTCGGGTCCAATGGGACGAAGGCTCCGCCGGCTTTCATGACGCCAAGCATTGCGACAATGTTCCATTTCTGTAGAGTCAGTATACACAACTTAGTTCTGGAAGATTTTATTTCATGAAACATTCCACTCACCGATTTATCGAAACACAAAGCCACGCGGACTTCCGGCCCGACTCCCTGCAAGCGAAGATAGCATGCAAGCTTTGACGCTTGGTGGTCCAACTCTGCGAATGTCAAACTTCCATCCCACGCACATACAGCCTCACGATCAGGTCCACTCAACATTTGATCGTGGATCGCTTCGTGAATGCAGCGATCGTGAAGCTCTGGAGGAGTGGAGTTCCACTTGTGAATGCGTTGCCAGTCGTTCTCCGAGAACAAATTAAGCTGGCTAATAGCGGTGTTCTCAGCAGAAAGGACTTTGGCAAGCAACTGCTCAAAAATGTTTGCGATACTCTTCATCTGTTCCCCAGACATGTCACCCTTGCACCATTCGAGGAAGATACTGATGTCTCCACGCAGCACCTTAACATGAAGACGGACTTGGCACTGCGCGGCGTTAGCAAACTCGGTTCAGTTCTTCTCTCAAGGAAATCTCATCCCGAATTCTCGTTGAAAACTAACCTCGTCTGGAAGGGCTGTTGCCAAAATAGGTTTTGAGGAAGAAGCAGGCGGATCGTATGTGCGCAGCATGAAGATAGTGTTGAAAGGGAGGTATCCCTCGGAAGCGGCCTCTGAGCTTCCATTGACCTGATGATTCGCACTGTCTGCGCGCACCTTATCTACAATTGCTGTGGGAGAGTCGTTTTCGTTGATGGATATGCGGATCGTCGAAATGTTGACGCCGGTAGAACGCTGTACAGATGATTTGGGAGAGCGCGAGTCGCCCTCGAGATGTTGGTACCCGAAGCAAATATCCTCGGAGCGGATATAGTAATGCAGCAAGAGGGCCCAAGTGGCTCGTAACATTGGGTCCAAACGGCCTTCGTTCCATGCGGTTAATAACTGCGCATGTTGAGCAGCCGTGGGCCTCGTCTTCATCGAGACTGGGCGTTTAGGCCCGTCAACCGTCGAAGCGAACCGGGGAAGATAGCACTTGGTGGATTGAGCCATGACGTCGAATGGCTGGGTGCTACCAAGCTGTCCTCTGTATTTCGTTTCGTGTCTTCCGGTCGATGGAGATAGTATAGGTGGGCCTAAGGTATGGAGGATGAACGACAATATTATTTCGACAGTGATTAAGGAGCGCCCGCGAACTTGGACGGTCTCGTCTTATTTTAAAAGAACTTAGCACAAGAATTTTTTTTTTTTTTAATTAAAATTTTGAATTATTTGCTTTAACACATCGAAAATAGCTACCGGCCGGAGACTGCATAGGCCGCACTCACCAAAATCCAGTAATAGACGCTATATTCCTTGCATGGGATCTAGATGAAAGGGAGAGAGAGAGAGAGAGACAATACGTGGATCAGGTGTACTTGGCCCCCCTGTGGAACCAGCTCAGACACTCTGCTTTTCCATTTCTTTTTAATTTCCTGTTTTTCTTTTTTTTTCCGATAGAGTTGCTGTGTCGAATTTCTTATTTTCTATTTTAGACTATCAAGGTAACCCCTGCAAAGGGACTAGCTTACTCGAACTAGTACTAAAAGGTCATCATGCAGGGGAAAGATGCGTACTCCGGCTCACTCTGTGTACTCCGGAGTACTACTCCTCCAAGCGAGATGCAATTCCCCCGATCAGGAACCCTTGCGGTCTGGAACGTGGGCATGGCGGTTCAGAGCAAGCCATCAGGGGCGTAAGGCGTTTTGCCCCGAATCATCTTCAGATGGGATGGCGTTATTTCCTACGGGAAGTTGCCCCCCCCCCCCCCCCCCCCCCCCCCCCCCCCCCCCCNCTCCCTCGAGCTTAGGTTTCAATGCTGACGTTGCTGGCTTTGCTGGCTTTGCTGGCCATGTCAAGCCCGCTTAGTGCAAGCTGGGGAACAGGTACATGTGCCCAGAGGAGATAACTACCCCATACTCTCACTTCGTACTGCGGATATAGGATCTTACATCTCAGGTGCATCGGGCATCGCCACAAGTATACCAGCCTCGTGAGGCTTTTATAGTTTACGATGTACACCGACTGATGCACACATGGCACTGACCCCAGATTACTTCTTCCACGCTCACCTGTGTAACCTCTGATGATGAGTACGCATGGCACGCGAATCCGAGAGTTGGGGTCTGCATCAGTAAGGTGTGGCGAACTAAGACGGGTCAAACGAGGACTTCCCGCGCAGTTCAGGCACTTTCGCAGCGAGGGTGTAGTGGAGGTGGCGATCCCGTCCGTCCGGTGATCGCGATAGGAAAGTTAATTTGCCAGGATCTGACACGATCGTGTCTTAGATGCCTTCCAGCGGTTTGGCGGGATGTCATTCAGAAGTCAAGAAAAAAAAATCAAAAGAAAGCCCGATTATGAGGGCAATCCCCGAGCTGAGATTATCACGCCCTTCATACTTCGGATCTCCCGGTCTATAAATCCGAATATACAAGGGTACTCCGTAGATATGACTAGCATCGGAGGAATGCTCGGTTAGGAATGAAATACTATTGGATCTTGTATGGCAGGCTTTTGGATGTCAGAATGAAATTTGAGCTAGTTTATAGAAATTTTCACGTACAAAGTAAAAAGTACGATGTACTTCGTAATCTACTCCGTACTCCGTAATGATGTATGAGACAGTACGTACGCCACCTGGGGGACTAATGATCGCTCCTGCAAGGGCCACCAAGGGATGCGGGCGCATCCGAACCCGGCGACCTGTCCACTTGGCGTGTATTTATATATTAGTAACATCCACAATCGTGTCTGTTCAATAGCTCACTAGATGAGTAGACAAAAATATGAGTTGGATTCAAAGAAAAAGGGGTGAACAAATCATCTTACTCCGTTTTCTATACAGTTCCCCCGATAATATCCAGTTGCATCAAAACCATAGGTTCATGTGGTGCAGTATGTGCATTGCTTTTTTTTCTGCTGCTTCTTCACGTTTTCTTTTCTTTTCTTTTTTTTATTTTAGTCACACTTCTTGAATTTATCGCTCTCGCATAAGCACGAATCTGGAGGGTACATTGGTATATGTCCACTTTTCCCACTAGTCAAGACGTGAGGCTAGGTGCATACACGATGTACCTATAGGGAGAAAGAATCTTGAGAGATCCACATGGGAATGACCAAGATTACATTTGGGCTTAGCCATCCAAAGAGCTACACAGACTAGTTGACACTTATGACGGGCTAACTTAGCGTCCGCCGTTCGGGGTCGATTGTGAACTAATGACAATGGAGGCATTTAACAGGTTGATCCTATTGCAGATCACCCGATAGATCACTTTTTGAATTTCGGCACACTAGAGCACCCAAAGTCAAAGTAGGAAAGTTAATCACCATTTTTAAAGTATCTATAGATATATGGGAGCACAAAATATAGAACATACAACATATACTCCGTACTCCATACAAAATACGAAGATGTCTCTCCGCCGTAGGATAATTTGGAATCAACTTCACATGTGAGCACAAATGTACATCAGTGGAGATCATTATGCACAGGATTCGCCACATATCAACCACGCTCATAATTCTAAGACAAGAAAAAGAAAAGAGAAAGAGAAAGAAAAAAAAAACCGGCTTAACCTGGTCATTTCGGCTCCATCGGGGAGGGTTGTTCATCAGGCACTAAAGCTGTAGGTACAGATCCCGACTCATGCACATTGGCCCAGCGCCCGCCACGCGAACCACACCTCGTCTTGGAAAATGCAGAATTTCAAGTTTGGCGGCCTCAATTAAAATCAGGAATGCCGAGGACAACCGAAAACTCCGAAAGGATTCAATGTGGGCCATGTCCAACAGTTTAGTCAAAAGGAACGATTGGCCCGGATGAATCAAATTGGGGAATCCCTACCGCCACTACCGAGTCAATAGAAGCGAAAAAAAAAGAACTGCCATGACAGGTGGGGTTGGAGATTTGGAGTATCAATTTTGAGCAATTGTAATCATGACGAGAACTCGCAGAAACCAGTTGTAATCTCCATCTTATTCGCTACGTCTTTTCTCCGAATGTGGAAGATCCAAGCGATTTGCTTCACCGCGTCTGACTTCAAGTTTTACGGTCAAGCAGAGTTTGAGAAATATATATATATCACGTAAGTGTAAGTGTAAGTATAAATGTAAATGTAAATGTAAATGTCAGAGTAAAAATAAGAATAGAAATAAATTGCATTAAATTAAATTAAATTAACAGCATACACTGTTTCAAGCCCAAAGCGGCAGATCTCCCATACAGATCAAAGCTTTCACCCTCACATGAGCGGAAAGTCATTTCTTTGCCCTAAGTCGACATGAGACTTGGGTCATAATGCACTCAACATTCGCCATTGCAACTCATTGGTGGTCATTGGACTCATTGAACTCATTGGTCTCTAAATTATTTCATTCCTGCAAGGTAGCACGACTGCCTCGTGTTGCTCGGGATTTACTCGAGGTTTCTTTGACTCCAGGGGCGAATGGATCTATTGATGCCACTTTGTATCCCCCACATCCCCAAGGGGGAAAAGGAACCTATCCGCAATTTGCCTCGAGAATCAAAACCAATATTGATGACTGGAGTGGAGTCATGAAATCACAGTGCAATCTCCAAGGTCTTATAGCGACATAAAATAAAATAAATAAAACATTAAAAAAAAACTAAAATAGATGCAGCTGAATGGATCCCATACACACCTAGTCCGAGTCTAGATGAGCTTACAGGGCATTGCCAGTAATAGCATTGTAAGAAGGTTGCATCAAGTGTTGTATTCATGCCCACTTTGATGCAGCCAACCAGTAACAGGGGCATAAGAGAGACCTCAGGGTTATAGTTCCCCTAGATGTAATGAGCTCCTGCCTAGAGGGATACGGACCTCGCTTAGCCCTATGTACCTCTTATTGTGATGATCTGGTAGTAAAGCCGACTGTTATTAGGTCACTTTCTGATGCATCTGATCTAGACCAAAAAGCCGCAAGTTCCCCGAGCTAATGCAAGTTCTTTAAACCATACACTCTTTTGAATTCTAATTGCCCGTGTCGCTCGTTTGCCGTCTTTCTTTTCTTCAACCATCCTTCTATCGCTAGGTGGTTCAAGGAATAGACATGACATCCTCTCGCTATTCAGGGCCTTCGTGTCACGATCTTGATAATACTCTGCGTATTGATGCTGGATCATGTCGCGGAGGATTCGATTTCTCCCTTTTGTTTGAGGAGACTATCCTCGAGATTTTACCTATTTTATTAATACTAATGACCATTCCTATTCGTCTGTGGCAACTATCACAAAAACGAAACAAAGTCGTGCAATCGTGGTTGGTCTTCTTCAAGCTTGTAAGTTGACCTTGTGTTGCTATGCTCTGCTTTCTGCAGTTCACATGCAACCCCCCGATGCCGCCCAGTCTTTGCAATGGGTGGGTTATCCAATTTGGGAATAACATTATCTAACAAACATCTCTGAACAGGCAGCTTGGTTGGCACTACTAGGTCTCCAAATTGCACAAACAGCATTATGGGCCCTTCCGGCAGCCGACAGCACCAAGGCATCGGTTCCAGCCAATGTGATCTTGACAATCGGCATACTTGCTCTCGTTCTGCTTTCATATGCAGAGCACATGCGCTCTGCGCGACCCTCCTTCATTTTGAATACCTATCTCTTCTGCAGCTTGCTTTTCGATATCGCACGATCTAGAACTCTGTGGCTGCGCAGTGTGGACACATTCAATAATATCCTGGCAATTATTGCTACAGTAGCAGTGGGTGTCAAAGTGCTTCTTTTTGTGCTTGAGGCTGTGGAGAAGAGACACATTCTCAAATCGGAATACACCGGGTATCCTCCAGAAGCCACTGCAGGTTTCTATAACCGTGCTGTGTTCTGGTGGTTGAACCCACTGTTCAAGATCGGTTTCACCGGCGTCCTGCGTGTCGAGGACCTATTTTCATTGGACAAAGAACTGAGCTCTGAGCGCCTGCTCGCTCTGTTTGATGAGAAATGGAGCAAATGTAATTATCCCTCCTGGCAATATGCGGTTTGTTGTCTCTTTACTAACATTTATCTAGTGACAACTAAATCCCCGAACACCCTGCAATGGGAGTCATTAAAGGCTGTCAAATGGCCTCTGCTTGCAGGTGTCCCCGCCAGAGCTTGCGTTGTGGCCTTCAACTTCTGTCAACCTTTGCTTCTAGAAAGATCGCTCTCTTTCTTCAACTCGCCCGTCAACAAGAGTACCGAGAGCATCGGGTACGGACTTATTGGCGCCTATATCATGGTTTACGGTGGACTGGCAGTTTCAATGGGCCAGTACCAGCACCTCACGTACCGCGGGATTACCATGGTCCGTGGTGTCCTCGTCACAATGCTATACAAGAAAGCCAGCTGTCTGAGCCTCGGGGAGACTGACCCGGCCAACTCTCTGACTTTGATGAGCGCAGATGTCGAACGCATTACTCAGGGATGGGCGACCATCCATGAGATCTGGGCGAACTCGGTTGAGATCGCTTTGGCTATCTACCTTCTCAAGATTCAGCTTGGAGTTTCCTGTGTTGTTCCTGTCTGCGTCGCTCTGTTTGCTTTGGTTGGATCCCTGGTCGGCATGTCCTTTGTGGTCGCACGACAAGCCAAGTGGCTCGAAGCTATCGAGAAGCGCATTTCCTCTACTTCCGGGATGCTTGGGTCGATCAAAGGAGTCAAGATGCTTGGCTTGCAGAATTCCTTTATGAAGTTCATTCATGGTCTCCGGATCAGCGAGCTGGATATCTCCAAGAAGTTCCGTACCCTTCTGGTTTACAACATGGCTTTTGGCTGGTTGACTCGCATTTTTGCCCCGATCTTCACCTTCGGTGTTTATGTCGGTATCTCAAGTGATCCTTTGAGCGTCTCTCGCGCTTTCACTTCTCTGTCTCTGTTCTCGCTTCTTGCCGATCCTCTTTTGACCTTGGTGATGGCACTCATGTCTTTCGCTGGTGCTGTCGGATCTTTCCAGCGTATTCAACAGTTCTTGGACAAAGAGGACCATGTCGATAGCAGGAATAGCTCCTCACAGACTACTTTCCTCCATGACCTTGCTGAGAAGCGTGCTCTGTCGGAGGCTAAGGACCTTGACCTGTCTTCCATCGGCTCAGACTCTGTTGAGTCGCTCAAGCGCTCCAGTGCTCCTCCTTCTTCAAATGCTGTCGTTGTCCAAAGTGGAAACTTTGGGTGGGAAGCTGACAAGGATCCAATTCTCACGGATATTAACATAACCATCCCTCTAGGCAGCTTTACCGTCCTCATTGGACCGTCTGGCTGTGGCAAGTCTACTTTACTCAAGGCTCTCCTCGGAGAAATCCCCTGTTCCGATGGCAAGGTTGCACTCGCATCTTCCAGCGTCGCATACTGTGATCAAACCCCATGGCACATGAATGGCACTATCAAAGACAGCATTGTCGCGATGTCTGACTATGATCCTCAATGGTATGCCTCTGTGATTTGGGCTTGCGCTCTGGAAGAAGACCTCACCCAGTTCCCTCGTGGGGATGCTGCTGTCATCGGAAGCAAAGGTATTGCTCTTAGCGGTGGTCAAAGCCAACGTATTGCACTTGCGCGAGCAGTCTATGCCCGGAGAAAGATCATGATCCTCGATGATGCCCTCAGCGGTCTGGATGCTACCACCGAAAACCACATCTTCCACAGCCTTTTCGGGCCTAGAGGACTCCTAAAAGAGATTGAAGCTTCCGTTATCGTCGCTTCATCTTCTGTCAAGCGCCTTCCCTACTCTGATCACATCGTTGTCTTGGAGGCAGGTGGTCGGATTTGTGAACAGGGAAGCTTTGCTTCTCTGAGCAAGACTGGTGGATATGTGGCAAGCTTTGGACTCGGGTTGCCCGATTGGGAGCAGAACCCTAAACGATTCTCCGACTCTCACAGTTACAGCAGCAGTATGGACAGTATCCAGAAAGAAAAGGAGACATTGATCGAGGAGCCAGAGAATCACGATAGTGGTGGCGACCTCGGAATCTATACATACTACATCAATGCCATCGGATGGGTTCCTGCGATTGTCTTCATGGTCGCAATGGCCGGTTTCGTGTTCTGCATCTCATTCCCCAGCATCTGGGTAAAATGGTGGGCTCAGTCCGACACTGCACACCCCAAGCAGGAGATCGGCTACTATCTTGGTATCTACGTGATGCTTGGTTGTATTGCTATGCTCGCGCTGATCCTCGGCTGCTGGCAAATGATTATCACCATGGTCCCAAAGTCTGGTGAGAGCTTCCACCGCAGCCTGCTGACTACTGTCCTCGCCGCTCCGATGCTGTTCTTTTCCACTACCGACAGCGGTTCAATCCTCAACAGGTTCAGTCAAGACTTGCAACTCATCGACATGGAGCTTCCTATCGCCGCGATCAACACTGTTGCTACTTTCTTCCTCTGTCTGGCACAAATGGCTCTCATTGGAGTCTCCTCTAAATACGCAGCTATATCCTTCCCGATTGTCCTCGGTATCTTGTTCCTGATTCAGAAGATGTACCTGCGCACCTCCCGCCAGCTCCGTTACTTGGATATCGAGGCGAAGGCCCCCCTATACTCGCACTTCACCGACTGTCTTCAAGGGCTTGTGACCCTGCGCGCCTTCGGATGGCAACATGCTATGGAAAAGAAGAACATCGCTCTCCTGGACCACTCACAACGACCATTCTATTTCATGTTCGCCATCCAGCGCTGGCTCACCCTGTCGCTGGACATGGTTGTGGCAGGAATCGCCGTTCTTCTGATTGTGCTAGTCGTGGCCCTACGTGGATCAACCCTCAGTGCAGGCTACGTGGGTGTCGCCCTGCTGAACGTCATCCAGTTCAGTCAGAGCATCAAGCTTCTGGTTACCTTCTGGACCAACTTGGAGACGCACATTGGTTCTATTCAGCGCATTAAGGACTTTACGTCAACTGTTGAGTCGGAAGACAAGCCTGGTGAAGACCAAGATGTGCCCCCTAACTGGCCCTCAAAGGGTGCGGTCGCCTTCCACTCCGTCTCCGCGGCTTACAGACCCTCCGAGCCAGTTCTCAACGATGTCTCTCTCACTGTTCAGGCAGGCGAGAAAGTCGGCATCTGCGGACGCACCGGAAGGTAAGATAACGATCTCCAATCTAGATTTCTATGGATTCTATTCTAACAAAAAACAACAGTGGAAAAACGTCCATGATCATGAGCATCTTCCGAATGATGGAACTAACCAGCGGCATCATCACGGTGGACGGAGTGGACATCAGTCGACTCCCGCGCCGAGAGATCCGCTCGCGCATCAATGGCGTATCTCAAGACTCCCTCCTTTTCAAAGGCAGCGTCCGATTGAACGCCGATCCAACAGGCAACCACACTGATCGAGACATCTTGGCAGCACTCAAAAGCGTCCAGCTCCTCCCTGCAATCCAAGAAAAGGGGAATCTAGACACCGATGTGGACGAGATCCACCTGTCTCACGGCCAAAAACAACTCTTCTGCCTTGCTCGCGCCCTTCTTCGCCCCGGCAACATCCTCATTTTGGATGAAGCAACTAGCAAGTAAGTCAACTCCCTGTTCGCCCCTCACTTCGACCCACATCTCTCCACTTGCACAATTATTGTTACCAATCCCCCTGCATCTGCATGAGCGTTCATCCGAGCGCGGGTAATCTCCTGTGCGTTTTGCGATCTGTACAATTCACAGCCACACCGTTTTCACCCCTTGCTGCTTGGACCAAGACTAACCACCTTTGTAAACAGCATCGATACCAAAACAGATGAAATCATGCAGCGCGTTATTAGGGAGAAATTCTGTAATCACACCATCATCGCCGTCGCCCACAAACTTGACACCATTCTCGACTTCGACCGTATCGTCGTCTTGGACGCTGGTCGCATTGTTGAGAATGGGGAACCCTATGCGCTTCTCACTGAGCCCAAGTCTCACTTTAGCAAACTTTATGCGAGTGCCATGGCGACGGAGGAATCAGATTGATCTCTCTGTTCTTTGTTTTTTTGTCTTTTTCTTGGGGGTTTTTGGGCCGGTTGTTTGATTGATTTTGGCACCTGTACAGATTGAATCGTCTGGCTATCTCTTTTCTTTTGGCGTGACAATCTTCCACATTCCCTTTTTCGAGGTACATATCGACAACAACATACTCTTTTTGGGCCTGTCTGGTGGAGTTACATATTGGTGTTTTTGTTCTGGTTCATATTCATGTTCATGTTACATTTTTGTTCTGCTTTCATGATTATTATGCTCTTCTTGACTCTCTTTCAATACTTTTATAACCTCTACAGTTACACTTTGCATAAATCCTTTATTTGACTCTTGACTCTTGATCCGTACGCTTTGTTTTGATAATCTAGAACAATAATTCAATGTCAATTATGAATTCCATTAAAATCCTGCTTGCCATTTCTTTAGTGAATTGAAGGGATGGTTGCATGAGTTTTCTTCTCTATACCATTCTCTGCCCATAGTCGAGGAGCAATGCTTTACAGTTCGCGATACTTCAGTATGATCAAACAATAATAGATAAAATATATGGTGAACTCGAATAAACTGCTCTATATCCATATGTTGTAGGGATATGATGCCTGGACGACTATATAGTTGCTAGATATATATATGACCGAACCTACATCCATTTCGAAAATTGACCGCAATTGCTCGACAAAATCATATCATTGAATTAACCATTACCTAGTTATACCTAAGTATGTTTGAAACGAACCACTCACAAACATCTCTTAACTAATACTGGAACAAACTTCCAAGGTTGGGGACTCCCTCAGATCAGCCCATCTACAATATAGCAGTTCAAGAACGGTAGCATTTTTCGCTCCCCTTGCAAAACCTCCGCTACAAAACCTTTGAATTAGCTCTCAACGATCTAACTCTCACACAAATTTATTTTTATTACATAACTGCACCAATTCTGTATAATGAACTGTATGTAAAGTAAATGAATATGGCGTAGTAACAAAGAGTTATAGCACATTCAGCCAATCAGATCTTGTCATCTGACGGTCTTACTAGAGAACAGAGATATCGCCGGGAACATTTTATTGGTAGAGCCGATGGAAAGGTTCAGTATCACTGCTGGCCAATTCGTCTTATTAGAAATCATATCTTTTTGCAGGTGAGGTGCTTGTATCGTACAGCTATGGATCTACTACTCCTGTTGTGGGGATCCTTTTAAAGGGAGAATAGTGTCCTCATGTATAGATATTTCATTATAACACCACAATCCAGATCATTCTAGGATACCATACTACTTTACACACTATGGGCAACTCTAATAGTCCCAGGACGCAACAGGAAATGACCGAGGTGGATTTAGAAGAAAGAATAGAAGAGATTGAATGGGCGGAGGACCCAAACAGCCCAGAAAACTTCGTGCATTGTTTCGTTCAGCTCGCTTTGCATATGTGGCATCAATCTACGAATGAGAACTATAGCAGCTGACCGTCAGTTTCTAAAACATGTACATCTGCATTATTCAAAGGCAAGTCTTTGCTCCATGGAAAATGTGTGTTACTACATTCCTTCTCTCGTGGAACTTCTATTTTGCACTCAAAATATACTGGTAGTCCTGGTAGTATGGCGAAACCAAACATGTTCTAAGCTCAAGTCGCCAAAAATAAGCCCACAGTATCTTAGAAAGAAGTAAAAAAAGCAAATCCTGTTTGCACCCCATCCGATTATGGACTACCCTAACAATAAATAAATGAAAACACCCATGTCAAGTACCATACATTGGAACAAAAGAAGATCGAATTCGACGGAGGCCGTGGCAATTCCCAGGGCCAAAATGCAAAGTCATAGATAAGTCCCCCGCGGAGTACCAACTACAGAACCATCGTTTCATCATTATCCACATCCTTCTCTTCATCAAGACCAAATTCCCAGTCTCCACGCTCAATCCGACTGACGCGGTCGAGCTCAGACTGGAATTCACGACGCAAATGCTCGAGCGTGACGATAATACGACGCTTAAGCAAGTGGTTGGTCGCAGGGACTTCGAAGGACACAATGCTGTTACGCCGTTCGATGGCGGAAGATTTGCTGCTTCCTCTGCCGTGGGTGGGTGCGAAAGCCACGGCATTGGATGGTCGGCGCTTGCCTCCGAGTGGTGTGGGGGAGGCGGCGTCGACGTCCTCCATGGAGACATTTCCGTCTTCATCGGCTTGTGTGCTTGGGCGTCTTTCATGGGGAGAAACGGGAGCGGCGCTGATTGGAGGTCCGTTCTCAACGAGGATGTATGCTTCACTTTTGTCGACACAAGCGAGAAGGTTGATTAGTGACAACAACTCGTGGCGAATTTCCTTGCTTTCAGCATCGTCTTCCTCAACTGGCGAGCGGGCTGCATCGTCAGCTTCCCTGCCCTTGAGAGTGAGGGCCGATGACGGGGCATCTCGTGCTTTGCGGAGGCGCTGGACATTGCGGTAGGCGATTTCCGCGGCGCCACGGTAGTCACTGCGGGCAATGCGATAGGCCTGGAGAATGCGGGTGTAGTCGGGGGTGGCGGGGAAAATTTTGTTGTCTGCATCTAACCAGGATACATTGGTGGTCTGTTTGCGGGTCAGGTGAACGAGGATCTCGTCGATGAAAGATGCGATGTTGGGCACGAGTGAGGTGGGGAAACGGAGAATCTGCTTAAGTCCAGCAGTGCCGGGCCCGGATACTGCCAGGATGGTGGAGATGAGTTCGGAAAGCTCGGTTCTTTGTAATTTAAGATCCTGCAACCTAGCCAGAGCGGAGTATGCCTGGTCAAACTGGCAAGTCTTGAGGGCTCCAGTAAACAAACGAGACAACAGATCGTCGCGTACGGTCGGGTATTCGGAGTCTTGCTCAGCCCAAACTTCGGAGTCAAGGGCTTGCAGCGCCAGGCTGGCAAAGTCCGCGACATGGGAGTATGAGCGCACTTTTTCGAAAATTGAAAGGATGTGCTGGTAGTATTTCGCGAGACCGTTGTGGAAGCAGTCAACATCAAGGAGGTCTAAAAGCTCTGCCGACATGTCGGAAAGATTGCCCATTGGCTTGCCGCAAGCTGCATTTAGGGTTAGCTGAGTTACATCAACACGAGAAATCGCTAGGAGATACGTACAGAGCAGGTAAGCTGCCTTCCGGAAGTAGATTGCTGCAGTATCAAATTCCGACATAGCCACATGCAAGCGACCCTTGACATACGTTGACCAGGAAGTGCTTGCCTGGAAACGAAGGAAGTCCCATGCAAGATCAATGTTGTTCTTGGCGATCAGGTCACACTGGATGTGGGCCACTGCGTTTTGATAGTTCACCTCACCTTCGCGGGTAATCCAGGCCACAACATCTCGGATCCCCAGTGTCAAGGTATAGCTTTGTGGGGAGTCAATCGCTTGCTGGGGCTTGATGTCGGTAACGAACAGATCCTCCAGAATGCTTGCAGTTCGTTGGCTGCTGGTCTTCGAGCTGTCTTTCAGTGGATATCTCTGCATTGGGTCGACACGGGATTTGCTTGCGCTATCGGGGCATTTGCGGACATTCGAGCTGAGCCAGGCCATCATCTCATATTCCCGCAGGAGATCAACAAGCATCGAGAAAAGGTCGGACGCATCGAAGTCAGACTTGCTTGTTTGTTCCCATTCACCATCCACGAATGTAACCAGGATGAGGAGATCGAAAAAGATTTGACGAGAGATAGAAATAGTTTCCTGTGCACCACTGACAAGAACTCGGGCACCAAAACAAGTTGAAGCAAGTTCCGAGTCTTCTCCGCAGAAGTGAAGGGAGGCGGTCTGGATAATGGCAAGGAAAGCATCCATGGACAGGCAATCGGTTCTCATGTGTTCACTCAAGGCCGCGTCTAGGGTGTCAAAGGATTTGTTGGAAATTTGATTGGCAAAATCAGAGCGCTCTCGGAAGTTCTCCATGCGGTCCAGGATCGACGAAGAAGGCTCAGAAAATATTTCGGCCTGGAGGGCGGCTCGGCACGCTCCCTCAAGCTCTGGGGAGAATCTTTTCCGGAAATCGGATGCGACTTTCAACAATCCAGAGGCTGTTTCGAAATTCGGGCCCAGCTCTCTTGAAACATTGCGATGTCTCCAGCGGTCCACCATCTTTGGCACTCCATCGCTAAGTTCGGAGCTTGAGTTGTGCAAGAACAATTCAGTAATACTGCATTCCCGCACCACAGCGCAGGAGTCTGACAGAAGGAGCCACGGCATATCGGTGAATGAGTCGTAGGCGAGAGAAATTGGTTCGAACCGGCGTTTGTTAAGGTCTTCCGCAACTTGCCAGAACTGACGCCACTTTGAATCTGTATCTGAAGTATACCGGGAGTAGTCCATCTCCTCATCAGCAAATTTGCGGAGAGAGACTGCCGCTGCTATTGTAGAGCAAAGTTGTTCCGCCAAAGGCAAACTCTTTTTCAGCCCTCCAGACGAAGTCGACGAGAGTGGCTTGATGGCCTCCTGGTAAACGGCCAGAGCAGTCTCAAGAACTTCTGGCAGATATCTATTCGGCTGCAGGAGATACTGTAGCCACTTTTCAGTGGGGTCCACCACATCATCCACGACCAAAGGTGGAGGCAGTTCTTGTCGATGGGTTTCGAATGTTGTCGAGACCCAGTTGGAGGCCCAATCCGTGACTAGAGTTTGGAGATTGAAATGGAGGGTGTAGAGCTGGTAAAGACCGTGGTTTCTCCAGAGCACCCACAACTCCATTCCCTTGCCTTCTTCCCGGGATTTGACCTGGAAATCAGCGATGTTCCAGAACATGTTACCCGTAGCATCCGGGTCCACAGGTCGGAAGACATCGTCTGCGAAGAGTTCCTCAATAATGAGTTCCGATGTCAGGCCACCCTTGACAGCCCAAAACTTGAACTTGCCGTCCTCAAATGGCGAATATGTGACGACATAGAAGCGATGCCCACCATCCATAGCTCGCTCAGCGTTGAAGACGCGCATGAACGATGTCTCGGCGGGGTTGAGCGTGTAAGGTACAAGATCCGGATCCTGAAGCGAGCGTCCCAGGAGATCCTTTGTGGCCGCCAGCTTGTTCGTCGCGAGATTCCAAATCTTAAGAGTGTGGTTCAAACAAATGGCGAAAACGTACGTCTCATCGGAGGTAGTGGCAATGGCATTTGCGACATTCAAATCGAGGTTGCGTCCGTCGTGCTTGATCGAGGAGGGTGCGTTCCATTTGACGAGGCCTCGAATCGAAGAGCCCCATGTTCGTTCGTCGAAAGTGAGAGGAGACCAGTGGGAACCTATTTTCAGAAAAAAATTAATAAGAGAGTGTCGCAGAAGTAGCAGGTCCGAGAAAAATCACTCACCATCGTCACCCGCTCTCCGGGTCAGCCGCAGGAGCGCGCCATTGTCGAGAGAGATGAACAACTCCAGGGGACTGCTCGCGTGTAGTCGGTGGGGGTTCGAAAAAGCCAAAGGAGCCGGGAGGCAGGTCTTGCACCAATCCCTCACATTTTCATCGATTGAGGAGGTCCTGCGGAAGAATTCAGGGCGTAGAGACAGGGTGTGAAGGTGCTTGGAGGCGGTGATCACAAAGACATTGATGAGTTCGTGATCCTCGGAGTCGGACAATTCAACTCCAAACGGGAGAATCTGCTCCTGGAAATCCAGTCGCAAGGTCACATTGTATTCGTAAACTTCCATCCCACCCTTCGTCAGGTCCGCGCACTGGATCTCTAGCACTTTGTTGTCGTTGATGACCCTCCATAAGAATGTCCTCGGATAGACCCTGCGCTTCCGAAAGTAGATCTCACCCTGTGTCGCAAGGTGACGTCTGGCGAATTCATCTTCATCTTTGGCGATTGGGAGTTCCTGGTCGGAGGATGAGATCGAAAAGCGTGGACGACGGATCGCGGTCTCTTGAGTCGGAATCTGGATGTTGGCGACCGTAGTCGGCGAGTAGGGCCGAAGGTCGACCCTTGAGTCTTTGTAAATTTTCGCCATGATCGATTGACGTGTGTCAACTTAACACTCCATGGCCGGGGAAGTAGAAAGGTTGGAAGATCGAAGGGCGGGAAGCTGGAGCTCTCAAAAAACATGGGAAGTCTTGGCGCGATAAAAGGCCTGAGATTGATGGCTTCCGCCCTCGACGTTTACTCTTAGACTTAGACCACTCATGTTTTACTCTATTACAGGGTTATAATATAAAAAGAACTTAAGAATAAAGAGAAATTAGTCTTTCTAAATTCGCTACTATCAAAAAAAGATCCCCTCAACGCTGAGATGTCACGGGGCGCTCTAACCACATAAACAGCTATTGAATGTAGTGTTCATCAAGTCAATAACATCATGTCACAAAACAAAATAAGAGCAACCTTAGGAAAGGTCGGCTCATTTATCTTCCAAATCCTTCTCACTAGGATCGCCGATACCATTATCATTGATAGCGAACAGGCAATCACTTTCCGGAAGACAAGGACTATCATAAATCTTGCAAATTCGAGTCTCACCACGGCCCTTCTTCAGACTGAGTCGAGTGGTACTGGCATGAGCGATGATATTACCACCAATGGGTTTCTTAGGATCTGGGTTAAACATGGCACTAGGACCACCATCGACTTGGGCAACAACCTGGTTCGTGATCACGACTGCAATGCCAAATTCATCTGCGAGGCGTTGCAAGGTACGCATGAACTTAGCCAAATGAGTCTGCCGTGAGGCGAGCTCACCACGACCGTTGAAATCCGTTCGGTACAGAGATGTCGCCGAATCAACAACCAGGAGCGAGAACCGCGTCTCACACATCATCTGGGAGGCCTGGTTAAGCAATTGGAGCTGGTGGTCCGAGTTGTATGCTCGTGCGTATGCCACATTATCAAGGACTTCCTCGCCAACAAGACCGTATCGCTGCGCGACCGCAAGCAGCCGCACTGGACGGAAAGTGCCCTCAGTATCGATGTAAAGACACTTGCCCTCGCCGCCACCCATATCAAAAGGCAGCTGGCAGGTCACTGCGAGAGTGTGACAAATCTGACTCTTTCCCGTTCTGAACTCTCCGAAAATCTCCGTGATAGAACCTGTTTCAACACCACCTCCGAGTAATGTGTCAAGTCGCTTGGATCCCGTTGTAATCGAGATGAGCTCGCTTCTTCGGGCATGCATTTCGGTTGCCGTTGTGAAGCCCATGGGCACCAGTTTTGAGGCTAATCAGCACATTCCCATTAGCAAACCAATCTCCAATGTAGAGCTTATTGTATCACAGAAGACGTACCTTCTACTAGGATCTTGGTAGCCTTTTGTTCCGATATACCCTTGATCTGTTCCAGCAACCGCTTGGGCCTAAAGTCACAGCGGGTGTTAGCCAGATTGAGATGCACATGACAATGGATATAGCAGAGCTGCCGTCGGAGAAAAAAACGCTGCAGTGAACGTGAAGATCATGGATACGTACGTGTAGGCGACAGACTCGACAGTGTTATACCCTGCATCCACGAACAACTTAATATCCCTAGCAGTCAAGCCAGAAACACCCTATAATAATAAGGTTAGTATAAATCTCCAACATTCTGCAGCAAAAGCATATCGTCGTGGCATTCACTCACGTCAAGCGCAGAAAGCGGGGTCGGAGCACCTGGGCCAGGAAGCCCATTGTCCTCGAATTGCTCTTCTCCCTCCATACTAGCAGTATTATCCTTTATTTCTCAATGTTATCAGGATCTTGATGCCTCTTTGGCAGGGTCTCTTGACTCGAAAGCACGGATGATGGATCCACTCAAAAAGACGCGTTTAGGGTGAGATGAATACTCGCTCTCCTCGGTTTGAATACGAAACAAAGCCAGGGATCTCAATCAATCAGTTAAAAAGCAGGCAGTCTCTGATTGTGCAAAAGTCCGAAAGGTCTGAAGCGTCTGTTTGTGGCAAAAAGCTCAGGATGACTCCGAGTCAACAAATCGGACGCGTCGAATGGATCGCGAGGTCACGTGGGGCGGTGCTGCCTTGGGCGTTTCCGGTTCTGGAGAAGTAGAACTGTCTACGGAGTACTCTGTTCTTTGTTTTTTACATATGCTATCTTATGATTAATTGGCCAGCAAGATCTCCATTGGGGTGGATCAATTACTGTATACCCGGTGGATCGGATGCCATTGGTTCAATATGCGATAATAAAAGGTGTAAGAATACAAATCCTGCAATGAACTGCTGAGACCCCACCTGTCCATTAAAACATAATCCCTCGAGGTTCTTTTGAGTCATGGAAAACCAAGCGCTAGAAAACTGCCCATGAGCTGCCGCAACGCCATATCAAAATCAATGCTAAATGTCCGAGCAAAAGCAGGTGTCGAAAGTCTTACAAGGTAAACGTTCTGATGAACTCGATTTCCTTGCGAGACAATGACCTTTTGTGAACTGCACCTCCCTACTGTTGATTTCCAGGAGAATTGAGCCAAGGACGAAAAGGACGAAGCAACGACCTCCGGAACCGTCTCTGGTACTGGCGCAGAGCCGGGTTGAACTCCAGCTGGTCGGCTGGCAGCCCCACCTCGACATTGTCGTTGAAGATTTGGCTCATCCTACGTCGGAACTCTTCCGATGATCGCCGGCGAAGACGTTCTATAAAGGAGTCACATTAGTTTCTCTGTTCAATCCCTACATCACAGCAAATTTGACTTACTCATGGATCGTGAGCTCCGCTTGTTCTCTGATGAAAAACCAGAAGATGACTCACTGATGGCCGAGACATAGTCCATGTCTTCATCGGCGCCATCCAATCCTCCTCGGTAGTCCTTAGTGTCGGGACTAGAGGCTGCACCGAATAGCCGCGTGTGGAAGCTAACACGCTTTCCGCTGCCTGCTGTGTCCTTCAAGCCGATCATTAATTCCTCCCGTGCAGGTGACATGCGCATGGCATTTGGGTTGATGGGTAGACTGGATCGACTATGAAGTCCGGCGGGTCTGTGGTCCTCGTAGATGAAGCCTGCGGAGGCTAGGTCGAGCTCGGAAACGACTTCACGTCGGGCAGCTGGTGGCATAGGCTTTGGGCTGATCAGGGAACTTGGGGATTCCACCGAGGAGCTGGGGGTGTCAGCGATTCTATATAGCGACCCTGGCGCTGGACTGGCCGGTTCACTTGCAACTGGAGTTGCAGGCTGACACGGACTTTGCGTGGGTGAAACCCAGATCCCTTGAACTTCTACTCCTCTTTCCAGAGCTCTGGCACCGAAAGGGATGTCATCCTTGTGCAGCATTGGGTAGACCTCAGCTTCCCGCTCTCGTTCTTTTGCCTCTGTCTCGGCGTATTTGATCATCATCCAGCGATTCCAGCCGAGGACGCAACCGGCGTAAAAGAGCACCAGGACCTACAAAACTTGTTAGTTTGTGCCTTTGTAGCGTTACCATGGAGCCACGTACGATCAGCAAGGCTAGAACCTGTCAACGACAATGTTCAGTAGAGGATCTCCGTGATCATAAGTGGGTACTTACCACGCTCAGCTTCTCCCAAAGCTCCCAGCCGACCCAAAACGCCATATTAGCTGGGTATTTTGAGATATACCCGTGCGTTACCTACGGGAAGATCATCCGAGTAAGAGTGTTCAGAGTTTATTTTGGGGCATGGGTGAAGGATAATCGCAGATAAAAAAGACACTGAGATGGAAAGGATTCTTAGGTTTCGAGATGAGAGAGGCAATTTGTTTGGAAACAGGGAAAGGGCCCAAATGTAGGTCACGGTAGGGCAGTGAGGGCAGGAACGCCTGCTTAATTGTATGACCGTATATTTCCATCTTTACATGAGCCTTTCTTTCTTCTCTTTTCTTACCCATGGTATCTATCTAAGTATGTAGCATGTAAACAGGTGAACATACAATATGATTTCGATACTCCATGACTGATATAAAATGTCCTGTTCAGTAGACGTCATATGAATCGCAACTATGAAGGCTATCAAAAAGAAGAAGGGACATCAGAAAATGAAAAAGTCCCAATAATATTCATTAATATTCCCGTACAGAAAAGAAAAGTGCAAAAAAAAGAAATCTCTCCCTCGGGGAATCGAACCCCGGTCTCCCGCGCTTATCGGTATTAATGACAAGCGGAAATCATCACCACTAGACCAAGGAAGATGCAATGATCGAGTTACTGCTCGACCACTTGGCTGGTTGATGGAAGATCCTGGCCATCTGGACATTATGAGCAGCTTCACACAGAAAGTCATAATTGGTTATTCCGAGGCGAACATCGTGAAAGCAGTTTTTTTTTACCAAGATTTTACAAAATTTTCAAAATCTATGGGAAACTTGTCTCTTTCCAATTATTACAGCATTACATTATGGCCTGGGTGTGCTGATGGGGGTGAAAGTGAATTAACTTGGCTGCACTTGATTATATATCGTCTCATAGATCTCCGAGTCCAATAACCACGACTGACCACCCAACATAAAATCACTAAGTAGTATATGATTTGTACTCAAAACACTGCAATGAACCCCACTTCGCGTCTTTCCGAGGAGACAAGTATCCAGTATTGCCATCCTGACAGCCCTTGAAAGCCCCATAGGTCTCTCCTACCCAGTCCTCATTCTGACATTTCTTACCCGAATATATAACGCACTTCCCAGATTTGATGAAAAATGACCTCGCATTTACGAGTTTACTGGAGGCACAGGTGCCCCAGTTGAGGCCACCATCAGACCACCATCGACAGGACGTGGTCGTATCCGAGATTTTGGTGTCGGTATTATCCGCGAGGACAATGCAACCCCCAACAATTTGGTCCTCATGTCCTTGAGCAGAGTAGTAATCACCCTTACAACCACCTTTCTCATATATGGTTATTTGCCACGTTGCAGTTGGGGCCACACTGGCCGTGGTTTTGTCTGGTGGTGGGACCATTTGAATGCTGGTCAAGGTAACCATAACTGCTTTTGTAGTCTTTGAAATTGTAGTCGGTTTTGATGTAGTCGTCGGTTTTGAAGTAATCGTTGTTTTCGAAGTAGTAGTGGGGTTCGAAGTAGTAGTAGTCTTTGAAGCAGCACTTTTGGTTGTGCTCTTCGGTCCACAATTGAAGATACAACTGCCAAGCGGGCTCACATCACAAAAGTTCGAGAGAGTGCCACATTGACCAGATATAGCACACTGTAAATATAGTTAGTAGAGGTCAACTATATGGGAAACTTGGACATCTATAACACTCACGCATTGAGTTGAAGGGCATGGGTTTAGAGAGGCGAGATCGGAATATTTGATAGGGCGTCTTGTACCGGGAACCTGGGGACCGCAGACAGCATTCGGGAGAGCAACGGGCATAGGAAGGGCACCAGAGCTGAGACAGACGAAATCGCCTTGCTTGATTTTGGCACAACCTGGCCAGCCCCAGGATCCGACATTCCAAGTCTCGATATTGCTGGTAGTGACCTGGTAACGCTGAGCAAGTTTTGCGCAGGTATCGCCCTCCTGAATGGTGTAGGTGTAGCAGATACCATCACCATCTGGCGCAAGTGGAGCGCGCTTGTTGAGTGAATGACCATGAGAGTCCCCAAAGCTACGCCCAGACTGGGCTGTGGCTATGTGGGCAAACAACAGAGAGAGAAGGATATGAATGGAAATCATTGCATTGAAGATACCCCTGAGCATGACTTTCCATCGAGGAGACCAGCCCATTCTTTATAAGTAGTTGAATACCAGAAAAAGGAAATCTTTCGAGATTATAAGACGAGCACTGCCGGAGCGTACACATGAAACATGCCCATCGAGTCCAGTTCATTGTTCAACTGCAGACCCTAGGAACCCTACAAGATTGTATCCTATCACATTGGTTGATGGGCGAGTATAAACAATTCGTTTTCAACAAAGAACGATATCACGCTCCACCTATTAACATCTTTGATTTGCCCTTTGTTTCCTTAACTACAACGCCTAAGATTGAGCGGGTTTGGAAGAAACAGAATCAATATGTGATGCACAAGCAAGTAAATTGTGGGAAAAGTTGTGCATACAACGGAAAACGCTCAAATGCATCAAAATATAGATCAGGCAAGGGCCAATGTTAGAACAATAACCCAATACTTGGTTAAAGAATGCGGGGATGGAGATTTAAATAAAAAAAAGCAAAAGATCTCAGACTCCGGATAAAGCTAAAAGAAAGCCCAAGGTAAAATCGAGAGAGAGTTGAGGACAAAGAGCGTATTCGGCAATGGCGCTCGCGCGTCTGGCGGTACTATTGAGACTATATCCCCAAACAGTACTCAATAGTGTTGATGGAGTCACATAGGTCCTATTCTAACATCAGAGGCAAGAAACCTCTTTCAACTCCAGAGTCATGCGAGAGTCCAGGGGGCGATTTCCTTTGGTGCCATATTTATCTCGGGGAGGCTTGAATATCGGGGATATAGGCTTCCTTGTACCGAAAACCTGTTCAATAGCTACATGTCTGATACAGAGTAGTTATCAGGGCAAAGCAAGAGAAGTTGAAAGGAAAGCAGAGGAAGAGGAATAAAAAAGAATACCAACGACAATTGCCAAAACAGGCACGGGAACAAGGCTGACTTAGAAGAACCGAGATATATCTGCGAATAGGCTAGCAATAGCCCAAAGTGGGCCGATGATCTGCACGGGGCAGGTTGCAGCAAATCGCATCTTTCCGATAAGAGTCGGAAATTCATGCCATCAACTCCCTGTGAGCTGGTTGGAATAATACAATAAAGTTCAAGCGCCGTGGCTTGAAGACCCGGGACCTGACGGAATTGTGGCAGACTCTTCATGGCCATAACAAGTCTCACGTCTTATGATTTGTTAGGTTGAAGGGATTGCGACATCACTATCCAATGACCTCACACTTAGATTCGGACATCATTATCGAATGAAGTTAGCATGGACTAGTTTGTCTGCACGCGAAGTCTGCACGAATCTGCACGCGGAACTCCGATGCAGGGGTAACCGTTTCTCCTCACCCGAGGTGGGGGAAATATGGCTACCTGGTCTTGTTCCTGAAGCCCTGTCTTCCGTTGATTGCCTGCTCGTCAGCCACACGATCTATAACTGTGTTGTCATGAATTTACATACCATCTATTTATTTAGATAGTTATATACAAATTATGTAAATTATGTATTTACAACTCCACATTTATTCACCTCTCCCGCCTTTTCTCCTGGGCACCATTGCTTGTTGAAAGCTTGGCACTCTTATCTTTCACAGGCTAATGGCTAGACGACAAGGCTATATTAGCTTCCAAGCCACAGTCACATCAAGTTGCTACTGCTTACTTTGTACTAATAATTATCGCCGATGCGCCGTGAAGAGAGCGATCACTTCCCCATTAGATCCGGTTTATCATTCCACGATCCATGTTAATCTATATCAACATCTCTAGGCTCCGTCGGAAATCCGGAGGGTTAGAGCTTGTACCTTTTTAGTGTACATGAGAAACAGACAATGTCATTGGACTAATACCTTAGTCTTTAATAGTATACGTGGATATCATGCACGGAACAGGCCCGAGCAATATAGGCATCTGGGTACTTGCGACTTGAACTTGCAAGCAGCTGCGCGGATAAAGTGAAATTCTTCATGCCATGCCCCATCCTAGGTTTATCCATCGGTCTCCGACGGCATCAGAAGATATGAGGTGATGTTACATTGAGAGAGACGCATTGAATGTGCATTAGTTCGAGTACAACATACTTCGGGGTTATTGTATGTTACTTTTGAATGAAGCTACAACTGGACATGACAGCTATATAAACAGCCATTTCCCTGCGAGTATTCTGTTATTCACACAGCCAAACCTCCAGTTCCTTCAATCGAACAGTCCAATCTTCCAATCTGCACCATGAAGTTCTCCGCTACCATCCTCAGCGCCGCGTTGCTCACAACGTCGGCTATCGCAGCTCCTCTCACCGAGCAGCGCGCAGCACGCAAAGCTGCCCGCGCTGCGAGCCGAGCCGAGCGTATCAGCCGTCCGGCTTACAAGCCCGACACCAAGGAGCTTCTCAAGGTGAACGGAACCACCCAGGAGGAGTACAGCTCCAACTGGGCCGGTGCTGTGCTTATTGGCAGCAAGTACACCTCGGTCACCGGTGAATTCACCGTTCCCAAGCCGAAGCTTCCCTCCGGTGCTTCGTCTGGCGAGCAGTACTGCGCCTCCGCCTGGGTCGGTATCGACGGTGACACTTGCGACACCGCCATCCTCCAGACTGGAATTGATTTCTGCATCCAAGGAAGCGAGGTTTCCTACGATTCCTGGTACGAGTGGTACCCGGATTATGCCTACGATTTCTCCGGCATCTCCATCTCCACTGGAGATGTGATCAAGCTCACTGTGACTGCTAAGTCCAAGAACTCCGGCTCTGCTGTCATCGAAAACCTCACTTCTGGCACATCTGTCACCCACAAGTTCTCCGGTGTCGATGATGGAGATCTCTGCGAGACCAACGCTGAGTGGATTGTTGAGGACTTCGAGAGCGGCGGCTCCTTGGTTCCCTTCGCCAACTTCGGAACTGTGACGTTCTCCAATGCCGAGGCTGTCTCTGGCAGCTCTACTGTTGGCCCATCTGGCTCTACTATCATGGATATCAAGCAGAGCGGTAAGGTCTTGACCGAGTCTTCTGCTAGCAGCGGCAGTGTTACTGTCAGCTATGCCTAAGCTTAGACACAATGGTTCAATCAACCCCTGCCGCAGCATTGGAAGATTGGAAACGCAACACTGGACTGCACTGATGTGAAGGAGGACTGTGAGATTGCAAAGGGAGCAGATTTTGGCAAACAGCAGAAGATCATATATGTTATCCTTCTTTATGGTAGATAAATTGGAAGCAAATCGAAACCTATTTTGCCTTGATTGAATATCGTGGCCTTGTTCTAGATAGAGTAGAGAACTATTTAGCTTAGTCGCGTAGTGGCATCACATTGTGTGCAGTCCTCGGAAATGGACATTGTAGGTAATGTTTAGCTAGACTAACTTTCTCCGAACTAATATGAATCAAATAAAGATTGATGGTGAGCATTCAAAACTGTCCCAATCAAATCAGTGCAACCAGCGGATCTTATGTTCTACGCGAGTAATCTCAGCGATCCGAGCACAATTTATCACGTTGCGATGTATATCGGGGAGGGAGAAATGTTAGAGGCATATGATTCCAGGACTCCAGTGAGAATCACGCCCGCTCGCTTGGACGAAGAATACTGGGCAGCGGAGCGGTTCTTAACACAATGAATGATGGATTCGAACGTAATTGTAGATACTGATAAGCTAATGGTACTTACAAGGCGAGAAGAATGTCAGAAGATTTTCTTTGCAAAGTTATATACAAGATGGAATATTCTAAGTAGCGCAAACCCCGGGTCCACGGGTGAAAGATGAGATTATGTAATTGAGATGAACCACGCCAAATATGATACAGGAATGTTGATACAAGAATGTCTAATGATCTCCCTCCAAAAAGAAAAATAACCAGATCTATAGATAGTGTACAGAGTTGTGCTTTAACCTAAGCACCAGTAACCCTCAGCACAAATTCATATACGCCAAGCGTAATGATAGCCGAGGGTAAAGAACGGAGCATGTGAGGAGCGAGGCCTCCGTACAAGCCCGCCATACCTTCTTCTTTAGCGATGGTACGGAAGCATTGTACCAGGCCTGTGTATTTAGGCTGACCATGCTCAACGGGTGCTTGGCGCAATCGTGTTCGGATAACCTAATAATGTAAGTGTGAGACCAAAACAATTGCCTTGGAGTGACGTACCTCATGAGGATATGTGATTAAACCTGCCACTAGCTTAGCGGAAGATGCGGCACCACTAGTGCTAACCCAATGGAAAACTTCGTTCCAGAAGGGAGTCCTTGGCCCCTCGGTAGCTTCTAATGACCGATTGAGCCTGGTTTTCAACTGCTCATAAAGCACCAAGTGTAAAGCTGTTTCAATCGAACCCAGATAGCTTGCGCTTAGTCCTCTGTAAAAGCCACCTAGCCCCTCAGTTCGCATGACCTGCCTGATGCAATCAATGCTATTGCGATATCGACGAGTTGAAGCACCACCGGCGTGTGTTTGTGTTTTGTCAAGTTGAAGCCGTGTTTTGACAAGCCATATTGGATTCGTTGCTGTAGAAGTTGCGAGACCTGCGCAGATTGCAGCTTGAGCATGGATGAGGGCCGAGTCTTCCGTGTGTCCCATGAGTTGAGCTCCGACACGTTTGCAATTCCCGTATACGTAAAACTTGATCGCGGTCGCCGGGACTACACCCGCCATGCTAGGACCGAGGCCTCGAAAGAAAGCTCGCCAGCCCTCAGCACGATAGATGGAGCTGATAATCCGGAGTGTTTTATGATTTGATCGTTGAAGAGGTCGTGATGTTTGGTTTGATTGTTGAGAGGCGTCGGAGCCCCTATTTTGTGGTTGGTAGAAATCGGACTGGAGGCGTGTTCGTAAGACATCAAGAGGCGAAGTCACTATCGCAGTAGCCATTCCGCCGCTCCTAGATAGATGTCAGAATGGTCAAGGATGATAGTAGCTGGGAAAAACATACGCGCCCGCAAGAAGGTGCACCCAAGAACTAACAGCCTTCTTTGTCGCGAGAACAGGGATAACCTGTTCCCCTCCTTTTGTAGGATCAAACCGATCCTGAGTATTCCCCTCCATATTTGCGTCGTACATTGATGAAGATTGAGATCGCGAAGGGCGAGTCTGGACACTTTTTTTCGGCGATATGCTTTTCCGCCATTCACGATCACGTGTATGGCTTATCATCACGTGTATGGCCCTCTTATCGCATTCATTGTCATCCCAACAATTCCAACCCCGGAGACCTCGGAATATGTACCCACTAGGTTGGTCAAAAGATCATAACAAAAATCAAGACGTCCGATCGTCGCTGCAGCTATATAAAATATATAGGGTTGGTACATACATACACACTTTTTGGGTAATTGTGGCCTTGGTGCCTGAAGCGCGGTCATCGGACTGCCCTAACTAGTCAGTGATATTGTCAATTTCGCGCTCTCTCTGTTCAGAATGTCCTCCTGTCTTTCTCTTTCATTGAATCAATTAAGTTCTTAATGATCTCTCCGTATTGTATTATTAAAATTGGGAGAGGAAGATCATTAAATTTGACAAAGACGGGCACAGTTTGTCTATCCCATCAAGATCTACAATGCCTCTCGTATAAATCTCATCACACCGATGCCAATTTACATGAACCAAAGACAAAATAGAATGTCACTGGGTTAGTTCTAATTTTGTAATTATATAGGAAGAAACTAAAACTTTTGAGTCTCATGACCGACTAGCGTGTTGTCCCCCACTACAATACGGAATTCATTCTTCTTTTTTAGATATTGATTTGATATTCATTAGAGACCCTTAGACCTGATTTGAAAATCTCAAATCTCAACATTTCGTAACGTTGGATTCCATCTCTGGGACGATCTCTGTCCCGCATCCATTCAAGGTGCTCCATTTCTTGGATTTCCATGCTGGGATACCAGCCTCGAAAAGAAGATCCATCTGTTAAATCAGTAAGTATGTGTTGCGATAACTGCGATGGCAATATGCCGAGAATGAAGCTTTAAATATGATCAAACTTACATCGGCACCCGAGAGTCCAGAGAGTTCTGGTACGTAAAAGTACGCCCATACAATTGAAATGACAACCATGGCAAGCCATATAAAGCATACCTTAATTCCAAGATCTGCCGCAGTGGCATCGACCAGGTATGGTGTTACAAACCCAATCGCCCAAGTCGATAGCCAATATACTAGCATGGTGATAGTGGATTGATGAAGTCTGAGGCGCTGAGAGTAGGGTTCAGTCATAATAATCCAGCCTGGAGATTGTCAGTAAAGATCAGTGGGAAGAGCCACAGCCAGGGATATTGCAAGATTGCTTTCATACCTATACTACCCCAAGTCGCAGCGTAAGCTGCAATAAAAATCACCGTGCCCGCAATCAGAGAGTTATGACCGCTGGTGGTGCCTGGAGAGACCATATTGATGACCGCCGGAACCAACATTGCCACTCCCATGATCATACCTCCCCACAGCAGACATGAACGTCGGCCGACTTTTTCCACCAAGAAGGTAGATAAGACCGTGAATATAGCGTTCACAAGTGCCAGAATCAGTGAAATCAAGTATGAGTTACTGACTCCAGCCTGCTGGAAAAATGTTGTGCCGTAGCCAAACCAAAATGTGATCCCAGTAGAGATGGTCAAAATCGCCATACACACCCCAAGTAACTGGCGGCGCAGGTTTGATCCCTGGAAGCATTCAATGAGTTGAACACTGCTATGAGTGCTTTGTTCTGCGACCCAGCTAGTGATTTCCTCGTACTCTTGCGACATTTCTTCAGAGTTCATGCGAATATTTCGAAGGACCGCAAGGGAAATGCGAGCCTCTTCGGGCTTACCCTTCTTCAATAACAAGACGGGTGATTCAGGGGCAACGATAGCTCCCATAAAGACCACCAAAGCGAGGAAAAGTTGAAAAGCGATAGTTATCCCTAGTGCAAGAAAAGTTAGTGGCCGACGATGTATCACTTCTTCTGTTGGTAAAATTTATACTTACGCCATGTGTTGGCACCAGATAGCTTACTTGACCCCATGCTGATGCCACATGCCAATACATTACCACAGGTGAGAAAAAGAGTGTAGAATGACACTAGTCGACCTCTTGTGTTTCCGTTGGAGGATTCAACTAAGTACATAGGAGACTGTCAAAGAATTGGCCTAATTTTAGTAACTTCTCTTCGCCACTTTGGAATCTTCCCAATGAGTTAGACTTACCACAACAGAAATGATTCCAAGCGCTGCACCTAGGAATATACGGCCGATGGAAAACGCTGCTGGCGGTGGGGCAACAGTCTGCATTATGACTCCAATTGCATAAACTATTGCTGCCAGGATCAAACTGCCCTTGCGGCCAACTATAGGACATTTGTTAACAGAGCACTATGGAAAACCGAAAGCAGCGATTTGGTTCGGGGAAAGACTTACTTCGATTACCGGTGATGAAAGCTAGAACCGACCCTAGCATTGTCCCCACTGCCAAAATGGAAGTAAAAAGTGATCGGGTCTCAGGTTTTAGATACCTTGCTCCAGTTGAATCGTCTGTTATCCCGTATCTGTCGATAAAATCCTCTGAGCCTAAGACACCATTCAAATAGCCTGAGTCATATCCGATCAACGTCCCTGTAAGAATTCGTCAGAAATTGATTGCCAGGATACGGAACTTCTACCATTGAAGACAAACCTGACGCAAATATCATTCCAAAAACGACGCATTGTCGAAAAGACCACATGTTCGATATTATTATGAAGGTTTGTTGGCGGATCAAAAATTATGTTTGTAGCAATCTCAAATTTCCTCGTCAAAGCCAGGATATAGGAAATGTAAATCAATTCAAGAGCTGCCCTTAGACAAATAGTTATAATATCACAAACGAAGCAACGGATAAAAGACGTTTTCTATACGAAGATTATTTAAAGTTTTTTTTGAGTAGAGCTCATTGTGATAAGTATCTATGAAAGTATCTATGTCATATGGCATATGTATGTACGGAGTACGTAGATAACATCTACGTAGTTCCTCCATAGGCGTGGAAGCAACGATATCTATCGCGGACAATGAATTCCGTCCGGTTCTGTGAGCTACTCGGCGACAGTTTCTTAATTATCGTTGCCTTAGGCTGTTTCTTCTAATACCTCGCTGTCCCTCAGAAACCATATCGTAAGTCAATCTGTGGATTGTTATGGATCTTACGGCGGATTTGATCGAAATTAGCCAATAATTTAGCTACGGCAAGTTATCTAGCGCAAAATCTAGATAAACATGGAAGCCCCAGAGGCTATTGAGCCAAGGTTTCTCCACTCAACTTGAATTGTCATTCCTTATCTACGTCTGGGCATATACATTGACGGAACGTGAATTCCTATCGAAAATCCCCCTTCGCTCACGGATAAACTTGGAATTTTATTCTTACTTTACTAAAATTCATCAAGGAAATTCTGTACTTTTACTAAGCAATTATATGACGCTAGCCTAGATGTCAGAGCTGATTATTATCAGGAGTTGTCAAGGGCTAGTTATATTATTTGTGACTAAGGCCCTCTGTTCTATGGCGAGTCTGTCATATCCTCAGTGCATGTTTTGAATTTGGCCCATTGTATATCGCCCACAAGAATATCACTTTCTAACCATCCGACGCGGCGGAACACGAAGAGCTAAAGTAATACTCTTGCTTGGGAGAATTTTGCTGCAATGCAAACCTTTTCCATTTGGGAGAAGTATCTCTCAATTATTTAAAAACAGACCAATTGCACCGGATTATTCCATAATTGACGTCGACATCCCGCAATAAGCCCTACATCGAGTGTGAGGGGGGTCTGCACACGCATGTCACAGAAATGTACCTTGGTCGCAACCTTAATTGCTTACAAGACCAGTATATTTGGAGCAGTGGAATGCTCAAAATTGTATTGTTCTTCCGCGGCAAACTAACTAGATCGGCAATATCTTAAATTATTCTATATCCCTCGAGAAGAGGGTTTCAAACTTCTCTAGTGGCACTGAACGGAAAATGGTGATGCAAGGGTTTCACATCCTGAGTGATTGAGATCTTTCAAAATTTATAGATAGTCAAATCTTCACGAGGAATCAGCCACTTTACTACCATTGGGGTCGTGAGCGACCACCTCAATTTCAATACGCATATCGTCTTCCCCTAACCGGGGAACACCAACACAAGTCCAGATAGGCTGATGATCAGGCATGTACTTTTTGAAGTTTCGGACCATAGCTGCTAAAGCCTCGTTGTTGATTGGGACGTGGTAAGAGTTGAAGCGGTAAACTTGGGACCAGCCTTCGCCACCGGCATCTTTCAAGCAGCGCTCCACGTTGGCAAATGCGAGATCAATTTGAGCATTAATTTCCAACTCAAATTCCCCAGTTTTAGGGTCCCAGCCACCTGCAAGTCATATTGCGTTCTAAGTTAGCGGATATTCTTATAACCAACAGTTGGCCAATGTAAAGCCAATTAGACCTAGGTCTGTATCTACTAACCCTGACCGGCACATTCAATACGATCACCAACTCGGACTGCTTGACTGTACCAGAAATCCCGTTGCTTTTGTTGGCCGGCACCTTCATAAGCGTAAAATTTGAGGTGAGACATTTTTGGGTAGGCGCGTCGGTAATTGGAAAGGAGAAAGAGATGATAGAAATGGGGGATTGTCAATTGCGATGTTCAAGAAATATTTGAATGAGAATAAAAGTGCCATACAGAGACCGGTTGAATAATCTTGATAATATTGATGTATGATGATACTGTCATAAGCTCCGCATTGGGTTGGCTCCACATGCGGAATTTGAATCCCGCTCTCTTTATCTTTAGTCACGTATGAGGCGACAATTAAATGTCAATGAACTAACTCTTCTACATTTGAAAGTGACAAGGAACATATTCCTCAGAATTTGGCCCGAGTGTTAATTTGTCAATGGAGATCCAGTCAGCTATTTCGAAACGGAATACATCCCCCGGAAGTGGAAAGCGGGTATCGACCCGATCAAAGTACGCTTCGCGGGCATGTCAGGAATGCCGTCGACGCAGAGCAAAGGTAGGGTCATTCTTGTCACATGCATCGTCTGATCTACCTAGTCCCCGGGAGAATCCCGAGGGCTGAAAAGCTATGCATGGCGTGGAGATTTTAGTGATTTTGATGACTCCGTTTCTGACCCATGAACCAATAGTGTGATGGCCAAAAGCCCTCCTGTGCAAGATGCCTGCACCGTGGAATTGAATGCGTTTACAATACAGGGGACGAGAACCGGGGCACGGCACCCAGGTCCCTTGTCCACCTCCTCCAGGCTCGCATCAAGGAGCTGGAGGATATTCTCTGGCTACATTCTATCGATGCCAACACCCCCGTCAGTGATCACACAGGCCGGAGTAATATCGCAGTGAACGGCCCGCCAGCAAATTTGGCGGCCCCCGCGGTCTCCCATCAAGTACAGGCCAAATTTGATGCTCCTTTGCGTACAAACGGGCATCTTAATTTCGACGACTATGGAGAGGCATTCTATTTTGGCTCCAGCAGCGGACGGGCTGAGCTTTTGCAGCCAACAGGTGAGGATCCATTGTCAGGCAAAAATTGCTTGCAAATCTGCACTATGCGATGTATTAGAAGCTAACATACTATCATCTAGAGGGCGGAGATGAGGAGCCCAGCTTGTCCTTGGATACGTGCCCTCGATTCCCGCACAATATGTATTCTCAGGCAGTTGATTCCACGCTTGAAATATCTAAGGAGCTTCAAGACCACCTAGTTTCTCTTTACTTTGAATGGGAACAACCATGGTTTCAGCTGGTCGACGAAACTTTGTTTCGGGAGAGCTGGCAGGAAAATGGGAGATGGTGCAATCCCCTACTTCTGAACTGCATATTCGCCATGGGATCTCGCTACTCGGACAGAACGGAAGTACGTTCCAACCCAGAAGATCTTAACACAGCAGGTCAGCTTTTTCTGGAACTCGCCGAAGTGCTGTTACATTTTGATCTGAAGTCACCAAGTATCATTACCATTCAGTCGCTTGCCATGATGGCTATTCTTTATGTTGTATGTTCCGTCATGATATTTGAACTTGATCTCATTTGTTTTCTGTTCTAATCATAATTATAGGCGACAGGCTCTGATGCTAAAGGTTGGTTACGCCATGGCATGGCTATTCGGCTTGGGTTAGACATGGGATTTAATTTGGACTCTTCAACACTTGTTTCTTCAAATCGACTTCCAGCTACAGAGATCAGGCTTCGAGAGCAATTATATTGGGCTCTCTATTGCACCGATAAGCTTTGGGCAACCTATACAGGTCGGGTCTGCACCATGCTGGTAGGTAGATACTTTTGGATTGATTTGACATGAATCTAACGAATCTCAACTTGCAGGACTTTCAATCAACGGTGAGCCTTCCGCCACCAGCTTCTATACCCGCTGGTCTTTTACCTACTTCATTGAGCTCTGCGAGTGGACGTATACGAGAATCGCTCCATCACGCGCTCTGCACCCAGTGCCAAATACTAGAAAAGATATTGATCAAGCTGTGAGTTTCTGATCTGATTGCGTATCCCGCGATAGAACTAAGTCATTTTAATTTCCTGCATAGTTATGCGCCTAGGAGTTTGCCCCAAGGGGCTCAAAGACGAAGTTTCTTTGATTCTTGTCTTCTTGAACTCAAAAGCTGGAAGTATACCCTCCCAACCGAGTTGCACACGAGGTTTGCAGGAGAAAGCAGCAACTATCCTCACTCATACGTCCTCAACATGGTTTATCACACGTCCATCATCCTGCTAGCAAAACCTTTTCTGCCTAGAAGGCTCGACCCGGCCATGGCCCAGACAGATCCTGGCTCGAGGATAGAGGAAGAGGTGGCAAGTAAAGCGACGTCACTATGCATGGAAGCCGCAAGAAATATTTGTCTGCTTGGTGAACAGTACCGTGAAACTTTTGGCAGCTTTCGGAGGACCCCAATCACAGTCACTCATTGCACACTTTCCGCGGCGCTCATGTTATTATACGGTCCTGCGCAGGCAACTGGTCAGCATTCAAATACAGAGCTTATCCAATCCTGTCTGGTGACATTAAGAGAACTTTCGGATTCGTGGATGCCCGCACGAAATTATTGGCGCAGTGTCTTGTGCATCTTCAGAGATCGCCAACGTTCCACTTCTGGTAATTCGAGAGGGACCCCATCTACACAAACTGTCGCTAGATCTATCCACAAAGAAGAAGAATCCTTAGATTCGCAAGGTTTATCGGGGGCTTCACAAGATGTTTTTCAATCACCAATGTCAGAATCGTGGGCAGATGACTCAAGCTTTCCGGAGGTAGCTGTTGAGGATTTGAATCTTGCTAGCATGTTTCCATTAGGATCCATTTTTGCATATGAAGATTTCGAGGCGCTCAATATACCGTCTGGTCTTGATACATTGGAAAATAACAATGATTGATATATATCGAATATAACTGCCTTGAGCTTTTGTGGAACTACAATACGATAGAGATATGTATAGAGAAACAATATATGCAAATTCCTATCAGATGGGATAGACTGGGATGATAAAGGAGAGAGAAAAAGTAGGAGCAAATATCTAATAGCTGGAAAACAGACAAACAACATTAATCAAGACATCTAGCGAGATACTCGAATATCATGTTTGCTTCTGATGGTAACCAGCTGACATACATACCACAACCTTGCCCGCAGTCTTGCAGTCCACAAGATTTTGCATCTGCTCCGGAATTTCCTCGAGTGCCACCTTGGTGATGCGAGGCTTTATCTGACGTGTTGCAATATATCCCATAACCTCGAGTGCTTCCCGATGCCCTCCCATTAGATTGCCTGACACGTGCAAATTACGTTCCACAATAGAATGAAGTGGAAGGCAAAAGGTATTATTGCCTTTGGGTACCCTGTAGTAAAGTATGCAAGAGATTAGCCATGATAGATTGAGGAGAGCGAAATAAGGAAGAAATTCCTCACCCTACACAGACGATCCTTCCGCCATCGTAGACATACTCGTCCAATCGCTGGAAAGCGGAGAAAGAGCTACTAGCAACTATGACTGCTTCAGCCGCGCGCCGCAGGCCGTAGTTGCGCCGTAGTTTCTCACAGCTCTGCATCAACATAGAATGAAAGTCTGACCAGGCATCCCCAGCGTTGGTCTCGGGCGCACTGAGGAGGATATCACTGTAGTCGCCATAATCCTGAGACTGAATCACGTCGATCTTGGATTTAAGATCGATGCCGATCACCCGTGCTCCGAAAATTTGCTTTGCGATTGCCCCAGTGAGGTGGCCAATAGCTCCAGCAACCCCGACCACTATAACCACATCTCCTAGACTCGGCTTCGCTGCTCGCACAGATACCAACGCGGTTGACCCAGAGCATAGTGCGGCGGTGTAGAGCGCTAGGTCAACATCTCCCCGAAGGAAGGCATCAGGCAACGGTACAAGACAGCTAGTTGGGACCGTTGCATATTCCTGGAAAGTGCCCGTAATATGCTTGGGCACATTGAGCTGTGACGGACATGATGTAAACAGGCCACGGAGACAATATGTGCAAGAGCCGCAGGACTTTCCTAGGTAGCGAATTCCAAAAGTACGACCGATGATGAACGGGTCGTGGGACTTGATGACACGACCGATGCCTTCGTGGCCAGCGATGTGGTTTTGTTTAGGATAGCCAGCACCGGGCCCGATCGAGAAAGATGCGTCCTGAGGAAATCAGGTGTTAGCGATACTTTCATTCATTAGATATAGCCAAGGTAGAAGCGAAGAGCGAAGAGCCTATCAATGATGCAAAATCCAAACTTACACTGCGGCAGATGCCTGAATAGAGAATCTGGATGACAGCCTCTCCATTATCTGGTTCTCGTACAGCAATTTTCCTTAGGACTAAGTTCAAATTCTCACCCATCTCGGGGGTGAGAACGGCTCTTTGTATCAAAGGGAACGGCAGACCAGGCATCTCCGGCGACTCTGCGATAGTTGATGTGGACAAATTGTCATCATACTGTAAAGATTCTTTGTCAAGGTTGCTATCTGGTTCCAGTGTGTCGTGAATCCGTAATGCAGCGGTAGCATTTCTCTTCAAATCTCCATTGGAAGTCACCGTACTGTTGAATGGGTCACCGGAAATTTTCCCACCCAGGGACACACAAGGTGTCAAAGTCGCTAGCATAGCTGTTCTTGAAAATGTGTTGTAGACGTGATTCTATGATGTATGGCTGCCAAAGGGCTGTTGATGGCGCTTTTGAGAACAGGTATATCAATGCAAACGATAGCAGTCCGGCAGATACATCCACAGCCATTACTACATCAAGTACTTTCTCCAATTACATGACTGGTAAATGGTAATTTTGAAACTAGGAATGGGAATTCCGTTAGCATCCCGTGGGGCGGAATAAATGTTCCTTGGGGGATGTTTCGTATCTGGCGATGATAGGAAGGTAAATTCCGCTTCCCCCTTTGCACTTCGATCCGATCTAGCCATACAACATAGTCCCCGCAAAATGAGATACAATGCTTTCTGTCTAGCTTTTCGCCTTAAAAATTGTGATGTGCTGCGTGTTCAAAAATCGTCATTGCAGTTTTGCAGTTTTGTGCTTTCATGACGTTTAACGTTCTTTAAAAGCTACTACTCCCTGCCTAACGAGCCTACGACTATGAGAGCACCCAACTCCTTATTTCTTTCACTCTACTTTTACTTTTGAGCAAGTCTAATTCTAGAATATAGGCCCTTGTTCATATGGCTCTTCTTCGAAAAGAAAGTCAATACGCTAAAAGCAAGGTCGTCGCAAATCCAATTTGATGACAAAGGCACGCAAATATACTTAAGTAGTACCTCAGTTATGTAAAGCAGACGTCTGCGTCGGGATTCGCCTTCAGGAAATGGGCCAAGTGTTTATATATTTTGCTTCTCTTCTTTCTGATCAGTTCTACAACTGGGCTATCCGACGAATTCGCTATTTAGAAGTTCATTAGTAATTGCGCAGGGCAAACGCGAATCGAGCAAAGTTTTGCCAGGTTTTATGTGGGTGGTGGTATAAGGCGATATTTTCTTGTTTCCAAAATTCATAGTGTGGGAAATAATACAGCCAATTTACCACTAGACCATAAAAAAAAAACCAAAGTTCCTATTTAAAGCCTAGCGGGCCATTTCCCAGTCTGACACATAGTAGCTAGTGCGTTATTTCCAAGCGAAAGAGCGAGTTTAACATTTCCCGAGGGGGACAGCTGTGTACCTGGTCCGGTGATCTGCTGGTCGGAGGTCTTATCCCCAGATTACCCCGGCAAGTGGAAGCCACAGACTGACTCGTGGGCACATGTACGGAGTAGTGTCAGTAGGCTGAGCGTGCAGCCCTGGAGGGGAACAAACTACAGACAAACCCCACCCGAGAAGCTACATAAAATGTTAGGAAGGATCTATGGAAGTAAAAAAGACTTCTTTTATGGAGGCCAGTACGTCAACGATTGTAAGAAGAGGAGCAAAATAATTATTACTATGGAGAATGGTGAATTGAGGGAGATTGATGAAATGAGAGAGAGGGGCGAATTGAAATTATTGTTAAGTGAAACTAAGGGTGGTTTTTGTTGAAGACAATCGGGAAAATGGTGGTGAATTTGGAGACGGTGGTGTGTAAGTAACCTTGAGAAGGAATATTCAGTCCCGTAGCAGTTTCTTGGATATCAAACGATGAGTTCAATCGGTCTAAAGCCGTTCTCGAAATCGCTTTGATGGCCCCACTGCTATATTGGGCAGAGGTACCATTGGTAGTCGAGGAATGTTGAGTGTGAGAACCCCGCATAACACCTGGCAGGGTCAATGGAGTCCAACACCGCAAATATCACAATATGAGAGTTACGATCAACAATGCATACATCATTGAATTGACATCGGAGTATGGTAGGTCATATTGAGTTTTACAATTTTACAAGTTGTGCAGGTCATGATCCATGATGTTGATGTCATCCAAACCGTCACCGCATTGGGGGCGGCATTCAAGTATTTGAAATATTCTTTTCCCTAGCCAGATCCTCTTTGCTTTAATCATTTCATTATCCTCAATTCCATTTTGAAGTAATTCGCACTCGACATGTCTAGCTCTTCAGACCGCGCTCCCGTACGAGACCAAGCTGAAGACGACGCTTGGTTCCCATCCCCTTACTCCCTCTCCCAATATACATCACCCAAGACGGACTTCGATGGAGCAAACTACCCTCATCCTTACAAAGGCGACAAATGGAAAGTCCTCCTGATAGGCTCGCAGGAGCGCTACCTCGAGATGGCTGGCGGTAAATTCTTCTCGACTGGTAATCATCCAGTAGAGATGCTGCTGCCCATGTATCACCTCGACGCCGCAGGGTTTGATATCGACATTGCGACGCTTTCTGGTGATCCAGTCAAGTTTGAGATGTGGGCCTTCCCACAGGAGGACAAAGCTGTTAAAGAGATATACGAAAAGTACAAGACCAAGATTCGGAAGCCACTCAATCTCGAGGATGTATGGGGCAAAGGCTTCACACAGGAGACACCCTACCTCGCCGTCTTCGTTCCTGGTGGTCATGGGGCCCTGAATGGCATTCCGTTCTCAGCAACGGTCGGCAAAGTTCTTCGTTGGGCACATGAGAACCAGCGCTTCCTTGTCACCCTGTGCCATGGTCCGGTCTGCATGCTTGCCGCGGACATTGACAAACCCGAGGGCAGCAAGTTCATTTACGACGGATACAAAATTGATGTCTTCCCGGACTCGTTGGATCAGGGAGCTAATGTTGATATTGGTTATATTCCTGGAAAGATGAACTGGTACGTTGGTGAACGGCTCAGCCAGCTCGGTGTCACTCCTCTCAACAGGGGCATCACTGGTGAGACCCACCAGGATCGTCTCGTCCTTACCGGCGATTCTCCACTGGCATCCAACAATCTTGGCAAGCTAGCTGCGGAGACGCTGCTCAAGGAAGTTTCTAGATTATCATGATGGTTTCTAGGTAGTTCGTCATGTTATGTATCTAATCTGATTTTGGGATACGTGTCAATGGAATATCTGATATTAACATAGCCCTGGAAGCAGAGACTTAGTATGGCAAGAATAGCTTTGCGACCGTAAATCAACTCAAAAATCTGGTGATTTTTAGTGTTGTACTATATAAAAAAAGCTTCATCTTCGCAGCTTATTCTCCAAGAGGTTCCTGAGAACTGAGATACTTCACTTATCAAACTGTCTGTCATAGCAATGCATTCAGGTATTTTAATTTTGTGCCGGCTTAGAAGTAGGCTAACTATGCCGCTTCACAATCGGCCCCGTTCACACAAATTAGTTGAGTGACAGTTCATTCCTCATACAACGGTGGTACTGAGGTCCACTCCTGACGTCCAAATCCCAATTGCTCTTTTTGGTAACCCACAAACCACCGCTCGAATGCTTGTCGGGTGAACAAATGCTTAGGTGCTCCTTCTCCTTCCCCAAAGTAATCGAGGATGTGATCACAGTACATCCAGATTGCCTCGTAGTGCTCTGGAGAGAGATCTTTCTTGTCTTTACGTGCGACGATTACAGTACCGATCCCACTCTGCCACTCGGGGGGCGCAAGGCCGGTCTCCGTGGTTATGTGGATGTATGTGATTGCCTGGTTATCAAGATGATCAAATGCCCCATTGTCGGGAGTTCCGACCCGGTGGACGACGATAGGGAAGTCGAGCAAAGCCGGCACTGGCGGGACGCGATTGTTGAAGATAGGGTGGTTCGAGGGGATGGTAGTTGCTGACCATGGAAGACCCTAGTCGCCAGTGCATCGGACTGTCACCGCTTTGATTGTATCTCTCGGGGAGAGTGCCGGAGAGGAGGGAATTTGGTTGGACGCTGTGGCCCCGGTAGCTGTAGGTGGGGCTGTAGGACGCGCAGTGGGCTTGGACACTTGAGGACGCGGCATTGGAATTGTTTCTGGCCCCGAGTCCGAATCTGTGTCAATATTGTCCCATTTTGAGTAGTCAATTGGAGCCATCTTGGTGACTTTGGCTTGTCTGAGAATCCGTTCAACTCGGTGATTGATTGTTGGCAAAAGCAGAAGGGTAGCTGTTGCAGGATGCAGAGCTCAATTCCAAAAAGCAGTACATCACGTGCTAGTCTCTTATCTTATCTCTACCAGCCCCGCCCGCCCCTTTCTGCTTGAGGCGGAGAGCACCCCTACTCCTCACGTACTCCTCACCTACTTTCCCCTCTCTCTCGGGGTCAGCTAGCGCAATACAACCTAAGATTTTTTAAAACATGAAGTCCCCATCAGTAGCAAGCAAATGCAGACTGAGAATGGAAGAAAGAAAAAGAGAGTACGTAAATATGGAGAGAGAAGCTACGGAGGCTGCTATATTTCAATAAACAGCTTGACAAATTTAGAGAGATGAGGTTCTTAGGTTAATCATAAGATTAGAGGTGTCTCTTCTTAGATTCTAGATTCTCTCCGTAACTGATATGGTAGTCAGGACTCCGGTAAAACTCCCCCACTGTTGTTCCATCAGCCTCCCCATCGATTCACTCTTCACTTTGAGACACATTTTCACATAATCATACAAGAATCTGGGCCGAATGGGACTTGATCGCCAGATTTGAAAGTCTCCAAAGTCTCGTGGATATCCATGAAGTCATCCCAGTAGATATTGTTTAGGAAGCCGTCCCTCATTTCTTCGAACACGTCTGCCATGATTCTGAGATACTCGGGATCTGCTTCCGCCAACGCAAACAGTGTAAGCGATAGCCGTTTCTGATCCGTCAATTTGAAATTCCTTTCATGAACCTGCACCCATGTTGGATTCCTGCACTTCTTCAGATTGTCTTCAATCCGCATGAACAACGCATAGCAGCGTACGAGGATCATTATGTAATTCAAACTTGATATTGGCCTCAGCTCACCACAAATGTCGCTTATGAAATCAAGCCTGAGTAAATCCAAGTATGTTGTAAGGTCCATATCGGCTTTGGAGTGACTGTTTCCCGCATTTCCAACTGTCCAGCCCTCTGGTACAGTTGATTGAAGAGTCTTCATGATTTGAGCGGTATGAGGATCTTTTGACGGAGATGGCAGAGTAGATAGGATTTTGACGATGTCTTCATTACTCGCTCCACAGGATCTAACACGTTTAGCGAGGTCGCTTTCGGCTAAAGTAACCTTGCCAGTTACAGGGTCTCGGGTTTGCTTGGTCTGAGCGAGCCGCATCAATGCTAGACCTGTGGGGAGGGGGATCTCTTCATCGGGGATTCGAGCCGGAATCCAGTTTGCACGGTCAAAGATTTGCAATAATGTCCTTTCCTTATAAAACCGATTTTCACTCGGATCCAACAGGTCATGCACATCCTTCGCGTTTCGGGCAAACCGTCTTCTTTGTGCTCGGCTCCGGAGGTTCTCGCGACGAAAGCGCCGCCCACCAAGCAAAGCCTGGAAAGCCTTTGCAAAATGAGACCTTGGTACCTTTCCATCCTTAAAGAAGGCGCTCTGGAACAATTGTGCAACTGAGCTCCACAGCCCTACGGGTCGTGAAAGAAGGCCTTTCTGGACTAGCATGTTGTGCAGGTGAGAAACGCAAATGGGCTCAGGGACAGAACCCCAAATACGCATGGCCATGCTGTGTGTCAGTTCTAGTGCCTCTGAAAGACCCGCGCCACAGAGAAATGGACAATATTCCCACAACCCGTTGCTGTTGGTGTTTGAAAAACGCGATGGAGGAATAGCCGTCAAGCCGTGCATGTACTTGCTCTCTCCAAGCCAGTCGACGAAGTCCATTAGAAATTCACTCATCAATTCCTTAATTGATCTGTTCCGATTGGGCTCCCCTTGAATCATAGCATCCTCGTCGAACAATTGAGAAAGAATCTCCACCGAGCTGCAGAATCCCTTCGCGAATCTTTTGTTATCGCGATCCATGAAAAGATCTACATCTCTTCGAGGCCGAAACCCTTTCGCGGCGGGTTTCAAGACATGGCCAGTTAAAACACTGATTGACCAGCCACGAGAGACTGTGAGAGATTCTACGATGCACTGTAGCTGAAAAACATGATGTGGAAGGATCTTTGACTTGATGTCAGTCCCAGGCTTCTGTACTGCGAGGTGAGTGATGTCGCCAGCGAATTCATTGATGCCAAACAATCTTCGATGTTCATTCCAGGGGCCGGCTCTGGACCAGTCGACCGTCTCAAGGGGAATGTTCTGCCCCCTCATCGTGCGACGCTGAACAGCAACCGATGAAAAAACATTGACCAAGTCGTATAGCCAATTGATGGTAAAGGCTCGGCGCCATTTTAAGCGTTGTTCTTTGGTGGCTCGTAACAGGTTGAGATAAGGGTCCCAATCTTGGATACACTTAAGCATGGCCTTGGTGGGTTTACCGCTGCGCGTCTTTTGATAGTCGGTGATGAAATCAAAGAGATCCTGATACGTGTACATCAAAAATTCTTCTCTCACGTCGATATCGGATTGCGGAGTTTGTTCAAGTGTTCCATCTGGGTTGAGTCGAGTAACTGCCAGACCGAACATACCTTTGGCCTTGTCAGGATCTCTACGTGTCATGGTTTGCATGACGGTATCGAAAGAGTCATGCCCAGGGAACTCAACGAAGATCTGCAACTGAGCATCCTTGATCATTCCGATGGCAACTTTGCATAGACTGGAAGCAACGGCAGTATTCATGCCTTGGTAGGCGACGCTATACCAGGCGCCCTGCAATTCATGACGAAGCCGTATCAACTGCTCGGTGATTGAATAGACAGCCATCAAATAATCAGTAATCATTCCAGTTTCGCCTTCAATGATGCGATAGCTCTCCAAGGGAATTTCCTGTAGATCAGAGACAGAGGCGCTCTCTGCTGTCTTTCCCTTTGTCTTCGGCTTTCTTCCCCGTTTGCTTTGATTGCCTTTCTTTTTGGGCTTTTGCGTCGAACGCCTGGCTTTCTGGTGCATGGCAGCCTCAGGGATCCCGGTATCTTCTTCAGCCCCATCCTCAGCATCCTCATCTTCATCAAATGTGTCAGGTGCGTCTTTCTTTCCCTCCTGCCATGTCTCCCCTCCAAGAAGATTGAAAGCCTCCGACAGGCCTTCTATCCAATGTTGGTGTGACACATTGCTCTTCTGGATTTCAGGATCTGGGTCGGAGGTGGTGGTTTGGATATAAAGACGCTGTGTTCTTTTTCTAGCATCAATGACGGAAGCAAATAGGCGAAAGATGGTTGTCGGAATCGGGTCAATATGCTTTGCAATGAGCTGCGAGAGCGACTTCAGCGTTGACAGGGAGATCGCCCCGGTAAGGTTTATGTCCTGAGTGTTGTGAGACGGAAACTTTTTGATGATATGAGCAGATGCATGGATGATCCAGTAGACAAGGTGTCTCTCATCCCGTTTGTACTGCAGGTAAGTATTGTGGTCAGCCATGATTGGATAGTATCATGTTTAAATTGGCTTAATGAGGCCTTGGGTGACAGCACGTGGAAAAGGTATAAAAGGTGGGAAAGGTGGGACACGAAGGGAGAAGAGTGAGAAGAGTGAGGAGGGTGTTGGTATATTCACTGCAACTGTTTGCCCAGGTGATCAACTGCATGGGCCTAATCTAATCCGGAGTTTTCACTCAATCTGTAAATTCATTAGATATTGATGGGCTAGGGTAATATAATTATATCAAACACCTCATACCATTGACGCAGCTACAATCCGATTGATTAACCTCAACAAGAACCAATGCAAAGAGGAAAACAATTTATATTTCAATAAAACAAGTTACATGTACGCAAATACTAAAAACATCACACATAGCCTGAGACAATCTCTAACATATCAAAGTTTGCTGGAGACAAGGTAGGGAATGTTCTTGGCCTCATATAGATCCTTGTGCTCGGATTTGATGATATCCGCACCCTAGCTTAAGTGTTAGTTTTGTTCTAAGAGACCGCGTATTTGGTACTAACCTTCTCGCCAATCATATAGACAGAGTTTTGAATACGGCAATCAGGGATCACAGGAATGACCGAAGCATCTGCGATTCTGAGATTGCGGACTCCATGGACTCGCAGCTTTGAGTCAACAACACCCTGGTGAATGCTCTTCGAGAGACGTGCGGTACCGCATGGATCTGTAAAGTAAATCATTAGACTTGTTTCGAGATATTTGAAGGGATCATCTTACGGAATCCAGTCTGGCTACGATCCAGAACAGCCCGGTTCATATCATCATCGGAATCAAGGGGCATCTTCCAGGGGTACTCCGAGAGAACAATGTCCTTGAATCCAGCACCCTTGGTCAAAAGATCATATGTCCAGCGCACACCCTCCCGCATGGCCAGAATGTCCAAGTCATTGCCAAAGAAGTTGAGGTTGATATTGGGCTGAACCTGTGCATTCGAGTTGTTCAGAGTAACTTCACCCTCGGAAAGGGGCCGCAGCAGATCGACAATGACAGTCATGTGGCTGCCCTTCTCGGGCATAGGGTAATGCCACTGGAATGCGGAGCTGAATAAGCCGACGAAGTCCAGCTCAAAGTGAGGTTGTCCTGCTGGGCCGAAAGGATCCAGCCCCCCGTTAGCAGCCTTAGCCTCGCGGTAGGCGGGATACTTCTCCAGGCGTTCGTCAATTCGGGGGAAACCCACAAGTTCCAAGAATCCGGAGCTTGCAGGGCCAGTCTTATCCTTCTGGTAGGTAGACAGTGCCTTGTCATTCAGGGGACCAGGGCGGAAGATATGGTTATCCAAGCTGTACCCCTCCTTGACCTCAAGGACGAAAGGCACAATTGGGTGATCCAAAAGATGCTGACCGACGTGAGGGGATTCCACAATGGGAGTAATTCCGTGCTTGGCCAGTTCCGCTGCTGGGCCAACTCCGCTAAGCATGAGAAGCTTAGGAGTCTCAAAGACACCCTGGGAGAGGATGACTTCCCGGCTAGCATAGACACTGATCTCTTGATCGAGAGTATCGCTTATCACAGTGACACCAGAGCAGATGCGCGTGGCGGGATCGATGAGCAGCTTCTTTGAGTGAACGCCGTAAAGGATGGTCACGTTGGGCTTGTTCTTGAGGTAAAGGAAGCTACCTTGGCGCTCGCCATGGTGGATGGTATCAACACAGTGGGTGAGGCCCTTCATCTCGCCGGAGTAGATGTCCTCGGTCAGAGGTTGACCCTTAGAAACCCAGGCCTCAGTGAGGGCATCACGGAATGGCTTCATCTCAGGGACCAAGTCAGCATGGGAGATCTGCACAGGGCCTCCGGTTCCAATCTTGCTCAGTTCAGACGGATACAGCTTCTCGTCATCATGGTAGGTGGCGCATTTGCGGAGGTACTCCACACAGGAGTCCCAGTTCCAGTCGCGGCCACCGAAAGCCTCCCAGTCGTCAAAGGTAGGCTTCGACCCAGGAATCCAGGTGAAGTAGTTGGCACATGAACTGCCACCAAGGGCCTTTCCGCGGGTATTGGGCTTTTCAACACGCTCGTAATCATCGCGCTTGATCATAGTTGTCTTGTAAGACCAGTCGTACTTGCTTCCGCGAAGGGTAAAAGCCTTCGACGGGGTGGTGATTTGCTCGATCTGATCAGGGTTGGGGATGCCTGCTTCGACAACCAGAATGCGGACGGCGGGGTTCTCAGCAAGACGACCGGCGATTGCATTGCCAGCGGTACCACCGCCGACAATGATGAAGTCGTACTCAGAGCCGTTGGAAACGAAAGCCATGGTTTGAGACTTGTTGTTTTTGAGAATAGAATGATAAAATAGTTCGTAGTGAGGTTCTTTCGATGTCTGTGAGACTGTGAGACTGTGAGACTGTGTGTTTGTATAACTGGAATGGACGAGGCATCGCCTCGATTTTATATTCTGATCTTCATCACAAGAATATTTTCAAACCGAAAAAAAGCCGTCTTGCCGTTCTTGCCGGGTTACTAGAGACATCATTACGAGAGCAGATCATTGAACCCTGAATTGGTAGGGCTGATAGAAAGGTGGCTTGCATGTAACCCTGCATAAAGTTGAAGGAAGGTGTTCTAGAAGGAATGTAAGTTACAAGAGTAATGTTTCTGACGGGGAATTTCCCCTCATGAGGGGGAAACCCCATCCCCGCACCAGGCTGTCAGATTGGTTGGCCAATCAGAGCTGCGGCATTTGTTGCACGGGACGGCCATAACTCGGCCACGGCTCGGTGACCGCCTTTTGCGCCCGATCTGCATAAACCTTTTCAAAGCCTCTTTTCAAATCAGTTACTTTTTATCTCAAGCCCCTCACGTCAACATGTAACGGATCTATTTCGGGCCTCGAATTGGGGTTTCCCTCATGGGGGGTAGTGTCAATGTCTCAACTCACCCCTCTCAGACCAGCCCAATAAAAGGAAGCCTGTTTCCCAGAAGATGGACCATCCATAGTATACCAATTGAAGTTGAATTCTCTGAACAAACAATCCCAATGACGAACCATACATTTACGTTCGCAGAAGGTATAGTGCCAAATACTTTAAAACAACCTTTCCCTTCTGACATCAGACAGGCCAGCCAATTGCAGACCCATCCGTCAGCACAACGTTGCCTACTTTCGGCGGCGGTGGTCTCACGACACTAGGTGACACGCTCCTCATTGAGACCCTTTCGCATTTCAACCGCGAACGTATTCCCGAAAGGTTTGAGACCATTCTGATTTTTGGAAGGAAAATATATCCTAACGGTAAACAGAGTTGTCCATGCGAAAGCTGCGGGCGCGTGGGGAGAATTCGAGGTTACAAATGACATCTCTGCTCTCACATCAGCCAAGTTCCTCAACGGTGTTGGAAAGAAAACCCCTGTTCTATTCCGTCTAAGCACTACCGGCGGTGAAAAAGGAAGTGCAGACACTGTCCGCGATGTGCGCGGCTTCTCTGTTAAGTTCTTCACGGAGGAAGGTAATCATGATATTGTAGGAAACCACATTGTAAGTGCCTCCCCTCCACTCTTACGTTTCCTATTCTAATTTCCCTGAAGCCTGTGTTCTTTGTTCGTGATCCTATGAGGTTTCCTTCTCTTAACAGAAGCCATAAGAGACATCCTGCCACCAACCGGCCGGATTGGACTATGGTAAGTCCTTATCAAAGGGGGTCCTTTTTTGTATTTCTGATAAAGCTAACCATTTAGTTCTGGGATTTCCACGCGAACCAACCGGAAAGTGTTCATGCTTTGATGCATCTTTTTGGCAACCGGGGTATTCCTGATTCCATCCGCAGAGTGACAGGCTTTGGTGTACATACCTTCAAGATGGTATCAGCTGATGGTGGCTTCCGTTACTGCAAGTTCCACTTCCGACCGACCCAGAATATCACACACTTCTCTGGCCAGGAAGGTACTCGTATGGCTGGTGCAAACGCCGACTTCCACAATCAGGATTTGTGGGATGCTATTGCTCGGGGAGAGTTGCCGGCCTGGAAACTTTACGTGCAGGTCATGGAGCCCGAGCAGGCTGAAACCTACGGCCGTGCTCTGTTTGATATCACCAAAGTGTGGCCTCACAAGGACTTCCCATTGATCGAAGTTGGTCAAATGACTCTCAACAAGAATGTGGGTGGCTCTTTATCCTAGACATGAAGCAGGTGCTAACAATAGGCCCAGCCCGAGAACTATTTCGCCGAAATCGAGCAAGCCGCATTTTCACCTTCTAATATGGTGCCTGGGATTGCAATGACTCCTGATCCTAGTGAGTTCACACTAAGATTATCCTTCGAGTAGGACCGGATACTAATTACTTTTGTGTCTACAGTGTTGCAGGCGCGTATGTTCGCTTACCCCGACGCTCAACGGTACCGTCTGGGAGTGAACTACACACAGCTTCCTCCAAACCGTGCAATCTGCCCTGTATACGCGCCATTCGAGCGCGACGGCATGGGAACTATAACCAGAAACTATGGTGGCGACCCGAACTATGTACGGAGCTCATTGGGCCCTGGCGTCCCCAGCCAGACTGTTTCCAACGTACGACACACTGAGCGCATTTTGCGCAACGCTGTCCTTGGCCAGAATGAGATTCCAGTTGATGATGAGGATTTCCTTCAGCCACGAGAGCTGTGGAACAGGGTATTTGATGAAGCCGAGAGAAGGCAGTGGGTGTCAAATGTGTCGGAGACTTTGGAAGACTTGCCTGATCAGCTCAAGGATGCTGTCACTGCCATGTTCAGCAAGGTCGATCCCCGTATCGGTCAATTGTTAGAAGCTAAGGCGAAGAACAGTTCACGTCTTTAGATCTTTAATTCTTTAAGTTTGAGCGACCTAGTCTTTTCATTATATAGATCGATTACGCTAACGTATACCGCTAACGTATACCACAAGCGAGTGTTCCATCTCAAAATACATGATAAATGCGATGAATGACAACTTTATATCTTGGCAATGGTAGTCTATATGAAATTTCCTTGGTACAACAATGCTTTTTTTTAAATGATGTCTAGCTTCCCTGTGGAGTTTAGAAAGATCCATGGCTGTGTGATTGCGATAGATATATGTCTCTAGCGCTAAGGAACATGATTTTGATTACCATGAAAACGCAGCTGTTATATTTCCTTGAAATCCATACATCATGTTTAAAAGCCTTCTCATTAAATAATGAATGACAATTATCTAAGAAATTACCAAGGTTGTTGAGATATAAAAATGTCTTATTCACTACATGTTACCAGGCGCTTGTACATGGTTACTCTTCTTAGCATCTCACCACTAATGTGTATTATTCTATGATCCTCTCCCATGGGTAAGATTATACATACGACCATAGGGTGTGGAAAACAGGGCTTCCCGTCCGCTCAGCCGTACTTAAGCCACACGCCGGTGAGTTAGTAGTTGGGTGGGTGACCACCAGCGAATCCTCACTGTTGTATGTTTTTTTTATTTGTTAAAATAACACACTGTCTCTGCGCTGCAAGTATTAATACGCCCCGAACACCTAAGCAGCACTTCAGGGTGAAGGTGGGCGTGGTAATACAGGTGAGAAGTCGGAGACTAGGGCGAGAAAGATGAGAATAGGGCGATACTTTGAAGATCATTCATATCTTATTACGCTTTTCGCTGGAAATGGAAGTGAACATCTTGACTATCCCGACAACACACTGACAAGGCAGACCACCCATGCGGAATTTCGAAAGTTCTCAGACTTTCGGAATGATCTGTCGAGAATCCTTTGAGCTTTTCCATCAAATCAAAGGGGATACTGGGGCCCACCCCAATTGCATCGATTACCAAAGTAATAGACTGCTTGGCAAGTTGGAAACATCGGGCGAGTACAAAGTCAAGCTCCTCCATGGAAAGATGCTGTAGTGCCGACATACAGAATATGTGGTCTATCATTTGTGTCCTTTCCGCCATGTATACTTCCATCCTTTCTTGAACAAGTTCGGTATACAAATTGGTTTGGTGGCAGATATCCAACGATATCTTGGATATGTCGACTCCCACCATTTCCGTAATTTGATTCTTCGGATCCGATTTCAAATGGTGGCCGACATTCCCAGTTCCACACCCAAGATCGATGGCGGTACCTTGATAAGACCTCATTGTAATACAACTGGCAGCGTCGGTTGCTGAAACCCGGCCAGCATAAGATTGAGCCAGAGAGTCATAGAAGTTTGCCACTTTAACAAAATCATCACCACGCTTGCCAGGATACTTGAGAAAGTAATTGGTGATATAAGTGTTGACAACAGCTCGATAACTCCCAGGAAACCCCCGCTGGATATCTGTATCCTCAAGCTGGGATCCAATAGGATAAAAGAAAACAGGAAGCGGATCAACTTCAATGACATAAGCCCTCCCATCCCGACCAATGCGCATGTCAACATCACAGCCCATGTAGTTCGTATACGCTTTATTCGTCGTGAAAGCCTCAACGGCTGTAGCTTGCAAGTGCCTCCAGAGCCGCGGGTCGTCGTTCTCGTTCAGCAGCTCATATCCAGACGCCTCATCAAACTTCAGATCTAAGGTCAAGAATCGGCCCTCGCCGGATATTTGTTTGTATTTCGCACGTTGCGGAATAAGAGGAAAAGGACTCTCCCCCATAGCAATGACCACAACAGAGTATTCCTCTCCGTCGATGAATTCTTGCACGACAAGATCCGAACTGTCCCTCCCTTCAGCCTCCAGAGCATTGGCATATTGGTCCGGATCCGGGTATCCAAGCGCTCGCGCACGCAAAACGCGAACAGAACGCATCAACCTATTCAATCTCTGTATACAGCGATTCAACTCATCTTCATTCTGACACAAAGAATGCTCATCAATGAACATACTCCCATAGCTTGACGCAGGCTTAACGAATAAAGGAAATTTCGTCGTCCCCGGAATGAGGGGACTCCCGGCGCGTTTTGCCTCTGCAAAGTAGTCCCATTTGGACTGTTCGCGCTCGGAGCTTTGTATACCAGCGCTAGGCAGGTTGAGAGACTCAAAGTATTGAATTGCCTCGATGCCAGCTAGTGAGTCATCGTGTGTTCCCCACATGAAATTTAAATAGAAGTCATGGCCTTCGCGAACAGCGGCATCTATTTGGGCTTTTGCTGTGGCCTTGTGGATGGTGTAGTGGGATATTTCGTGCTGGGTGATATGTTGACCGGGGTTCATGCATAGCTTTTGTGACTCGCCGACTGAAGCTTGGAGTTCTTCGAAACATGATTGAAAGACACAGATCTTCATTCTGAGAGAGACTGGAGGTATGATGGTTTTTTGGTGCTTTTTCCTGATAGCGACTGGAGTGATTGCCGATTCCCCCACCTATATTGACCCCTCGTTGGTGCAAGATCGGCGATACGTAATCGGTACTGCTCTTCGGAAGCCCCAATTAATATAATTAGCCTTTATTTCTCGTCCACTGGTAGCTGTTTATACATCCCTAGTTAGTCAAATATGGAAACGATCTGAAGATAGAAGGATACCGCACCACCGGTATGCAGATCTCAGCTGCTGTGGCCCACTCCACGATTCTTCAGCTTATGGCGTGTTTTTACCTGGTAAATGATATATGGATACATGTATGACTCATTATTTTTGTAAAAAGAATATATTATAGGTCAAAATACGAAAAAAATACTCGAAACATGCTTCACAATATTTGAACACTGGGAAAAACAGCCGTAGCCGTAGCGAAAGCAACTATCCCTTCCTCACGCCCCACAAACCCATTGCGTTCATTCGTCCCCGCCTTAACCGAAACGCGACTCGTATCCAACCCCACAATACCAGCAACAGATTCCCGCATAGCATCACGGTGATCACTAATCCGCGGCTTCTCGCACACAAAGCTCACATCACAATGCGTGATAACACCACCGCCCTGCTTGACAAGCTCAGCCGCATGTCTAAGGAACTGATCAGACGAAGCTCCCTTCCACCTGGCATCCTTCGGCGAGAAGTGGCTTCCAATATCCGCGGCGGAAATCGTGCCGAGGAATGCATTTGTTAAAGCGTGTAGTCCGACATCTGCGTCGGAGTGACCGAGAAGTGTGGAAGTGTGAGGGATTTTTACACCACAGAGTGTGATCTCCTCTCCGGGGACAAGACGATGTGTGTCATACCCATGACCAACTCGGACGTCGGGCACCGAGGCGAGTGTCAGCCTGTTGGTTCGTAGTAGTCTTTCACCTTCTTCGAAATCAGAAGAGTAGGTCAATTTGATATTTTGTGAGTCGCCTTGTACGATGTGAACAGGCAGTCCTGCTTCCTCCAAGATTGAGGCGTCATCCGTGTACAATGAGCCAGAGGTAGCTGCCATTTCATGGAAATACAAGATTGTCTGTAATTTGAATGCCTGCGGGGTTTGGGCGCGGAAAAGCCCATCGCGTGGAACTGTTGCCTTAATCAGGCCGTTTGAGTCGGTCCTTTTGAGCGTATCGGACACTGCAATGGCGGGGATCACACCTGTTAAGGGCTCCTTAATGAGGGATTCCAGGACTTCATTGAGTAGAGTGTGGGATGCGAATGGACGCGCTGCGTCATGGATGAAGACGTGTGAAGGGGTCTTCGGGAGAGAAGACAGGAAGCGTAATCCCTGTAGGACGGATGCTTGTCGTTCTACGCCTCCTGTGGTAGTATGGATGTTAGAGTCACGGTCTATGGAAGCTTCAAGCAAAGACGTATCATCTCCATGATGAACGATGACAATCGGACAATGAGTATTCCATGATCGGAACAGCTTCAGAACACGGTTGAGCACCGTATCGCCCCCAATTCGACGATAGGCCTTTTGGCAGCCTTGACCTGCACGTGTGCCACGACCAGCAGCGGGTATAACAATACCGACCGTGGGCTTTTCTACCGAAGTGTCCATTATGTAAAATTTCAAATGGTGTTTTCACAGGCAGAAGAAGCAGAAATAGCTATCGACATGCCCCTCCAAGATCTGCGGCCTGAGCGATCTGCACTCCCCCCGAAATCTGATTTGATTCCTTCGTCACATGGCGCGTGACCACCTTCCCTTTATGACACTCTATGACTTCTTTTGCTAGGCTATCCTACATATCCTACTTATCCTATATACAAAATTGAACCCTGAGAAGAAAAAAGAAACACCAAATGACCTTGGCCACACGATCAATTTCCCTCCAAGTCCCCGCCAAGCTGAACCCACAGCTCCGAGTCGGCCCTCTCCGAGAGGATCAATATCACGATATTACACTAGTATACCAGGCGATATCGCTCTATGACACTTTGCACATCTCACACAACCCCGAAGGTCCTACAATTACCGTAACAGGGAAGGAGAGTGAGCGAATCCCAACAGACGGTCGCAACCTGGTCCTCAGAGCAGCCCAAGCTCTCGGTGACCATGTAGGCTTTGAACCGCATGTCCATTTCGACTTAATCAAGGCGATACCTACACAAGCTGGGTTGGGTGGTGGAAGCGCGGATGCTGCAGCCGCCCTTGTCGGTTGCAATATGCTTTGGGGATTGAATGCCTGTGACGACGATCTTATGGCGTTGGGCGCAAATCTAGGAGAAGATATACCGTTTTTCATCAAAGGCATGATGGCCCTGGGCTTGGGACATAAGAAGCCACTCATAAGCTTGCAGACGAGTAAGCATGTATGGAACTGGGTTCTAGGTGTGCCTGATGCGGGTCTGTCAACAAAATCGGTGTTTGAGAAATTCGATCACATATTGGCTAGATCTCCGTCTGCTGAGAAAGTTTATTTAGAAAACCGGCAAAATTGCATTGAAGTTCCCTGGGGAACACGTCATCCGGAGGATCTGCTATCTGCGCTTGTTAATGACCTTGAAGGCCCATCTACACAGCTGCTGCCAGATATTGAAATTGCCTTACGCGCTGGAAAGACTGCTGGTGCGGTTGCGAGTCTCATGAGTGGCTCGGGATCAACGTGTGCGTTCCTAGCGAGAGACGAAACTCATGCGAGAAGTTTGATGATAGAATTGCAAAAGGAGACAGTATTTAAGGAGGTGCTGATGGCATCCGGCCCAGTGGAGGGTGTTCGAGTTCTCCAAGAGATGAAGTAATTTTCATACTTGAGCAATCTACTTGATGTATGTTTGGATTCCAATTGAGGTGGTGATGTAGATATGGAAAATAGTGGCTAGTAGAGCAGCGCTTATGGGGTGTTATACTAGCCAATCAACCAGTTTATTGATGTTTTGTCGTTTTTCGTGTTTTGTTCTTTGTTGAGCTCGTAGTGATCCATCCGCTTAGATAGAACTTGGTTTCCGATGGATATTGCTCATTGTAACGAGACGATATAATCTGCCCCGCTATTAGGATTTAGTTTCTGCAAGTCTTTGTTTCAAGGCTTCATCTGTTGCTCTTTTCCGCATAAAATTGAGTAATTTGGAGTGAGCAGCAGGCGAGTTCGAGCGTCAATAATTGATGTCACCGTTCACTGATTTTTTAAATCACGGTCGAGCTCAGTGGCAATTACAGCAGCCTCAGGGTGGCTTTTGCCGGTCTATAAAAGACCCTCGAGCACTATGACTGGTTCATTTTACTCATTATAATGACCCAAATAGACCAACCCACTTCACCTTCCTCGCGTGACCGGCCAGCCAAGAGACAGTGCCGGGTTTCCCACGACGCAGAAGATAAGAACAAGGCCCAAAGCCACCAACAGCAATCTTCAGATGGTATATCCATCGAAGCTGAGGTTAGTCAGGCCCTCTTCGATTGCAAACGAACGAGATCACTAATACTGCATAGGTTCTAGTACGTATACGCGGTTCCCTTGCGGCGGAGTTTATGAAACCTTTAAACTACAACGACGCCCTGGCTACACCAGCCCTCAAAATGCTCGACCTGTACTTTTGCCTATGGGAATGCTACGTTGTTAAATCTGCCGAGAAGATATGACTCGAGGAAGAGCAGCGACAGCTTCAAGAGTCAAATGATTGGCTAGTGAGCGACAGCGATATCCTTCTATAGCTCTGCGATGAGCAGGCATTGATACTACGGGATCAAAAGCGAGCAGTTCGAGCACTTTGTAACGGCATCGTCACAGCCCTGCAAGCGAGCGATACTTAAGCCTATTATATTGATGGGTATTGATAGAGTCTTAGCGCTGTCGGGCGCTCGTGAGGTCTATGACTACTAAATAGTTCTGTTATCTATTTACCTTCTGTCCTAAGTATTATCCCTCTTTTATAGGCCCATACAACCGCCGGTGGAGTTCCGCTGAGTTTGGTAACGGGGTGTCAACGATTCACGGCTGTTGATACACCAATCATTTCGGTTTCGAGAACTTAGTATCTAACCATAAAGCTTCCCTAGTCTGCGATGAAATAGCGTTAGAAGAAAAATAAAATTCCTACTCAGCCTACAGCATTCTGTCCCTCCCAAACCTCGTCGGATTGCTACTTTATACACTTTGTATTTCACCACCAGCCTTTGACGGCGAGCCTTGGCCAAGATACACGAATCAGACAGTAAAGGTCTGTTTCCGTCGTTCCAATAATTATTGCATACTAATATTAGTAGACTCTGATTATGATCTCAACCTTCACACCATCTAGCAAGAGTCCTCTAGCATACTAACACCACCTCCCTGTCTCACCACCGACTCTAGATATCCTCAGCAGATTCTCTCAGATACTAATAAGCTTACAAAGTATAAGACTTCAGGATCATCCTTGATCGAATATCTTTTCCATCCCACTTACAACAAGCTGTCAGTCAGCCTTTAAGCGGACTGGTCCAGACCCTCTATCCATATCTAATCAGGCTAGCAACTTGTTCCTCTACATTTCAGCTTTCGCTTTCCCTAACGAAGTGCACTAGGTAGAGTTCTGACTATTACGATTTAACCGGAAATCTAGCGAGAGTACAGAAGAGTATCTGTTCTTTTTACCCCGAGTTAAGACAGCCACATGGAACCTCCGTCAGGTATACGAACAGTTGCTAGGCTGCTGATCTGCTTCTTTTTCCTAGCCTGTCGAGCAGTTTCGGGAGTCCATTTCGTCCGCAAGAGAAAGTCACAAGTCTTAAAAATACCAGTTCTATCGGTCCTTCGTGTTTTATAGACTGCGCATGCGCAGACACAGGCAAGTAAGTATGTAGTGGATTTTACGATCACTACAACTATTAATTGATACAGTGAGATTTTGACTGGAATTATTTTAGTTTTAGTTTTCAGCGGGCTGTTAACAGTGTGTTCAACAATAGTGTAAAAGGTCGAGTAAATTAATCAAGCTTCACAAGGTTGAGGGCCAGAGATAAATGCCTAGTGAGGATACATATTTCAACCAAATACTTCTTTCAATATTGTTGAATGCCTCAGAAATCCGACAAATGGAATATCGTAGAACCTATAGTCATCAAAAAAAGAAGTTCGAAAGGGAAGCAAAACAAAAAATGAAAATAAAAATTGGTATCTTCATGGTCGCAAGTTCAGAAATTGAGTGTTGACGTGTGGCCAGACACATAGCTCTACACAACCAACACCACACAAAAGCGAGGGCAAAAAAAACCATACTTCACAGGATGAAATCGTAGGCGCTTTTCGGTGATTCAACGTTGATTCACCCACAGGTGAGGTATCAGAACAAGAAACATGAGCCTGCCATTGCGGATTGAGTATACTCAGTGCCTCACTTTAGGAGGGCCCTGAAGGATTCAACAGTCAACCAACACTTTTTGACAAACTCAGCATGATATTGCTCAGCACGGCATTTGCTCGTCTCTCTCGCTGGGCATCTAAAGCATTAAAAATGTCGCTGCAAATAGTTGCGGCTAAAAGAAAACATGGGTTTCAATAGGCCCCAATTAGGACAGGTGTCCTTTAATGCTGCCTGCACAGCTTGTAACTGACAGACACCGAGAAGCCTATAAATACGTCCTCTACCCCGGCAATTTTCTCTACGACTTATCCTCCTGACTCTGCAAATTCGAGCAGGCTTGTGTCTGAGTCACTTGGTAATTTCTCCCCCTTTGGCCCGGTACTGAAAATTCCACTGTCCTAACATTTATAGAATATATCGTGGACCAGCTAGTTAGACAGTGCCCGTGAGAGATATGATTCCCACCAGATACACTGCCATTTACCCCAGCCGATCAAAGATACGAGTTTTGAGTCAGCTGGTCCAATTATCCGTGCGAAGACGTCTCCGCCACGGTAACCGACTGAGCTCATCTACTGTACAGCCCGTGTGTGCATTCCCAAGAGAAAGCTCGAATATCTAAGTCGCAGGTATGTGAATCTTAGTTTGACCTGTTTGAATTCTACTGATCCTGAAGACGATGCAATTTCAATAGAACCGAGGACATTCGACCATAATGCGAGGGCAAGGACCACAGCTCTTTGCCGTCTCTTTGCCGTCTTGGTCACCAGAACATATGGGTCGTGGATTATGTCGCGAATCTACAAGCTAATGAATGATAGTAAACCATTTACATCGCACTAAAGGGCGCCGAGGACATAGCATCCCCATTAGCGATCTGCACGAAGCCAAAGCCTTGACCTACACACTGACCCCGGCCCCGTCGCTTCAAACCACGCAGCATACACTAAGCAAAGAAGGAACAGGCTAGTAACAGGTGCGGACATCCGATTGCGAGCTTCGCTGCATAGAAGCTTGAGACATACATTCTTCCTGATACTGTGAGTGATTTATCGCTGTTGTTGTTCAGAGGCATGAATTAATGTGTTATTTCACAGATATCGATGAGCCTATATATACAAGAACAAGCGATTTCCAATCCACTTGGTCGTCCGTATAGACGTCTCGGAGTTATTTCCGACGGTGTGACTTGGTTCCTGATCTGCACCAGCTTCATATCACAACAATCGCGTCCTCTGCTGCGCAATATCATTTATCTGTGAAAAATTTTGTGCTCCAAAACACAAACAACATTACTGATTTTCATGCCATTGTACATAGGAGCAGTCCACTGCCACTGTGAAACATCCATGTTGGGAGTCCTATCACCGGATAAGACCATGGTGGCACTAGGACGTGTGCCCATCGCGTCTTCCGCCCTCGACCTCACCGCCTTCAGACTTCACACTGAACGGCGGAGTGTATGAATCTCTCGCCGTCCGCATCGCGCGGTCTTATGCCATTACGACTATACAACTCCCCGCCACACGTGGTTTGTCATGCACCTTTGGCTCTCAGAAGTTGCTTGGTGCACCCAACGCGGCTTATTCGAAGCGACAGCCGGAGAGTGTGACGAGCTGGATACAACGTCATGTGAAATGGCACAAATGGTGACTGCATTGATGAAGACAATTGTAAGTGATCTCGCCGGTAAGCTATGGACACGAAGCTAATTGATCGTTTCGTCTCAAGCGAACGTTCTGCGAACTTAACGAACAGGTACAACCTCGTCCAAGTAGTTCAATCCTTGCTGACTTGGATCGCACAACAGCGCCCCTCATATCCCCATCACTCGAGTCGAATGCGAAGCGAGCAATATTGTCTGCTCGAGCTCCTCTATACCGATGCGATCGCAAGCTATCTGTCCCTTCCTCATAACCACTGGTGGCATGGACGAGGAATGACTGGACTTTCCAATCGTCTCGGCCCTTCTCTCAGTCGACACTACGCACCAGTCATGTGCTGATGTGTCTACCAATACAAAGCTCAAGCCACAATGGGCTTATACCACCGTGTCTCGGCATTCGAACACCGCGAAGGAATAGCCTCCTTGCGGATCAAATTCCTGACGTCCAATTGGTGATCCTCATTATCCTCGATTCGCATCTCACGTCTTTTGATGCCTGGCAGCTCGACAGGCACCGGGATGAGCTCATGTTTCAAACTGACTCACGGGGGTCGGGTTCTACCTTCGCCGACGAGCAGGCTGTGAGTCTTAACTCTGCGTGCAAGGGCAGTGTGGGGTGGGACCCATTATTTCGAGCCTACAGGTGAACATTGGCCATATCAGATCCTACTCCGCGTTGCTGGGCCGGACGACGTATTCTAGCGGGTAGAACCAACAAATGGAAACGAGCGAGCGGGAAAGACCACCCGGACATACACGGCGCTGTATCGAAGGCACTGTCAGGCATCCTGTAGTGTCTTTGGACAGATCTTGGTATTCTTGATGCCCAGGCACACTTTTTTTCCTATCCAAGTCAGAGCAACATGTGCAAAGGTGATTTACCCTCGAGGTCACTGCAGTTGCAGGTCAGCAGTGCGTCCTCTACGTCGAATTTCTTTGAGCATGGATTATTTGCCAGGCACTGCGCTTTGACGACATTTGGCTATTCACTGTTCGAGCTGATCCTTTGTTAAGGTGAGTTGGATATCTGCCTAACTTTACTCAGAGGCATTCTCTGTGCGACCTCTCTGACTATCTATGATAGCCTATGCCAACATTTCTATCACTAATCAGCATTCATTTGATTGTTTTCGGAGGGGATCAGGGGCATTTCTGCTGCGGCTTCAAGCCAAGTAGAACGTATCAGAAACATCCGTCGTAAATGCTGGCGGAATCGTCTTTGCCAGATCTAGTCAAGATGGCGCTTGCCAGACCCGATCGGGCTGCGACCATGTTTTCTACGCAGCAGAGTATACTTGATCGCATGAGCTCCGACACCACGCCTAAAAAGCAGTGGTCGCCAATTTGAGTCCGGTGTGATTGTTACATGGGAGATGGGCTCGCAATATGAATCGTAATTGCTGTAACTGACAAAGGTGCGATGGCTCCCATGTGGAAGCAGCCAATCGAAAATCTTCGAGCCAAAGCCCTCAATCACTTGGTTGTCTTTGTTGCGAATCCACTCGACTCTCACGACCGTCGTGGATATAGGCATTCTATAGCAGAGTAGGAGTGAGTGACTTGCAAGCCCCCTGAAGCGGCAAATTCGACTACGCAAGGAACAGTCTATCGCATCACCGTGATTATCTGAGCAACAGATTATATTTCGAGCGCTCATTCAATGCTTCATCTACACCTGGTAGGTCTGATCGTGGGTTTTTGCCTAATTATAGCTTCGCCGAGGGATATTGGTGTTTGCATTGGACCAGCTCAATCAGATTAGAGGCTGTGTGCGAACTTTACTGAGTAAACACCGGGGAACCATCGTAGCAAGTGATGCCAAATGGTGCAGAATGAAACAATGAAACTGTTATCTCTGTCATATGTAGACTTCCGGACCGGCCCAACCCGACCCCAACCCGCAGATGGGCTATGTGCCTAAGGTAGAAGCCCCCGGGGCTTTCTTGGGGGCCCAATGGGCCGAAAACAATACAGACATGCCAATTTTGGCATTTGCATAAAAATGCAGATTTTCCCGGTATGATATGCCCATGTTAGCCTTTCGCCTCGTAGTCCAATAATTCCACGGAGTAAATCCGAGTCCGACTGAAAATGGGGTTATGAGAGCAATAAACATCTGCTCAAAGGACAAAAAATCAAAACAGAATAGAGAAATCCTTTGTGGTCGAAATGGTAAAAGAGCCTCGAAAATAGGTATGAAAGATACAAAAAAGGAAGAGATGTGCGCATTGGAGTAGAGAACATTGGGTCTTCTTGGTCTGAAAAGCCTGAAAGGCAGTCAAGGAAGTGATAATGCTGTTTCTGGAAATCCCAGTCCGTGTTCTCGGGTATGGCTATTGGCATGGTAATTGAGAAAGCGACTTACCCTTCTTTGCGGCGGGGTTTTCTGATTTACCTGATAACATTCTGTCAGTAGATGTCTTCGCTTGTAACTATAAAATAAGTGCCCTGGGGGATGTTTCTGTTCAGTGGGGTTGGCTAGGGAATTGAGAACGAAGAGCGTATATATCGATTTTGATAGTCACATACCCTTCTTTAAGGCGGGGTTCTCCGATTTGCCTGGTAAATTGGTGTCAGTAAATATGTTTGCCTGGGTATGAGTCGGATATCCATCAGATAATCTCAGTATAGATGTAAAAGCAGTGGCCTGGGGGAGGATCGTATGTGGTGGGTCTGGCTCCGCATTTTGAAAGGAGGCAATTGAGAAAGAAAGATGGACGGTTTGATTTGGATAGCTGCTTACCCTTCTTTATGGCGGGACCTTCCGCTTAATTTCAATAGAGTATGTCAGTAAATATTTCTGTTCGCTCATGGAGTGCAAGTAGGGAGTATTGTTTCGTGGAATGTAAACGGTCATCAAATTCATCATGCCACCCGGATATACCGGTCCCAATGGGGTGCGAGCCTGACTCGAATAGTGAAATTTTGGCACCGCATGCCCACCATGGGAGATGCAGTTAGAGTCCGATGATAGGAAGCAATCCACGTACCCTTCTTGGCGAACCAGCATTGATTCATGGCCACCCTTGTGGCAGTGGTTGCACCACTTCTGTATTTGAAAAGTCAGATCAGCCTCTTTTCTTCACGGCAGTCGGACAGACATGGGGGTGCGCCAGTTCGATGTGACCGTGCCGCAACACGGCAACTCTTACGCACATGACGTGGGCCCTGGATGCACAAGCCGTTGGATATTGAAAAGATACACTTACTTTCGCGAGGCGGAGATTCTTCGCCTCCGTAGGCGCCATGGCTATTTTCGTGTGAGATGTAGAACAGATATGTCCAAAAATTCAATCTGCCTTCGGCCCATTCTTCGCGGCGCGCTCAGGAAGCGCGTCTGTCCATCAAGCAAGAGGAAGTCAAAGAAGGGGCAGGCCGTCTTTACTCTGTCAGTATGGGCTTACCAGGTATTAGATATTGAACATCTGGATTACCTATCATGTTCTCTTTTGGTCCCATTCAAGCCCAGTGTGACTATCACAAAAAGGAGGCGAGCCGAGGCAATAACCCAGAGACTGATCGCAGGCTTGGGGTGCTCCCCCGCTTGTTTGACGGATTCTGCTGCCCATTCCTCCCTATGCGGGAGTGACAACGCCTTCATCCATAAAGTTAGCACAACGGAATCACGACTTTGAAGACATGAGAGTAAGAATTGAAAAGGGCAGTATGAGGAGGCCAAAGTAAAACTTTCAGAAGAAAGTGAAGGAGACCGCAGCTCAAAGTGAAAAGGTCAGATGTTGTAAAAAACACGAGGGGATCTCAAAGCGCAAAGACCTTACGCGAGCCCTAGTGGTCCATTGTGAGGATGAAGAGAAAGAAGGTAACTTATCCCATGATCTATTGTTGATTGGCTCCGAGACAGTCAGTCTGCCAGTTGCTTCACGTTGTGAAATCGGCTTGAGATGTGATCTGAGAATGAAAGTTAGGCAAAGAATACCCTCTGGGGCGGGGGCAGAGGAAGAGATGGTGGGAGAGAGAGAGAGAGCGAGCGAGAGGAAGGAAGTTACGAATTCCACAACACAGGAAGAGCGCTAGAATTGGAAAGTGCCAGAGACTTCACAGTTAAAGTGAGCTTCCGAATGACATTGGCAGAGCATTAGGTTCCTCATAGGTTCTTTCTTCAATATCATGTTGCTTTTGTACTCCGTATTCCGTTGTCGTATCACAATCCCAAGCAAGATGCCAATCCTGCATATTCCAATCCCCGGCACCTCCCGTGTGCTGTAGACGAAAAGGGGAACATGAAAAGGAACAAAATGGGGATGTGCAAAGAAATGAAACGCCTAGCCTACCGAGAAGACCCTGAGGTCCGGGCCTGACCTACCCTACTGTGAAAGTTTACAAATAGCCAAGGTCATCTCCAATGATTTTGATAAAGCAATCTTCCAATGTTCCCGTTGTATATGCGGATAATTATAGCCTCTCATTTTTCGTCTCAATAAGCACTGAGCGTGGAACCAAAGATCAGACCTTTGCTGAAAACTTTCTCATCTTTCCAAGCCCATGATCTCTGTATATCCATATGGCCATCTTCAAGACCAAGCTGAAATTCTTGGAAGGCTTGCCACCCACACGGGCACCTTGAGAGCTTGTTCTCAAGTACCTTGTGTTTGTGAAATTCCAATATCTGCCCAACTGCTGTCCCATTCGGTGGACTCTCAGGTACAGGCCTTTTTGAAGGTCTTCGAGTTATCGAACTGCACCACTGCACTAGCATATCCCTCCAATTGAAGAAGAGTGTTGAGAATCATGATTCGTGCAGGATCAGTGTCAGGCTCATCAGTCCAAACCGCCCTTAGGTCCTTGATGGCCTTGAAGATCCAGGTCCGTGATCGCTCGAATTGGTACTCGGTCCAGTCGCACCACCATTCCTTCCAAGCAGGGACAAGAATATCTTCTCTCCAATAATCATCATCAATTCCTTGGAGGACCGCTCTCAAATTAGCCTCAATCGTGCCGAAGGACTTATCAACCTCGGCATCAGCGAGATAATGCCAAACAGCAATCGCAGATTTGATCGCTTTAAGTGGTCGGCCAGGCTCAGTCACATCTTTGGTGAGTTTAGTCCACTTTGTTGGCTCAACCAGGTTCTTGTTTCCGAATATCTGTTAGGAAGAAAAAGGGAAGTTAGCACAGCCACTTGGCAGCCAGCGCCCTCAGCACTTACCCGAGCTTTCATGCCATTAACCACAGCCTCTAAGATGTAGAAGTTGGCGTTGTTGGTCTTGCTCCCAAGAGCTCCCATTATTCGGAATGATGGTTTCCGGCTCACACTTTCTCCTGGGTCGCCAGTGTAAAAAGCCCTATCTATATTCAAAACATCTGCATTGAAGGCCGATATTCCTTGGGCGTCCTCGTCAAGAAAGAAATCGGAATCGAGGAGACGAAATTGGGGGGTTTTCTTCGAGCCCAGAGTACCTTTTGTGGCTGCTTCGAAAAACAGCCCAACGCACTGAATCTCCAAAATGTGCTCCGTGGCAAATGTATGTCCACTTTTGATTTGAGGGAAAACAAATGGGTTTCCGCAATCAACACGGCTTTCGTAGCTGCGTGTAGTCTTGTAGACATTGGAAGTTATGTCCCAGTCACCAGCGCTTGGGTAGCCAAGATGATAATATGTCAGGCCTTCTTGCCATTGGTCGTCGTTCGCCGACCAGACCTTGAACTTGTGGGGCTCTTTCGCAAGCAGGGTCTTTTCCTTGTTGTTGAAATCATCGAGGCTAAACCGGCGCTGTAGTAGCCAGTCGTCATCATCACCGTAGCAGAGCGCAGGGTCAGCATCGGTATCGCAGATATCTCCAGAGCAGATGCTATCCTCCTTGTTGTCTACCATCTGATCCCAGTCACCGGGTCTGCACAAAATACTCTGGGTCACAAACTCAGTTCCCATCTCAAATGTCTCACTCAAAGATTGGACAAATGGTCCCAGTGTGTCCATGACAAGGTTACTCCACTTATGAGCAGTCACCCAGGTGTTCCAGGCTGCGGCATTCGCCGCTTGAACCGGGCTGTAGTCCGTCGCCTCCACAAAGAAGAGAATGGCAAGAATAGGCTTGAGGTAGAATAGGGCACTTTGTGCGTCAGTCTTGGAACGTGCGACCAGACCTTTGCTATCCGGGCCAAACAGATCCCAGTCAGTCACCAGAACATCTCGAGTGGTCAGTGAAGCCTCGGAAGGGCAAGAGCCATCCACGAGATAGGAGTCCAATGCATCTTTGAATATATGGGGTTGTGGATTCGTGTACTTCTTCTCGACGGTGTATTGGTCGTCGCAGCAAAAGGCCTTGAAGCTTGCAGGGTCGCACTCATCATCCGGCTGTGCCATTCCCATTGCGACTCGCACTGTTCCTGCAGGGCAAGCGGACCTGCACCAAGGACCACTGACACCATCGGGTATGGAACCAATATCCTTGTGCCATTTACAGTTTTGCCACTTCTTCCCACTCTGAGTGTCGTCGTAGCAGAGCTTTCGTTCCTGCCATACGATTTCCTGTAAACTCGCATAAATATCGCGATACTCACAGAAAGCGTTTCCACTGCCGGTAGAAGAGGAGGTGAGTGTCTTAGTTTTTTTGTCATCGTACACAGGGCACTCTCCATCGTCACAACCCGGGAAAGAAGACCACGTTGTGGTGCCATAGAGCAGTGTCGCATCTTTGCCAGAAGTACAGCAAGCGGCTTGGTAATCATCGTTGTAGCAAAGATCGGGCTTGGCGACAGATCCGATCTCAAAGGTTCCGGAAGGACAGGTACTGTCACACTTGCCATTGTTGTGGGTGTACCATCCGCATTTGACGCCGTGGTCTTCGGGGCAGCAGAGAGTATGTGTCTGGCCTGTTGGACAAGTCACACTATCCATCATCAGGGAATGACCATCCCCAGCTCCGGGACCGACACCACGGAAAACTGCCACGTAGGGCGACTTGCAGACTTCACCACATCCGACCCATGTGCATTGTCTCTTTCGATCCTGTTTCGTCAAAGTGAGACTCCCGTCGGTATTTTCAACTGAGAGAAGTATATGTGGAGCAGACATAGGAGGTGTGTGGTCTGATAACGCCTCAGTGTAGGTTCCGTTCGAAGTATCCTGGCTGACAGCCCAGACCATAACACCACCCAGGCAGTGGTCCTTCACGTAGTCAACCTTCAGCTTGAAAGTGCTTGAATCATCATATGTAAGCCACTGGTCCTCCCAGGAGAGAATTTGGACAGCTGCATCTTTATCGAGCGTGGGCTGAACGTTGTACTGCGTGCGGATGTCGTCAATCTCGCTATTCAGGAGAATACCAGTCTGACCACTGCAGGGGCCTTCATCTGAGCCGGATGCAAACATACAGCCTGGGGTTCTAAGATTCGTTCATTATTACCATGGCCAAGCAGCCAGGTTGGGGATTTCATAGATGTTTTACTTACGTGCAGCTTGTGTCTGCGACGGTAAAGGCGCGAGCGTAAAATGCCAAACCCATGACAACTTTGCTAGGGCTGATGTTATTTCTCCAGAGCAGATCCATGGCGACTTCGATCTCAGTCAAGTTTGTGTGACTATCGAGGTATGCACCAGACCACTGGTTTTCTGTTTTGGCTTATTAGTACAGTTCATAACAGCTGGCTTTCCAACTCACTTCCATCCCATGTTCCATGCAGATCATACGACATATAATTGAAATAATCGACAGATTTCTCAAGGCCCTTGATGTCAAAGTGTTGTAGGTACCAATAGGACGTCGGCAAAGTAAGACTCAGCTCACGAGTTGCCCCGCCCTGATTCAGTGCCTCTTTCAGATTTGCCATGAAGGAGGGGAAATTCTTCAAGTCTGCAAAGCGACCGCCGCGGTCACTATCGACGGGATATTCCCAATCAATATCGACACCATCGAAGCCGTACAGTGACATGAAGTGTAGAAGAGAGGCAAAGAACTTGTTCTGATTGTCTTTTGAAGCAGCAAGGTCTGAGAAAACAGTTGCTGTGGAGCCGGGGTCATTGAAAGCCCAGCCGCCAATAGCGATATTGACCTTCATTTGAGGATTTGTCGTCTTCAAAGCCACTAGACGTTTCATAATACCCGCCTCTCTCTCGTTGTTGGCCATGACGGCGAAGGTTTTGGGGTCAATAGTAGCGAATGCATAGTTGAGATGAGTGTATACTGACGAGGGAATCTGTTCAGGCCAAAAGGCCTTGCAGGGGCGGTTTGGAGCCCATCCTTCATAGTATCCGACTACACGCCGGATATCTGCGGTATCAAAATCACAGGAAGGCCTTTTCACTTTTTTTGTGCCACAAAATTCCTCTGTTGTTCCACAGAAGCCATATTTGCTGCAGCAGACGTTCAGGGGGCAAGAAGTCGAGTTCACATAGTCGGTTCCCCAGTCTTCGGGGTCACATTCTGCCTTTGCATCGCAAGATGAAACACAGTTTTTGGAGCTGCAGTCTTCATTGATCTTGAGTTAGACGTATTCAAAAAAGGTCTGAGATACTTTGAGTGGGCTCAAATCAAAATTACTCTCAGTGAGAAGGGTGTGCTCACAGTCGGGCCCCATTCCACAAACTCCAGCTTTGGAGCAACAACCAAGTGCACATGGTGTGTTCTCACCGCACTCGCCTACTGGTCCTACATAGTCGCAGTTTGCAACGCAGGATGATCCCTATATCCACCACAGCAGTGAGTATTGTATCAATTTGTGCATATTTTCAATCACTCACGCAGTACTCGTCGCCCGTTCCACAGTATCCCGCGCTTTGGTGAAACTCATCAGCATCCATGATCACAAGGATAGAATATTAGTGATCACCATGTGGACGTACCTGGAACAGCACCCAGTGGCACAGGGATTGGAGGCACTGCAATCTTGTCCAGCAGCCTGGGCAATGAAGCCCAAGAGCACCAAACCTAGGAAGACGAAACGCAACATACTCCTGGAAGGATGAAGCATCATCAACGGGAAAGGTTTCGACAGTCTATTGCGAGACAGACAAAACGAGGAATGTAGTTGGGCTTTTCAAGGTTCCTCCATTTTAGGGCGGACTGACTCCTATTCCCATTTTAGACCACTTCTCTGTATGAATTGTGGGTAGCATGGAGTTTTTTCTGTACGCTAGTTATTACCGAATAGATACTTGTACAGCCAGAGGCAAAACGTAAAACCTTGCAACGAAGCTAAAGCAGAGCGTTGAGGTAACGGCGGATACCAAAAGGAAATGAGAGTACCCACTTCTCATAGGCCATGGCCAAATAGTGTCGTTGAATTTGCAGTAGTCCGGTCTAAATATCAGACTGCTCCGATCTTGGCATGGAGTAAAAGTACAATGTCGCCCTCCAGCCGAGCTTGCCATTGATGGATCCAATCTAACAAGATAACGCCGGTCCCTGAATCTACGACAATAGAAGGGTCTTTTCCGATTCTTAGCGTTCACAAGGGCGAAAAAGGATCCACACGCCCCACGAGAGCGTTCCCCACTCAAGTTCACAAAATATCGCCCAAGTAGACACGAAAGAAGAAATCCAGAATAATCCTGCCCTACTATGCCTAGGTGCATATGTCTATCACACACAACAGCTGCTGAATCCAACTTTTCTGAAGTGCCAAAAAAACGTGTTTTCCTTTCTCATTCCAAATGAAACAAGACGTGCACTCCCCTCTCAGGTAATTACAACCGACATCTTCAACCCATGTCCATATTCATCAAACGGCTACTTTCGCTAGTGGCTTGAGGAAGCTAGTGGCTTGAGGAAATTCATAGCGTTAGTCGGAATTTTGCACGTTGGTTGCACCTCTGAATGATAATTACGCGAGGCTAGCCCAGGAACCCCGTGGTGCTCCGGGCAAATTAGCTAGAGTCTAGCGCTATTTAGAGTGTCCACCGGGTGTTTGGGGGCCGGAAGTCCGAGATCCGGCGAAGCAGCGTAAATTGTCTCTCAAGCGCTTAAGAAACATCACGGATTGAAGATGAATGATGACACCACGGCCCTGGAGCGATGTATATGGATGTGTTGACATGCCAATCTTCCTGTAGTGTAGATCGTTCCAAGATTTGCCAAGTGAACGTCCGGGTTGTGGGGCCGAACGGTGATCGACCAATCAGATAATTGGTCATTTACGGTTTCGTATCTTTAAATACAGACTATAATATTTCATCGATGATACACCATGATACGGGGTCTTTAAAGAGTTCACTTCTCATCCGAGAGCAACCACAACCACAAATGCCGCCCCACCCGAATACGACAAAGGAGAACATTCCAAGTCTGGTCAAGGGTCACCAGAAGTGGAGAGTGCAGAAAAAAAATAGCGCAAATAGCTTCTCGGTTACTCCTAGTTAAGAAGTTTTGTGGCAGGGAACTGATCCTGGAAGCAGACTGAAAAGTAAACTTGAAGTAAAGGCCCCTTGCCATTTCCTTCCTATATATCAGAGTTGAATTGTATCCTTCATGGTCATCCAGTTCCAAGGTTCCAGCCTCGATCACTATGAGATGGCTCGGCCTATAGCCACTCCAGGGGCTCAGTCCCTACGATGGATGCTATTGTTCGCTTTCCTCTGTTCTCTCGTCGGAAATGCGTATGGAACGCATCACCAACACCATGGTCACCAGCACCTTCACCATCAAGTCCGTGATGTGAAAGCATCGGCTACCCCCACCGTGACTTCTTCTTCTTCTTCCTCCCTTCCCTCCACTCTCGAGGAAGCCAAAGAGATAATAAAAAATGCACAAGCGTCTTTGGCAGTCATGAACAAAGGCCGGCTAGCGTATCCGCAATGGAATCAATACATAGCCCAGCCTAAGTCGAAGAATGGAACCTCCCCCGTGGCACCTGCACTTGGCACGGAGCATCTGGCCACGAATCATGCGATGATTGCCAAAATTGCCCTGAATGAGTCAAAGACTGAAGATCAAAGCAGCCAAAAATTTAGCTACACAATTCCATCCGGGGTTGCTCATGCTGCCAAACTTGTTGCTGAAGCTTCTCCTCAATCACCCGGCTCTCATGGTGTGGATATTGCAGCAATCCGGCGCAAATATCGGCCCCAGCGGAACGATACCAACAGGCCAGCTCAGAAGTATGCGCAGTCCAATGGACTAGACGGATATGTGCATGCTCAGGCTCCCATGAACTCTGCTCTGGATTCGGACTCGGGGGACGACGAGTCCCAACTGACCAAGCGATCGTCCGCGGACTTCTGGCTCACAACAATGACCCAGAGAGGCTCCAGTCCATACGCACCAGAGGGATATAAGGTACAGACCCCTCGTCTGAAAGTCTAGTGCCTAATATTAACAAATTCTCGAAGGTCTGGAGAAATGTTAAAGAATACGGTGCCAAAGGTAATTCTTGACCTCTGAAACACCCGTGTCGAAATGGATGCTGATAGTGAGATTTCAGGTGACGGTGTCACCGATGACACTGCCGCGATCAATCTTGCCGTCTCTGATGGCGGGCGATGCGGAGCTGATTGTGGCTCCAGTACTATCTACCCGGCCCAAGTGTATTTCCCCCCTGGCACATACCTAGTGAGCTCGCCGATTATCCAGTACTTCAACACAGAGTTCTTGGGAAATGTAAGCAGTTCACGATCGTCACAACGGTTACTTTGTTGGAACTGACAAATTATAGCCCCTTGATTACCCCACAATCTTGGCTGCGTCCAGCTTTGTTGGACTTGGCGTTATCACCTCCGACGTCTATACCGGGGACACTACTGAGTGGTGAGTTAACATGAACATTTCCTCAATAAAGACTCATGGTGGGTTTGAGGCTAATCGATGCACAAGGTACATCAATACCAACAACTTCCTTCGATCAGTTCGAAACTTCAACGTTGATGTCACGAGAACACCACAGGACGCCTATGTATGCGGAATTCACTGGCAAGTGGCGCAAGGAACATCGCTCGAGAATATGGTCTTCTATATGTCGCAAGATGCCGCAACTACCCAACAGGTGAGCATTAGCAGTCTCAAGTTGAAGCTCAAGAATCTGTATCCTAATATTTGCTCAGGGAGTCTACATGGAAAACGGCAGTGGTGGTTTTATTACCAACCTGACATTCGTTGGTGGCAATTTTGGGTAATCCCCCTCCCCGGAACCCAAAGCTTGCTTGCGACTAAGATTTCACAGAGCATATTTTGGCAATCAACAATTCACCACGTCCGAACTTACATTCATTAACGCAAAAAACGCCCTTCAAGTTCATTGGGACTGGGCCTGGACTATGCAGGACGTGATCATCGAGAACTGTGTCAATGGCCTGGTAATTGTTGGCGGAGTAAGTTTTGCACTCATAATCGCACGGCATATACTGACCATCTCCGAACAGGCCGGCGGTAGCATGAGCACTGGACAATCCGTTGGATCACTGATCTTGATGGATGCTCTGATCGTTAACGCTACAAACGGAATTGTGACGTCCTTATTCGCGGAAAACTCGACCTCTTTCCTCTTGCAAAACTCTGTTTTCAGAGACGTGACCACTGCCGTGCTCGACAGTGCCCAGGGTACAGAGATTCTAGCGGGCGGGGCTGCTTTCGGTGTTGAATCGTGGGGCTTTGGTCGTGTCGCTACCTCTAGTACTAACAGCACATTCTACAACGGTCAGGATATCCCCGTTATGGAGAGACCTGTGTCGTTGACGTACATGGGATACGACAAGCCCAATTTCTTCCAGCGTCGTCGACCCGCTTACACCAACATTGGAAACACTCAGATTATCGACGTGAAAGAATGGGGTGCTGCTGGAGATGGCACAACAAATGATGGGCCAATTCTGAACAGCATCCTGGACCGCGCTGCTAACCTTTCCGCCATTGTTTTTATTCCGCATGGTATTTACATTGTTGAAGATACACTGCATATCCCTGTTGGCTCTCGTATCATCGGTCAGGCGTGGTCCCAGATCATGATGAAAGGGTCGAAGTTCGAAAACCAATTAAAACCCCGTGTCGGAGTTCAAGTTGGCCAAGTTGGCGATGTGGGAATCATCGAGATTCAGAGTCTGCTTTTCACAGTCTCTGGTCCTACTGCTGGTGCTGTGTTAGTGGAGTGGAATGTCCACCAATCTACCCAAGGCTCCGCTGCCATGTGGGGTAAGTTGATCATTGTTCTCCCCGTGCCTGCTCTGGTGGGGAATCATGTCTCAGAATCTTTTACTGACATGATCCAAAGACTCTCATTTCCGAGTTGGCGGCGCAAAAGGATCATCTCTGCAAACCTCCCAGTGCGACAAGAGCGATACCGCAGTCAATACAGCCTGCGTTGCAGCATCTTTGCTTCTACATATAACTTCTCAGTCTTCGGCCTATCTTGAGAATATCTGGGCGTGGACCGCCGATCATGACCTTGACACAACAGCGCAAGAACAAATCAACATTTACTCTGGACGGGGCATTTTGGTGGAGAGCCAAGGCCCGACGTGGTTGTACGGCACCTCCTCTGAGCACAATGTTCTCTACCAATATCAAGTGTCCAACGCCAAGGATCTCTACATGGGCATGATCCAGACCGAATCTCCATACTTCCAACCCACTCCTCACGCTCCCCAACCGTTCAAAGCGGGTCTATTTTCCAACGACCCAGTCTTCGCAGACTGTGATTCCTCCTCGGCCAACTGCTTTGCCTCCTGGGCTCTTCGAATCATCGACTCTTCCTCTGTTTATATAATGGGCACAGGTCAGTACCCCAACTACACCACGATGTATTCCAAGGTTTTTGTTTTGTCATCGAGGACCAAAGGCTAACTTGTATTTTCTAAAGGTATCTACAGTTGGTTCTCTGACTATAGCCAAACTTGTCTGGATACAGAGGACTGCCAACAACGCGCGTTTGAGATCTCCCAGAGTACTGATACCTGGATCTACAACCTTGTCACGAAAGGCATCGTAGAAATGATTTCTCCTGTCAACGAAGACCCAACTCTCGCTGCCAATAACGTCAATGGATTCATGTCGTCGATTCTGGCTTGGGTTCGCGGAAGCAATAGCACCATTGGGGAGAGAACCTTCCCTGGTTTCCAAATATACACTGCCGATAGCCTTGAAGGACAGGGTCTTACCGAGTCGTGCACCCCGGCGTTGACACAGAAAGTCCTCTGCAGTCCATTTTTGAAGACCTGGACATCCCCGGGCATTGGTCAATATTATAAGAATACTACTTTCACTGACATGCTTTGCGACGCTGGATGTGGCGAAAGTCTTGGCAGCTATGTGGACAATGTGGAAACATACTGCGCCAACCAGACCATCGGCAGCTCGATCCCAACCCGTAATGGAGGCACGATTTACCACAACTACAATTTGACTTGTCTCGAAGATAAAGACACAAAAGAATACTGTCTTGATACTATTATGGACTTCACTACCGTGGAGAGCGCGAAGGACATGCCAACTAATGAGTTGTGCTCATACTGCTACACCACCATGCTCGAAATGAGACAGGCCAGTATCTACAGCAGCTACACCGAATCCGACAAGGAGACACTCGAGCTGATTCAATCAACATGCGGTCTGACTGGACCCACCGAGCTTCATGATCCGCCTTATACTGTGACGCCCACCCCGGACCCCGTTTGTGTCTCAAACACCACCTACACAACCCAGCCCGGAGATACCTGCGACAAGCTAGCAAAGCAGTACTCCGTCGCTTCAGCCGCAATCCTCTATGCCAACCCAACTATAATCGGAAACTGTTCCGATCTGCCAGCCAGCCGCGATATCTGCATGCCCCTCGGCTGTGACACGCAATACACGCTCCAAGATGACGACAACTGCTGGCAACTCCAGCGCGACTATGGGCTCGGCCCGGATTCCATTCGCCAATACAACCCCTGGCTTGATTCGGACTGTCTGAACATGCAAGGCGCCCGCGAAATCCTTGGCAGCGTCCTTTGCCTGTCTCCCCAGGGCGCTACCCATAATACAACTGGTGACGGCATCACAACAACTCCTGGAAATGGAGAGTATGCACAAGGCGTGGTGTCACCACCTGAAAACTCCACAGTTGCACCTGGAACTACGACTAAGTGCGGTCGGTGGTACTCCGCGACGGCTGATGATTTATGCGTCCAGATCTGCTTGAAGTCGGGAGTTTCGGCGAAGCTTTTCAAGGCCGCGAACCCTTCTTTGGCAGCTGACTGTGACAATAGTTTGATTGCTGGTGATGCCTATTGCGTTGGGCCGGTTCCTCGCTGGAATGACACTGCGTACTGGATTGAGACTGCTACCAGCAGTAAGGCTGTCTCCACTCCGTTGGCATCGGCCAAAGCGACAGGCAGCGTTTGATTATGGATACCTAAGGCCAAGGTTGCAAGTGTAGGTTTGAACATGCATATAGAACTTGATGTATCGAAGCTGCCACAGAGGCAAAATCAGCTTTCACCTGTGCTCAAGTGCTACTCTTTTGATCTCCGAGGCTGAAACACACTAGTCCGTGTTAGGTTTAGACAATTTCATAATTTCGAGGTGGATTGTAATGTCACGGTATGTCTCATTGAAACATTTTCAGGTTGTATTTTGAACAAATTTCGAAACCAGTGGTAAAACTACTCCATATATATTCAAAGTCATACGATGTCCTATATATGACTATTTTCTCAAACATTCACCAAGACTGGGTGTTGGGTTGTAAAGGTAGGCTGGTCCAACAATCCCACCACTCGCTTCTGAAAGTCTGCTCGGACACCTGGGGCCAGATACCTTGAAGGACGGACGCCACTCTACCAGAGAGACGAATCTCGTTATCAGGAGGAGATTCAAGCCCACTGTTATGCCTTGCTCGTTGGATCTCCCATGCTCTTTTCCCAATCTGCTCTATGACGGGTACTCCGGGGTTCTCAACGTTATAACCTGTAAGCCGATATGATCGCGCAAAGCAGTTGAGCAAGTAACGCTCCTCGTGGGCAAAACACCTGTTTCCGTATGGGAAAATGCGAAGGTCTTTCAAACGTGGGCTCATGTCTTTGATCATGCTCCAAATCTGGAGAGCGAGGTTCTCGTCCATGGCTGCATTGATGAAAGTTCGTCGGAGATCAAGATCGTCTGTTTCGAGACTGCTTCCCGTTCTCAGTGCCTTTGGTCGAGCATCGAAATCCAAATCTAGAAATAGTCTTTGGAGATTGGGGAATGTACCTAGCGCTTTGTACATCTCACACTCTGCTTTGTTGCCTACTGACCTCTTCATTTGAAGGCGTAACTCTTCCAGGTTCGGACAAAGATTCACCATTTCGAGTAGCTTGGAATTATTGAGTCTGGGATACAGGTGGACCTTGTTGGGAACTAGAGCAAGTCCCTTCAATGATGATCCATGACACTGGATGATTCTGTCCAAGGCTTCAACCTCGCGAAGGCCCCTGATATAGAGATATTCCAAGGGGCAAAAGGCAAGTATCCCAGCCATTGATTTAGCGGTGTCAGTCTCGAGGGCCGCAGGATTCCGACCCCTTTGATCGAGATCAAGGAAAAGCCTCTTTAGATTTGGCAATAAGTCGGCAACGTTGACAAGTTTCTCCGGTTCACAGACGCAACCAATGTCGAGTGAGCGAAGTTGAGAAAGATCTCCTGCGGCAGCTAATTTGGAAAGCATAATTCCTTCGGGCCGGTTGCTGGGGATTGTGATTGATTCTAACTGGGATACTGCCTTGGGCTTGACTTTGTCAATCAAGCTTCGCCATGTCGCTTTCAGCAGATCCACTCCAGCTTGATGAACACCATCGCTGGGATTCAGACAAAGGTGCTTTAGCCCCGGGCTAGTGAACAGGAAAGGCATCATCTCCCAAAGTTGTTGGTGTTCAACCGACCGCCTGTAGTAAATGGAAATCGCCGTCGTCAGGGTGTGAAGACCCGGTAGCTGAAGAGTGTCCATCTTGAATTCGCTGAATTCGTTTACATATTTAGACACCGATGCAGCATCTGGATAGAGTGGACTAGGTCCCACCTTTTGGTTGCTGAGAAGATTCAGCCTGCAATTGGGGTGGTAGCGCCAAAAAGCTTCCGTCAAATCGGCTGAGAAGTCGTCTTCCGTGATAAAGTCGAATTGATCAAGACGGTTCAAGCTCGCGATGAGCGACACGACCGGTGCCCAGTTTGGAGTTTTCCCAATGCTTCTTAGGCAATTTGAAAGTAAGTCTCCGCCAGATGTTGAGTAGCAAGAGGTCATATCATGCTCCAAGAACCCTTTTCTCGTCGCCGGATGTGGGTCAGTTACCATGTTGAGTGCCCATGGCTCTAGCGTCCATGGCCGGGCTTGTCCGGGTTCAGACTCTGGCGCCAAATCAATACACACAAGGGATAACCTCCTAGCAAATCTCGTGAAGTTACTCGCCCGGGGGGCTTCTGTCACTTTCGACAAGGCAGCCTCCAGGCCTTGGGATGCATCGCATATCAGTGTAATCTTCCGGTACAGTATAGGGACTGCCGCCTGGTTGCAGAGACGGTTGATCTGACTGAAAGATGACAGGTCTTTGGGTGGACAGTATGCAGGACCCTCGAGCTACTTCTCATCAGCATGAGAAATGGCGTGAACTGGGGAGGTCCCGTTAGCGACGTACATTGAGGCATATTTGCTGTAGAATTTCAACCGGAAGGTGATCCATCACGAACTGTGTCGAGGTTGCAAAAGGAAGAGGGAAATTGAGTTGAAATCGTGAAAACTAGTGAACTCTTAGCGCGTATGACTTCCAAGGTCGAACCCCCCACATGCACCATTTTAAGGGAATTCCCATCAAGAACCCACCCTCGTACTCATAAAGCGCCACTCTTTACCGAGGGGCCATACGATTGCACATTGTCAACAAGCCTGTCGTCCCCAAAAGTTTGTGCTGTTTGTTTCCAACATTTTGGCATGTTTTTTACACTGTCACGTGGTTTCAATCGCAAAATCGCCCATTTCGAGTGCCATGAAACGTAGCCCAGGAAAGTTTTTAAATTCATTTGATCAGACCCCTTGTTGGCTAGAAGCCACTAGATTGACATATATTACTAGCACTGGTTTGGATTTACGGGCTATAGATACTAGTATTAAAACAGGCTGTGATGGAAACAAACAGTGCAAACGTTATGGTCCTTTGAGGTAGGGGCCCAAGCGTATCCAGGCCTCAGGCACTAACATGTTGTCGGCGCATGAAGACCGGCATACCGGAGGATTTATTAATCCCACTTGTTTTATAATTTATGTTATATAATCGAGGCTCTATATAACGTATTTCACCACCGAGTGGTCCACACCCCCAAGTGGTCCACCCCACCGGAAACGCGTCAATTAATTTAATCCCTTCTTCTTCAACCACCTACCATGCCACCAATTCGTACTTAAAGCTCTAGAAATTCAATAGAGTAAGAGGGTAGGATCTTACTAGCAATCTAGGCTTTTAAGAGTCAAGAAATCTCTTCAATTTATGAAGTAGCGCGCCGTTTCAAAGTCCTAAGGTCGACTCTCCTCCGCTAACTAGGGAATTAGACTTCTCCAGAACCCAATTAGACCTAGACCCAACCCAACCCAACCTAACTTTGGGTTGGGTTTTAGGGCCAAACCTAGTTTTCCGCACGACCCAGTAAAACCCAGACCCAACCCAGACCTAACCCAGTCTGGGTTGGGTTTTAGGTCGAACCCTTCGACCTAGTAATGTGTCTGGGTCGGAGGGTTCGACCTAGTACTAGGTCTGGGGCCCCAAACTGGGTTATAAACTAAACAAATATACTAAGGATTCTAAATGTATAACTTATATATTTGTTTGCGGTAATTTTAAGTATTTGCTTTACTTAATTATATCTAATTTTATTTATAAAAATAGTAAAAGAGATATATATAATTAAGGATTCTTTGTTAAGTAAGCTAATGGTATTTAAATAAATTATCTTCCCTGCTTTTACGCTTTCTCCCTAATACTTATATCTATATATAGGTTAGTAGTAATAATAGCGAGTAAGGATAACTATATTTACTTATAGGTAAGGGCCTCTCCTCCGGTATATCTTCTGGTCTATCCTTAATTATAACCTTAATTATATCCTTTAGTTTATCTTTTAGTTTATCCTCCTACTCCTCTATATCACTAATTAGATTAACCTTAATCTTATTAAGCTTTTCTTCCCTCTCTTCTTTTACTACCTTAAGCTTATCTTAGGAGAAGAATTTCTTAAGAAGTATTATTTCCTATTTCTCTATATTAAATTTTATTATATAAAGAAATATTATTAATACCTTAATAGTCTTACTCTTTATTCTATTATAATAATAGTAATAAATATCTTAAGTGGTATTAAAGAGGTATTTAACTCCTACGCTAGTTACTAGAAATAAGAGTATATCTTATATAAGGATAGTAATAGCTAGAAAGTAGACCTGGCAGTGACCCTCCGGGTGGTCCATGATCTTAGACCCTCCACCCGACCCTCCAAGGGTTAGGGTCGCTCATAAGCGACCCTGACCCTGACCCTAACCCTCCAAGGGTCGCTCGCAGGTGACCCTCCACGACCCGCAGCGACCCTTAGATACATAAATTTCGAGCGCTAAGCCTAATTAAGGTGGATAAAAC